AGGTAATACTTTTCCCTAAAACTTGAAAAACCGTGTTAAAACCGTTTTTATCAAATATTAATATAGGTAACAGAAGCCTTTTTTAATATATTGGCCATCTTTTCGTGATCCGGGATTATCCGGGAATCGAGTGGTCGAGCGGAAAAACAGACAAATCATTTAATGGATCCGCATAATAATCGAACGGATTATTTTAGGTAGAATTATAGAATTATGAGACCAGGTGGGCAAGAATAATATAACTGTAGACAAGGGTTGTGGTATCTGGGAAGGTATAGCTTTGGCAGTATATGATTATTTTGCGTTATATTGTAGGCAGTTTTTGAGTTTTACAAGTTTTTTCTTGTAAATCAAAGGTATATTACTTCTTACTTTGTATGTTGTAGTAGACTACTTTTTACTTTGCAACTTTACGTCCCTTTTCACTCTCTTTTCCATACTCTGTAGATAACATATTCTGGAGTGACAAAGTTTCTTGCCAAACTTTTTCAAATTTATTTTCTCTTTAAAATTTAGATTAAATTGTCTTTTTTGGGCCGTTACTCTGAAACGACACACTGACTCCGAAATAGAACGACCGTGCACTTTGCGCCGTTCCCTCAGGGCTCATTCGAATTCTATTCGTTTCGGATATATCGACAGAGTAAATTAAGAGGAGTGCTATTAGTACCTATAGTGGAAAGGGTACTAATAGCACAACTTTATACTTTTTAAGGCTATAAAAGAAATTTTGGTAACAAATTTTATTTTATGTTATTTTTTAAAATCACAGTACTATTTAGTACTAATTTGAGATTTTTTACACAATCACAGTTTTCAAATAAAGTGTTTTCATTGTGACTAAGCCCTGAGGCGCTAAATTTGTTTTGAATATTCAAATCCACCTTCTGTAAGAGATTATGTCCTCAGCTTGAAGTCTCCGCCTGCCTATCCCGTTTCCTCTTCGTCCCCCTCCCCTCGCTCTTTAATTTTTCCGGATTTTGTTCTCGCGCACTGAATCGAAAGAAATGTCATAAATGGCACGGGACATATTAGGTTTAGTGGCATTACCTGAGGTTTTATGGGCATGGTAATATGAAATTTAATGACAATTTTTATTTATTACCCTAAGGATAATTTTTAATATGTCTACGACGTACTTTACAAAAAATGGTACAATGTTAGTAACGTCATTTTTAAGCTTTACCTTTCGTATAAACTCATAATTTTTAATATTTTTAAAAAGTGCACTTTACCAAACTTTGTAGACATTGGTCATATAGTAGTAACATAGACATACTTGACATTAACTGAGAGCAACCCTAATCTGAGGTCAGGCGATTCCCACGCCTTATACGAATATGTTTTTGTTGCCACAATGTTCTCAACGCCAATCTCAAATTTCGCTGACTTAATTTTGTTTTTGTCATCCGAACATCGGACATTATTCCTGTTTTTTGTTTTGGAATTGTTGCAAAAGGCAGTGACACATCAAAATTCAGACTCTTCTGAAGCTTTTGAAATTATTTCAGTTTAAACTTTTTTATTTTTTTATAAAATTTAGGGTTTATTTTTGAACAGTATAACAGTAAGAGTCTTTTTAATAATTTACGTGAAAGTATAGAGAAAAGATAGGCTTATTTATACAATTTTCTTTGTAGTCCAAACTATTCAAAATTAGGCAACTTTTTGCAATTAACTTTTATTCAACTCACGTGTTTGTCCTCAAACTGCTCTAAATGCCCTCAATAAACCCAAAATTTGCAAACAAATTGAGTCAGAAAGGGCTTTTACTTACTTTTTCTATGCTTTTGCTTGCTATCTTTGGACGTTTTCTTAGTTTTTATACTTAAACTTCTATTTTTCATAATTTCCTTTGTTATTGTTTTAAAATTTCAACTTGTCAAGCCTTCTGCTTTTAAATTTTGTGTTTTTGCAGTCAATTTTTTGGCAAAATTCGAAGCCAAAAGGTCGCAGAGTGTTTGTCTAGTACTCTAGAACACAATGGAGCGCGATGTGACAACCGAGCTATTTTTGAATTAAGTCTAACGATTCAATTTGGAGCCCGTGACTCGACGTCAATAATATTTTGTCATAGGGACGTCTCGCTGTTTCACAACTTAGGTCTGTTAGGAGAGTTTGGCCATATTTATAGGTATTACTTTTTATGAAGTTTTAAGGGACTGTAGTTACTATATGTCTTATATTTTTTTGCTTTGCAGTAATCTTTACAGTCGTTGGACGTTTTGTAAACTTTTACAAGATTTTTTTGGTAGTTACTACCCGGTTTATGTTGAGGTATAGATATGAAGCCAAAACCAGCCATAAATTCGGTTCATTTCCGGTCAGATATTCCTTTTTTTTAATTTAATTTTTTTTGGAATGTTTAGAAATTTCGCGCTGGGCCAATTTTTATGGGCCGAGCGGAAAATTAAACCTAGAATTGGCCAAATTAAAATATGCAAATAAAAAGAATTGGGGTTGAAGGAAGGGCCGAGATGTATAACATGTAAATGGTGCTTCAATACTCGTTTAAATTTGGTTTTTCATTTAGTTTTGTCGTCAATATAGATTTGAAAAATATTTTTGAAGCTTTTGTAAAATACGTCTTGTTGAATTTATAATTATGACTTAATTCAAATAAAAATTTCAAAATTCGAAGAAAACTTAGAGAAAACATATGTCAGTTTTGTGTACTTTAGGCAAAGCATGTTATCCTTGTGAGCGGCAATATATTTCTTGGGCCAATTTCATCGTCCTTTTAAAGCCTGGCCTAATCTTATTTTTCTTTTTGTGCCGCTGGCTTTGTTTGCCGGAAGTCCGAAATTTGTTTACCGCGATTATTTCACAGTGCGCAACAGTGGCAGTCCTCATAAGCGATCGGAAGGGATTTACCGTTTATGAATAATGCCGAAATCGACCACGGGGGTTCGTACTTGAAGGTCTTGGTAGGGTAATAAGGGATCGTTGGGAGGTGGGGTAAAATACAGTTAGGACAGGGCGCGTAGGGTCGCGTAAAATAGGGTAGGGTAAAGCAGAGTAAGGTAGGGTAGAGTAGGGTAGGGTAGGGTAGGGTAGAGCAGGGTAGAGTAGGGTAGGGTAAGGTAGAGCATGTTTTTAAAAATTAGTTAAAAACAAAGGCTACTAAAGGTCATGACAGGTTATGCTCTATGTCAGCGCAAGTGTCCTGCTTCTAATCTTGTGAGGGTAGGACTCATTCACAAAAAATATTTTTTTTTGAAAATAATGCGTGTCACTTTTTGTCACTAAAAAACAAAATTTTCAAATATTATGTTTCCATATTTCTACCTCATACATACCAAAGTAACCTTGAAGTTTTGAAAGTTTGTCCGTTTGAGTTAACGGTCCCTCATTGAATTTAGTGTCTTTAGCCGGCTCCTTTTCAACTGACCGCAAATCCGTGAAAGGAGCCAATAAAGGGCGCGGGAAAGTTTGAGAAAGGGTTTAAGTTGTTTGCCTTTTCCCTTCGGTAGTGCCAACTTTAATCCACTCCGACAATCGGTCGCTTCTGATGCCTCCAGCGCTTTTTTAACCGCATTTTAATCTGACAGAGGGGTGGGTTATGGTTAGTCGTGTTTTGGCATAGTTAGGATGGTCGAAGAGCTAAAAAAGTGTTTCGATACTTAAAGTATGAAGACCTGTATAATAGACTGAAACTTTAGCACCGTACTGTATTCGCAAATATTTTAGCAAAAAGTTAAAATTTCGTGTACAAAACTGATAATGTTAGTTCAAAACTTTAAAGTCAACTTCATAAAATTCCGTTTTTAAATTTTAAAATTTATGATGTTTTTATATAGCTCTGTATCTCCTCTTTACATATTCAAATTCTTTGGAAATGGCTAATAAAGGTTGGCCAGTTTTGGTCGTTTTTAAGTGGAAGTGCTCATTCACGGCTCTCGTTAAGCGTATAACTTAAAACACGCCCGAGGCAAGATTGCGCAATAACCGAATACTTGAAATTTTATAATTTTGCTTTTGCTACTGAAATGAACTTGTTTAGGTTAACATAGAAAAAGATAGGTTTTTTGGCATTGGCAGATCATGATTTTGCTGCGATTACTCCTAGAGCATTTTGGACTTGTTTGATTGACCGTATAAACTAAAAAAAACTTAAATACTACGAAATTCAAAATTTAGAAAAAAACTTTAGTGTTTTGTTGTTCAATCCAACCTTGTTTATGTATTGTGATTCCACCCAGTTTTAATTGCCAAATCGTGTTAACGCTTTGACCGGATGTGGTCGCAACTCCGATGAGTTTAATGATTTCCTTTGTTTCTCTGCCACTCTCTCCTCTTCATCGTATGTTTCTTGGGATCCTTAGGCATTGTTATAATGTAATCCAATCTTCATTCATGGCCTCAAACAATAAGCTCGGCCAAGACTTTAGGGATTTGGGGAATGAGTGCGCGAAAGGGCTTCATGACCTGAGGGCTTTCGTCCAGAATTTGCATAATTGGGACGTGGACGGGATAGGTTTTTGTTGGCTGATCTTTGGACTGAATTTTTGGATTAGGATGGATTTTTTTTGAATGTGGTATTATGTACTTTTAGGTTTAGAAAATGGTCGTATGTGCTGTTTACTACAGTATAAGACCATTTTCTGGTTTATTTTTAGTATTTATATTGTTTTAAGTTTATTTTTGCTTTGTATTTTTTTATGTAAATTGTTATTGATAATGAAATGTGAATTCACTTGTGTATGTAAATGTATTTGGCCAAACTTGTTTTCCAAAATTACTTACATAAATTCATGGAGTAAAGCCGTAGATGCTGTTCACGTGGCTTTGTTTTTCCGTAAATCCAGAGTTTTGTTGACGAAGTGTTATTGCTTTGCGTGCTTTGTTAATCTTTACAATTTCAACGTTCTTATGCCATTGTTCTTCAAAAGTTTTCAATTTTTAAATCTTTTTTTTTAATTTTCAAATTTGCGAATTTTATCAGCATGATGCTGTTTTAAATGTTATAGATGAGAAAATTAAAGTTGTTCTTTTAGAAAATGCCCTCAAAGTTGTTGTTGATCACATTACTGGCCTTGTCCGTGTCATACTCGTATGCCCAGAACGATGATGACTATGACCCTCAGGCAGACGACGAACGATCGCCACAACAGAAAGCCTTGGGTTCGACTGCCAGAAACTTCACACGCAGGTGCTGGGAGTTGTCAAAGTATTCTGGAGAGAAGTCTTGTGACGTGTTCAACATCTGCTGCTCCACTGATAACGTGCTGAATCGACTGAACGGAGACAAATGTCAGACGGCCGATCCGACCAACGGATGTAGTGTTAACGCTGGTGTAGGTTTGATAGTATTTTGACTGATTTCTTGTTCTTTTTGTATCTCAATTTAACGTTATATATCGTACTTGACCTGATTTACAACATTATTGTATGTTATCGGTAGTTGAATGGCCTTATCATTAATATTACATTACTTTATATTATACTAATCCCTTGCCGTTTGTAGGGTAACGAAATCCAATGGGCCCAATGTGTAGCCTACAATTGTACCGAAGAGATCACGACGACTACTACAACAACACAATCGCCCAGATACGCCAACGCTAGTCCAGTGAGATATGGTAAGTGTAACAAGATGACTATATATAATAACATGGGCGTGGAGACAAAGTAACAATATTTCAAGTTAATATAACGATATATCTACTAGAAAATAACAGATAAACATAGAATGAAGACAGTACTACAATAGTACAGGATCCTTAGAACTGTCTTAGCAGCCCTTTGTTTTTGGTAAAAATATGTTGACATAGGTAAGCTTTGTGTCAATTTGTACCTATATCTTAACAAAGATGTTTCGAAAAATTAATAAGACCAGGTTTTTACTTTCTTCATCTAATATCTATACCTACATGAGTGCTCCTCTCCATTCCCTCTGTCTGCAGTAACATTTACAGGGTGAACTAACGCAATGTAAATATACACATTTAGAAGATAATAGTAGTTTAGTGTTCGTACCAATGTGGAACGCGACTACTGTACACAAACCGTGGTTATTACTGTACGGTAAGAAGGGTCGATAATATGTTAGTATCTGTATTGTCTTTTATCTTGCCCTTGCTATGTCGGTCTAAAAGTGAATAGAATAAACAAAATAAATTGTATATTATAATAATTTATTTTACAGTAAAGTAAAAAACACTGTTATTACAGTAATGCAGTATATTATACTGTAAACACAGCCAAAATAGAGCTACAGTAGAGTAAAATGCCATAGTTAAAAGTATCAAAGTTATATATTCACCATTTTCAGGCACAATGATCGCTGTTGTAACCCCGTTGGTAGCGTTACTGCACTTGTAATACGACCATCTTCATACCTTTACAGTGCTCAAACAATCTCAGTCAAACAATCTCCTACAGTAATCGTTTTCTTACCGTAATCCCGGCGCTTTATTATGTTTTTTTCGTATTTTTGATATCTTACCTATGTTATTCATCCTTAAAATACCTATTTCAACTATTTTTATTATCTAAATTAATCTTTTTTACAATTTACATCATGCTATTAGGTTGTTCAAATAATTATGTGCCCCTCTTAAACCAAATCTTTGTTGTTAGACGGCTCAGAATTATTTGAACAACCTAATATGTGTCGTCTTACAAGTTATACCTTTAAAAATTAATTTTTATACATTTTTTTAGTGTAAAATACGTTTCTTTAAAATTGAAAAAATTTTTTTAAATTTAAAAACCTTTTTTAAATCAAAGTTTTGTTTTATTTATTGTAATAAGTAGTGTTACCTCCGTATCTTGTAATATGTTTGCTTTCAACCTACTGCAATATCATTGTAACTCGGAATAAATTAACTTAATTAGATTAGACCGCGATCATCCCTGAAATACGACCACGTTATTATACCAAGATGATCGTATTGTTTGGATATCCAATTAACTGGGCAATATTTGCATAAACCATTAGATACATTCCGAGTGAGAGGTGTTATATTATAGTGATCACTAGCTCATCCATACTTGGACAACCTAATGAAGGTTTCATCTACTAAAACGATTCATTTTTAAAGCAATGTACTTGCTCCATATAAATCCGCATGCTTTTCTTACTAAAACAAATAAAAAAGTACGGATTCGTAAAAAAGTTCTTGCCGCAGTGGCGATTCAAACCCTAAAGGCAGCAACTGAACAAACCTTGGTTTAGCTATAAAAGGGACATTGGCCATCAAAATGGACACAAAACTTTTGATTTTGTACAAACATGCGCTTTACAGTAACTACTTGTCTGTTACTTTTTACTACTGTAAACGGGTTCTCATTCAGCGACAGAAAATGGGTAAGGTTACTAAAAATGTTGATATAGTGGTATAGAAGTCCTTATAATGCAATTTTTATACTGCATCAACTGACTTTTTGAACTTTTTCGAAAAAAACTTTACCTTACCTTTCAATTTTACTTAAAAATGATACCTAATTGTAGCCCCTTTATCACAATATCAATCATTTTTATAAACTTTCTTCTTCAGAAGTTCCTCCTACCCCAAGATACCATGAAACAGCTCCTCGACCTCGACAGGCACGCCGCCAGAACCCCAATCGCAGTCGATAAAGCGGTCGATTCCATCTTATCAAACCAATCAGCCCACATCCTAGAACAACTTCAGCTCCCTCCCTTCTACTCTCAACTCCCATTCATGGCCAAGTGGCAGATCAAGGAGATTCTGTACGACAAGATGTTGCCGTACGACGAGAAACACAAACTGATCAGAGAAGTGATCTTCAACCTGCCAGACAAGTCGAGGAAGTTCCCATCGTTGAGTGCTGATGACAGAATGGCCAGACATTCACGCTACTTCGAGGCCTTCAATGCTCTACAGTACAAGGTTACCTTCAACTTCAAATTGAGCGAAATGAAGTCGGTCTTGAGTGATAAGGATTATGAAAATGTTATGGATGTCTTGACTAACAGCACATTAACTATTGAGGTAAGATCTTACCATTTATAAAACACTAAAAGTATCACTCCTTTCCTCACCTTTACCTACTACAAAATCAATATTGTTTTAGGAAAAAACCTCTCAAATCGACCAAATAATCTCTCGGCAACCATACGAGGTACTCGACCAACTTTTCTTCACCAACGTGCCCATTGTAGACGCTGAAGTCAGAGAGAGGTTCCGTCGTCTTCTGATCGAAAAGTCATTCTGGAGAGGTCGTCACAACAAAGGTCCCAAATTCGGCCCAAAAACTAGAGCAGACTGCCTCATGTGGCCATGGTGTAACATTGTCTACAAGGCTGACAGCAAGAAGAACGCTGAAAAGACATTCTACGTCAAGCAGATCGTTCCAGCTCCAATGTTGAAGAAGCCATTCAGTGTCACTATCGTCAAACCTTACTTTGTTCAAGATAAAGTGGACAAACAACTCAAAGAAGATGAAGGTCAAGATAAAGCTTCCAAAAATGATGTCAAAGCACCAGAAGTCAACCGTGGCAAAGTAGAGAATACTGTTGAGGTAAAACATCTAAATACCCAATCGCCAATCTTTTCCAACGCTCAACAGGATAGTAACATCAAGATGGACAAGAAAACTGACAAGAAAGAAGAAAGTCATATCAAGACCTTGCCATTGATTGAAAACCCTCGCCCAGTTGAACAGAAAAAGAAAGTTTTGCCAAGTCCAACCAAAGAAGAATACTTCAAACAGATTCCGATCGGAGAAGGCGTCAAGATTCACTTCAAAAACGTCAACGACAAGAAGATCCCTGTCTTCACGGTCTTCAAAATGGACCCGTTTTCTCAAAGCATCAAAGTTAACCAAGAAGCCTCAAAGCCAGTAGCTACAGCGCCATCAGTTCCTGTTCAAACTGTCAGTCAAGTCAGTATCAAAGACAATGTTGTCCCAACTAGTCCACAAGCTTCACCAAACCCAACTCCAATCCAAGAGAACAAATTCCAACTTAAAATTGCTCCAGTCCACCAAAATGGAGCCTCATTGAATCCAGTACCAACCCAAAAGACCAACGAGAAGAAAGTTCCAACCAACAACGAGAAAACTGAAGGATTCTTGGACCAACTCTACTTCAAGGAGCACGAAAACGCCTTAAAATGGAATAGAGATGAAAACCTGAAACCATTTGATCCCCAAGAACTCACAGTCTCTGCCAGAACCTTCAAGTTCGACAGTCCTCAGAAGAGCGGTCCAAAAAGATACGAAATCCTGAAGGGATCTCGGAAATGGACTGACACTGACGAGAACAAGTTCCTCGAGGAGTGGTACAAGCATCACGGTATTGCGAGAGACCAGCCTATTCCATTGAGAGAGCAGGACGATCCTGTCACTGTGCCATTGAAACCAAAGGAGAATCCCGACCATCACATCGACTCTAGGAAACAAGCGACAGCCGGTCCATTGCCTCAGGCTAAAGAACAAGTTGTGAATGGAATCCACTGGAAGAATGTCAAGCCAACGGCTACAGAGAGTCCAGTCTATGTTGAGGACGTGGTAAGTTGTAGAAATACGTTCAAAAGTAAAATATTTTACAAGTTTCTAAAAAAATAACACAATTATTTCAAAAGACAAAATTAATTGGGCGCAGCTTGTCTAGAACAATTTTATACGAAAATTTTTAGGACGAAGGAAAAGCTTTTGAAGCCAAAAAGGAACCAAATCATGAGACCGTGAAGCCTCCAACAGTTGTGATCGACAAAGAATCTTCTCAAAAGTTGGTCGTGCATCACTTATCAAATGGGTCTTCAGTACTTTCACTGGAGAAGATCAACTCTGCTGAACTCAACAAAACAGAAATGGTCAAGAAAGAAGATCCTACACAACAACCGCTGAACGAAGCTGTCGATAATTCTGTTTTGGAAGCAAAACATGATCAGGTAAGCATCCAAAGTTCATGAATCCTAAAGATATTTGACTTAAAAAGACTTACTGGTTTAAAATGTAACTGAAAGGTTTGTATAAGGTTATCTATAAAAAAATGAAATTTTATGCTAATTTTGACAAAAAATTTCAGACTGTTTTCAGGACACAATGAACATTATCACAAAGAGCCATCTGGACCAGCTGAGGGATGTCTTGGAACAGCTGCACGGCCAGATCAAACAAGCTAGAGCTTACAAACCTTGATACGGTGTACATTGCTATTCATAATCGTTTCTGTATATTTTTGAACCAAATAAATGTTTTGTAAACAAATATTGATTTTTTTAGTCTAACATATTGAAAAAGCATGATAACTTTATCTCTTGGACTAATATTGCGTATCAGTACTGTTTCAGTACCAGTATAAATATTAGGTTCAATACTACTGAACCTAATACGTCTTTATATTGATGATAAAGCACGTATACGGTATACCTACTCTCTCACTATACAACCCTAATACCACTGTTCCACTTTGATTGTTTGCCCATTACTTTCGTCTCTTATCTCATCGCTCTCGACGCATTTCTCGGTCGAATGCGTTAACGTTAAGATATTCACATAAATCACTTTCGCCTCCCGAATTTGCATTTTTGTGGAGAAAACAAATTCAGACGGCTGGCGCTTCGGATCTATGTTTTCTTCTTTTTTTACTTCCAAACCCTCCAAGAGATACCTGAAATTACCTTGATCAGACTGGTTTCTACACTGTAGATGCCGATTACGCAATTTTGTTACTCTCTGGTAACGTGAAGCAGCGTGGTGTAACGTGCTTAATGAGATGAACTTTTATTTAGTTTTGCATGCAGATTAGGTGATTCAGCTATGTTGGTTATCTTATCGTAGCGTAGCTACAGCTGGATAAAGTTTTGTTTTAGAGGGTAACAAAAGTCTTGTCGTTATTTAACTTGAAAAGTAATATAAACGAACGACATTACTTTTTGACACACTTGTTTAACCTTGTCTGATGATTCAATGATTTCCCGCGAATTTTGAAATAGTTTAAATTCCAAAAATACTTGAAATGTTTACTTTTTATCATTCCGTGATGACGTAGCCTTCCATTTCGAAACCAACTGATTAGAATAGAGAACGTTATTATAATCGTTTTTAATCCGCGCAACGCGTTTGAACAAACAAAGAAAATTAATTTATTATTTTACTCTTTTAGCTGTAAAACTTTACTTTTCTTCGATTGTAAATAAGTAACTTACTACATACTTAATTAGCTATAATTGTGCTCACCAGTAATACAAAATGCGACGATTGGGCCAAACATACGGACAAATGTAAGTTAATATAAGAGCTTGAAACAATATGAAGTTTGAAAGCATTTTTAACGAGTTTTTTGATTGTTTTGCGAAGAAATATAAAAATGCAACAAAATGTACTTTGGGAACGATCTTTTGACGTTATCTCAAGTCGCTTACTCTTTCCTGGTTACTAGTTTTATTTACGAACGTCGAGATAAACGTGTGATATGATTAATGGTACAATATTATCTTATCTTTCTTTAAATTCTTTAAATTTTATTTTTAAAGTTAGCAAATGAGTCATCGCTTATTACAATACTACGTTAGCTATCAATCAAATATAAAAAAGATTTAGTTTTGGGTAAATAAATATAAATAAAATCAAAATTTGTAATACAGAGTAGTACAAAGTAGGCTACATTTGGTCTTGAAGATTAAAATTCGTATAAAAATTAAAAAAGCATAAAAGTTAATGAAATTTGGAACACATGGAAGTGAGTCATTCAGTTGATTCGAACGTTCGAAAGCTTTACTTTACATTCTGTTCTTTTCAATATTACCCTTTCACTTCAATGTTACAAGTTTTTTTGTTCAGTTAATTTGTAATGTAAGTTCCGCTGTACCAAAAAGTTAAAACATTTTTTTTAAATTTAAAAATTAGTTTTTCTTATTTGAAAATTTTAAATGTGAGCTTACACCAATAACATAAGATCTCCCAAAAGTTCCTTTAATCTAAAAATGAATTAATTTAAAATTAGTAAGAAAAAGCTTGAAATGTTATGTCACCGTTCCATTTTCGACCTTTTCTACCTTGAATCAGACTGTTACCTAATTTTATAAAAAGTCGGATTTGTCGATGAATAATCTCGGCGCTTCTCGAAGCGCGGAATCCATTAGAAGCGACGGCCTTGAAGTAGGGTGTGGCTTTACTTTTCAGTCGTGATTTGGCGTTACCCGGCGTTCCAACCAAATCTTGGGGATTTTTTCTGATAAGCTATAGTAACTCTACTACTAACAATGTAAGTTTCATGTTAAAATACGTAACTTTTTTGTCTTTTAGTATTAATTTTAAAGCAATGTCTAGGCAATGTTAAGATCGTAGTAATATTTTAGAAAAAAGAAAAAAACGTAGGTAAATGAAAAAATGATAAGCTCTCAAAGTTTTAAAGTAATATGCTGATAAGCAACGTAACTCTCGCAATAATCTGAGGGCGGGGTCTCGGCTCGAGAGTGAGGGGAAAGGCTCGAGAGTTTCGTTGTAATTTTAAATTTCTCTCTCCTGCGGTCTGGACCGTCTTTACCTATGAATTCCGACTTGTTTTGGTAAGCTGAAATCATTTCGTATACTTTTCCACCCTTCCCGATACTTTATACAACAAAAGTTGCAATGGACGAGAACAAAGATTGGTTAGCACTTCGTTTCTTTGTTAGTAAAACAAACAATGTCATTTTAGCTGAACGGCTGTTTTGTATAGTTTTGAATATGATTTTTTATAAATTATGTGAATTTAAGGTATCAAAGTGAAGAAAAGAAGATTTTATGATAATGAATGTAATTTTAAACTAGTTTTTTAAGCTTTTAGTGTTAGTACTACGATGAGTAATGCTTACGAAATCAAAATTTTAATTTTTTAAAAAGAAAATGATGTATTACATTGTCTTTAAGCATTAGACTTTAAAAAAGTAGGTCATTCAGTACCTTAAACCAATGTTTTAATCTTTCTAACCTTTAAAACGCTACAAATTTTAGGGAAAACGGCAGAGGACTTCCTCGTTCCTTCGCGGACGATCCCTTCTTCCAACAACATCATCGTCATCCGAGTGGAGAGTTCTTCAGGGATTTCCCTCAGAATCCCGGCCCAACTCGCCGATTCGGCTCCAACCCTCGACTTTTCCCAGAACCCAACGACAGATTCTTCGATGACTTCGACAACAACTACGGTTCCCTTCCGCGACGATCTCCACGCCCTCCAAGTGTAGCTTCAGAGCGCACGATACCTGTGAATCGACCAGGCAACCTTCCACATGGCCCTACTCAACGAGGACCATCCCCAAACCTATGGAAAGACGAAGCTATCCCAGCTCCTGCTCCACCCCCAAAACCTCAGCAAGCTACGCCACCTCAGAAGACTCAGGCCACAGCTAGAGCTCCCTCACCTCAACCTCAGGTTCACGTGATCAACGTTCATCCTTCGAAGCCAGAAGGCATAGTGGAGATCAACAATACCGGTACTTCTAGCTACACAAATGGAGCCTTGAACCCGGACAGAACTAAAATGGAGAATATTAATGTAGAGAAAGTGAAGCCAGTTGAGAAAGCAGAGAAAGAAGAGATAGTGGAGAAGAAGAGTGAGCCAGAGAAGCCAGAAGAAAAGGCTGCAGAAGCTGTGGTTCCGGATCCGGAACCAGCTAAAGAACCGGTAAAGGAAGTCAGAGAAAAACCGAAATTCAGCCGAAAAACCTCGGTCGACGGATGTTCGGAGAAACTCTACAGTCTTTTGGACGATACTGAGATCAGGGTCGAGAAGTTGCGGTAAGCTTTGATATCTAAATTTAAACAGCAAATAGTTCTAGCCAATTGAATATATTTTCTTAAAAATATTCATTTCGAGATCAGAAAATTGCCGAAAAATAAATTTTGGTTTGAGGCGACAAGTTATACGACGAATAAAATATCTTTTTTTTCAGAGAAACAGCAGCTCAATTAGAAGCCGAAAAAGAATCCTTGTTGGAGATCATCAATAGCCTCAAGGTCAACACCGAGATTCTGAAGTTAGACGAAAGTAAGTTTCCGTTTTCTTTTGTTTTGTTTACTTTAGGTAACCAGGAAGACATCAACCTTAACCTGTTCATACTTATTGTTTTACCAACTTTTAAGACTACGTGTTTCATTGTTCTGCAAAGATAAAGAAGATTTTTCACTAACATGTACATTTATTAATTTTTTAGATGATCAAGAAGATATCAACGCCACCACCGAACGTATCTTGAAGAGATGTCGAGCTGTAGATGTTGTAGTTAACACTCCACGAAACGAGGAACAAACTCGAGCTCTGGAAGAGGTTAACAAGCTGATTGCTGGAGTTGTAGACAAAATGAACGAGAACTTGGCTTTTAGCAAAGATGTAGGTATACTTTTTGTGATTTTGTTAAAATACGACATTCCCCCATTAGTCTAGAATAATGCCAATTTTTAAATAATTTTAAATAAAATATTGTTGTTTTACTCAATATTATTTTATCATTTTTAGGCAATTGAACGGTTCCTGAACGCTTGCTCTCCAGATGAGCCAAACGGGCCAATCGACCAGAAGTTCCAGTCGAAGGTAGTCGAATGCACGGCCGATGATCAGAAGAAGATACGACGACGTTTGGCCCAACTTATCAGTAAAATCGACCGCGCAGAGCGAACGGTCGCTGTAGAGCAGTGAGATCGAGTTGACAGCTAGCCATCTTGCCATTCAGATCATGTGTTAGTAAAACAAATGTAAATAAAAGGTATTTAATTAAGGTAATTGGGTGGAAATAGCGGTATCTCGGTTTTACAATGGTTTTAAATGGGAAAATAAAGATTGGTTTTATGTGTTAAAGTTAAGGCAGTGATACCTACTAATTTATTAATGAAAATACGTTTACTGTTGTAGAATAGTGTAATCAAAGTAAGATAAAAGTGTGAAATATAAAAAGTAGATGATAATCAATTACTGCATGAACTGTAGTACCCACTCGGCCACAGTAGAAGTAGGATTACTGAGTACCCCAATCATACTGAAATGGTCCTCGTCGAACTCTTCTCTTACAGTATCCCTCTTGCCCAGCTTTATAAGTTCATTTTGAGCATCTCCAGCTTGTTCGATCAGCCCTGGGGCATCATGTTTTGCTGTCAGGATGGCCAGTTTTCCCTCGAATTTGGCCAATTCTTTGTATTTCACAGAGAATTTCTCTGCCGTCTCTTCTGAAAGCCTGATTCCTCGCCCAATGTAGGTATTGACCAAGGGTCGAATGTCGAACACTGGAGTAATCAGTAGAGCAGCATTCATGTAGATTCGAAGTTCTTCAACCTCCAAAACTTTGGCTGCCAAATGACCTCCGGCGCTGTGGCCAGATATTGAGAACTCCGCTGTCGGGTGGTTGTGTATAATGTCCTGGAAAAGAGTCAAGCATAACAATAAAATTTTGTCAAGTTAACAAAAAACGTCATCAAAAAATACCTTTACTCCTCTCCGTACAAGATCCGCAACTTCTTCCAACGATATTTCTGTAGCCAAAGTGTAGCCGAGTGTTATTACGGTATACCCTTGCGCCAAAAAGGTTGGTGGTACTGAGGCAGCACATTTACGACTGCTTTCCTACAACAACATTGTGATAGTGTCAAAAAAAAGAACTTTAGCACAGTAATCAATACCATTAATCAATTATACATAGTAGAAGAGTCCAATATCCTATGGCTAACATCAAACACCTTTTGTCATTCATAACGTCTTACCTGCCAATAACCTCCATGAATAAAGATGTGTATTTTTCTATACTTTTCTCCATCTTTCGGGTACCAAACATCAAACTGTTGTCTGTCATTGGCTGTAGCTGGATCTCCATAAGGTACATCAAGTTCATGTTCGTATGTTTTCAACAACTGATCCATACATTGTAGTTGATGAGAGATGTAGCTCTGTAGAAAGCTCTCTGATGACTGCTGAAGTTTTGGGTATAAGGAACATGAATACTTGCGATCTTCTTCAGTGTACTCTATCTCTGCCATTATTTCTGAAAATATACTACAATATTGTTATCAAGAATTATGTATAAGAAACAGAAAGGTCACCCAATTAAGAAAACATCAATTGATATATACTTTGCTACAACATTGTTGACAAAAACATAAACATTCCGCCTAAAAATCAACAATTTTATCAATAACACCCCAAAATAACAGATAATGGTATGACGTTTGGCAGGTCCATCAGTCACTCCAAGTGACCGCCATTCTTCTTCATATCAAACTGCCCTCCATTACAAAAGAAACTATTTTTATTCAAGTGCAACTAATTACAACTAGATCTGGAATGTGTCCGTTAGAACTTTCTCGGCTTCTTTCTGGTGGTGTTGTCCGATACTTGTAGCCATCCATGCGATTTCTGGTCGGCCAGCGTATTTTAGCTAGAATATCATGGTTATTGTAGTAGTAATTAGAAGATAACAATACTTTATATATAAAATTATGAAAATCAAGCAAAATGTAGATATTATCAACGTTTGAAGTTTAATTTTATCTTACCTCAATTCCCAAGCCATTTTGGAATCGAGGGTTAACAAACGCCCAAGCTCCAGCGTTCCTGGGCTCTTCTTGTGACCATACAAACTCTAAAATACGGTAAAATTACAAAAAACTTACATATAACATAAAACGTTTTAAAAAAAATTAATTTTAAAAATATAAAAAAGCTTAAAATTCATGTTACAGTACTTACTGGTTGCGCTTTTGTAATTTTGCAAAGTCTCTCTGATCTCGCCGACCGGGAATGGACAAAGCCTTTCCAATCTCACGATAGCGGTGTCTTCTAGATTCCGCTTTGATCTCTCAGCCATCAATAACACTGCATGTTTACCACTTACAAACACAACCTAAACATTACTACTGTAAGATGGTTACATTTAATTTTACTGCAACTAAAAAAATTTTATATGATAATATATAAACATAATTTTTATTATATGATAATAATAATAATCGGTCATTACTTTATATACCCCCTAATATAATATAAATCCATAATCATTTTGTAAAACCTACCTTTTTAACTTTATCAGGCTTTGAAGCAACATCGTCCAAGACTGGATGGAAATGGGTACCTTCTCCAAACTCTGACAGAGGAGATGCTGCTTGAGGATGACGTAGTAAGACCTTGGGTGATATTATAATCAAAGGCTTTCTGAATGGTGTCAGACACTGAAAATAACAATACATTATAAATTAACTTTATCTTACAAAAAATCTATGAAAGAATATTATAATAGAGTTTTAAAAATTATGCAAACTGTGTTAAAATACCATTCCCCGAAACTTCCTCCCCGAAAATGCATTCCCCGAGATTTCCCTTTCCCGAGTTACAGCACCTGTCTCCGTAGTAAATGGAAGTACTGAGCACTAGTTGTAGGATTAACCACGTGCATATTAACATTGTCACCATCAGCAGGCTTCTGATCTTCTCTACTGTCAGTTAATTGTAGGAATCGTTCCATATGAGCTGAACTGTGATCTGGGCCAGCTCCATCTAGTCCATGAGGTAACATCATTACTAAGCCTGATTGTCTCAGCCATTTACCTATAAAAATCAATTTATTTAAAAAAAAATAAATGATATCGTACTATAACACCACCAAACGTAAACTATACTTCACCGAAGTTTCAAGATTTTTGCTCCAAAATTGCTTATAAATTTTCTTGATACCAACTAACGTAGGATAATATATTATACATACTTTCTCCAGAAGCAATAAGAGTGTCGATCTGAACTTGAGCTGTATTATAAAAATCTCCAAACTGAGCTTCCCAGATGACCAATCTCTTCGAGTTATCGATCGAGAATCCGTATTCAAATGCCAAAACAGCTTCTTCACTCAGTGGAGAGTTGGCAGCTTCGTAAAAGTGCTTCTGATCTGGAGATATGTTATTCAATGGCACATATACTTCATCCGACTTCTGATCGACTAGTACACCGTGTCTGTGAGAGAACGTTGCTCTGCCAACATCTTGCCCACTTATTCGTACATCAAAGCCCTGAAATATTAGTTTTTAAATGAAGGTCGCCTTTTTTAAGGTTTTAGTACGAGTTTTTAATTGTAAAATAGGTCGTTTTCTTTTCAATGAGTTTTATTTTATAAATCCTTACCTGTAACAACAAAGATCCAAAAGCAAAAGCTTCAGCTGTTGCCCAATCAATGTTTTCTCCCTTTTCCAATCTCTGTATCCTAGCGTTTACATGAGTTTTCAAGATATGGGGATGCACGTTCTAAAACAAAAAATCAATATGACACTCTGTACCACATATATTTTCGCTCTTCGTACAGCTAATACAATATAAATTTACAAACTTTTTATTTTTATTTCATTTTGATAAAACTGATAACTAACAACATTAAAACTTACAAATTCATCAGGAATTGTGACCGACTTCTTTCCAATATACCGTAACAAATCGGTGTCAAGTCCTGTCGGGTATACTGTGACAGCCTTTGGTGCTTGTTGGTAACCCGACCAGTAGCCTTTTAAGTGATCTGCCCTGAAATCAACTTTATAATGAACTGCTTCGGCCTTTGAATCAAAAACGTTTTTAATAACTATTTATAATATTTATGTTACTATAAAGCTATATATTAGTGCAACTTACTTTGGTTCAGTTTTGCCTCCATCCACCCTAGCCAACGACTCGTTAAGCCAATTCTGATACTCTTCCTTTATTTTCTCCCCAAAACCTTCCTCAACCACACCTTGATCTACCAGAGACCTTGTGTATACATCAGGAATATCTTCAGTAGCATCAACCTTAGCATACAATCTAGGATTCGTGAACCTTGGGTTGTCGATTTCGTTGTGACCATGCCTTCGGAAACAGTGCAGATTTACAAAAATATCTTTTCGGAACTTCTGTAAATAAAAATCATATTTACCATAGCCTTTAACAGACACAATAAAAAAATTTAAAGAATACCTTACAGTAAACAAATACAGTAAAACTGTAAAATAAAAACTGTAAAATAATTACCTGTCTGTAGTTAAGAGCCAGTTCAGCCGCCCTAACCGCGTCTTCTGGAGAACTAGCATTAATATGAATGACAGGACAGTCCAACGCTTTGGCATAGTCAGTGCAATGTAAAGATGACCTTCCAATGTCCTTCTCAGCAGTGAATGCTAATTGATTGTTGGCTACAACGTGAATTGAGCCTCCAATACGATAATGTGGCACTTGAGCCATCGACAGTGTTTCCCATACAATACCCTAAATAAAAACTGTCATAAAGACTGGCAACGGTTTTACTAATAATAAAGAATAATAATACCGTACCTGACCCGTAAAAGCTCCATCTCCATGATAATGTACACAAAGAACCTCATCCCCAACAACTCCTTCTCCATAATCTCCTGTATGCATTGCCAACGATCTACCACGACTTTTACCGACAGCTACTGGACCAGCGACTTCCAGATGGGATGGGTTTGGTACTGTACTAACGTGAATAGTACCATCTGGAGTCTTAACATCGTAGTGGCAATCTGAAACCATTTTAACGTTATACATGATCAAATAATCAATAGATATTTAAAAGAAAGTCTGTAAAAACATACTCAAATGTGACAAGACATCTCCACTTCCATCAACATCGTCAGGAAACTCTGGCATACCTCTAATCTAAAAAAATTCGTCAATGAATTAACAAAACAAACCCAAAACAGTTTAATTAAATATAATGCATACACTTACCTTCCTCAAGACAACATCAGGTTCAAGTCCAAACAAGATCGTATGCAAAGCAAATCGTCCTCTATGAGCACCACCCCAAATAAACTCTTTCAAGTTATGCTTTGGGCCATCTTGAAGTAGTTTGGCATGAAAAGCAACTCCAGCTTCAGCACCTTCACCAGAATATCGCTTCAAAGTGGGAATTTTAGTCTCCAGAAACTTTTCATATGCCTAAAACATAAAAAATATTCAGTCAAAGCATTGTTTTAGAAATTGTAATAACAAAAAGTAATATATTGATAGAAAAACATGTAGACAGAGTTTCAATTCATAATATAAAAATCTAATACCTACCAAAGCCTTCAACAATTTATCCGCAACATCCTTCTTCTCTTCAGCTTCAAGTTCCTTCCGCTTTAGCCTTTCAAACTCTTCAGCTAGCCATTTTTGTTCTGTTAAACTCTATAAACACAAAAATCAGTATTGTACCTAAAATGCAAACAATGAAAAGCATTACAACTTACATTAAGATGCTTAAACTCAATTGCCAAGCTAGAGCAATATGTCTTCTCTAAATAGTCGATGAATTCATTTGTTTTGCCTATAAACTCTCCATGAGTAACATCTTGAGAGCTGAGATTTTGAGATAGATCTCTTAACAGCTTCTTGTTTCTAAAAATATTCTTACTTTTCTACTAAAAAAAGTCGTAACCTTTGTGTTAAAAGGTAGAGGCATAATAAATCGGCCAAAAATAATAAATATTTATATAAACTTAACATTGTTTTTGTACCATTTAAAAGCCATAAAACCTGTAAAATAGAATATAAAATAATAAACATACTCTGAATTGTCCCACAAACCCAGTGGATCCAAATTAGCAGCTCTAAAACCATATTTTTGGTACAATTCAGACACATCTTCCACTTTTTCCACTGATTTTTCGATTTCTGAAATAAAGCTTTATAAAAATCGTCATTAAAGTCCAAAAAACCCGTCATTAAAACATGCTTTATAGAACCTAAAACAAAAAGTTGTCTTACCAATCAAATTTTGTTTTTCCGCCGGAGATTTGGCGGAAAAACCGAAGAGAGATTGTTTGAAGTGATAACTACGCCTTGATCCAGACCATTTTATCAACGGAAAACGCTGAATACGATGCATTCGACCAAGGTAAGTTCGTTTATGCTAATTTTACCGATATTATTTTAGAATTTTATCGATATTTTAGATTTATCGATAATTAAAAAATAGTTACTTGAAAATTACTGGTAAATTTACATAAACTGAGCCGATATTATAGTTTGTGGGTGAGAAACGTGGTCTCACCTTTCTATCGGGAGGGAAAAAAGTTCCATTTTTGTTAAGAGCACTTGATAAGATCCGAATTCGGGTCAGAGACCAGTCGATTAGGTGAATGTTTGATGGTGAAGAAGGCTAGACTGACCTCTCACGAGTTATTCATGTTTGTATCGAACGTTTTGTACTTGAAAGATTGAAATTTGCTTGAACTTGATTGAAATTCAAGCAAAAAATTAATTTTTCTTTGAAAATATATTATATTCGATGTTGTAGTAGGCTCTATTACAACAATCAAAGCCCTAAAGTTAAAATGACTGTTTTTTGGCAATTATTTATGCAAATGGCAGTAAAATAATAGCTCTTTACATTTTTGCATCCAAAAGTTTTGTTTCATTTCAATATTGTTGTTGTTGGTCATTACGAATATAAGACTTTAAATACTATGTTTACCATGACACAAAGTAAAGTGTACGAAAAGCACTAACTATCCAATTGTTTTTGGTTTAACTTTACAACCTTTTTATGGCATTTGATTACCCAAATGTCGAAAAACATTTGGGTAATACAATTATACGAAGCGTATACCACCATGATGCCGTAAATTGAATTGGGTTTCGTACTCTAATTGTTTCATCCGTTTTGACATGTAGATTGAGGGTATTGTTCTAGCGTAGCTAAAGGGTGTTCTTCTGACATATACATACGAATAGGGTATTGTTCTAAAATGTTGATAGATAGAGGTTATTCTCTGACATTAACATAGATAGAGGAATTCTTCCAACACGGACATAGATATAACATGTACATGATGCATTCCGAAGCGGATGTGTTTGAACCGCTTTATTCGATTATGCCGTCGATAATTGTATTCAATTATAACGTTTGCCTTCTGATGTCATGCTGGGTGATGTTGTGGTAATTGTGTGTTTACATTGTTGTCGTATGTTTCGGAGTTTTATTGTTTTCCTAGTCTTACATTTTGTGTCAAAGATTGTGTAAAGTAGTTTTATAAGCTACAGTGAGATGCCAATTCGTTTTACTGTGGTATATGTATACATGTACATATAGGCAGTTATATCTGTTATTTCACTGTAGTATGAGCAGTAATACTTTTATATGAACGAATACAGAGTAATCTTCCGATGATACTATCGTTAGTTTATACCGTTTTATACCTTTACAAACATTCAACGGTCGTACAACCCAATTTGAAGCAAAGAGATCACAAGATTTGGAAAAGAAATGACGCTGCCTTTTACAATATCGCATAATATAAGGGTTACAGTAACTACACAATCACCTGGTTCTTTTTGTGAATGATACGATGTTCAAGAATGTCATAGCCTACTATTTTGAGATGTCATAGCTTAGTATTGCGAGATACTATAGCCTACTATTGTGAGATGTCATAGACTTTACTAACATGGTTGGAAGGTTAAGTATAAACCATAATTATAACAGTGTGTTACTGTAATAAAGCTTACAATAAGAGATAAAGTATGACAAAAATTTTAAAAATTTTGTTATTTTAAACTACTGCTTTCAAATATTTAAAAATACACTTAAAAATACAGTTTTTACAAGTTCAGACTTTTAAATTTACAATTACTGAACATACGATCATTCACGTCGGTAAATCATTTATATCTCGGATATTTCAAGCAAAATGTGTAGAAGTCTAAGGATTATTATGATACGATCCTATGGTACGAAAGTCTTTTCTTTTGGCACACGAACAACACATGAGGAGTGAGAATAAGTTAGACGATAAGTTACTTTATTGGTCGAAAAATCTGAAGAAGAAGTGACGCTCAACCGAATCGTAGTGGTCGTGGGCCCATTCCTCGCTTGTTTGATCTGGAATGGGGATGGTTAATATTATTAGTTAATACCTTTGTGTATATATAAAAGGTTCTTCTATTCAATTAATATTTTGTAAAAGACATGTAGGGAGCACCTACCTCATATCATCCAGGACAACATATTGAACATCACCTTCTGGTCCGCCATATTGTTCCATGTAATTTCGCACTGAAATCAATAGTTAATGAATTACATTGGTACTGGGTATTAAGCTGATATTAAGCATTTTCATTATTTTTCAGTTTAATTTCTTGGTCTGACTATCTACTATAATATAAAATAGCTTATTATGGCGTCTGATTGGGTGATGACTTCTAGAATATTAGAGTAGACTCGGCTATGTCCACTCGAAAGTAATAAATAACTTGACTCCATTAATTTATGAATACTAATTTGGCTAAATACATTCATTGTACTCAATTTAATAGAGACAGTACGATACACTTCAGAGGGTTTGAAGGAATTCAGACGTCCGTAACGGATGATTTGGCGACTATAGCGGGGTGGTTAATATTTGGATAGGAATATTTATGTAGTAGGGTCTGTGTTTACTATAGTTGCTAGACAGTGTGTTAGGATTGGCATGTAAGACAAGTTTGGGTGATTATGGTTTTGGCATGTTTTGTAAAGGGTAAGATATAGACTCTATACTATGGAGTTTGGGCTTCATACCTATATACCATACACTTTACAAACCTATGTAAACCAAGAAGGTACAGTATGTATAAAGCTACAAAAATGCTACATTATTCTGCGTTCAAGATCATAAATCATATTCCAAACCTCCACCAAGTCTCGATTAAAATAGCGGCCAATGTTGTGATATCACTCCATTGTCACGTTTTATAATCGAATAGAATTAGACCCTGCGGCGTCTTAAATAAAATATGAAAAAGGAACGGAAATAGGCTTAAGAAGGACAATGAGCACGTAATGTTGCATCGTGTGAACTTGGGGCACAGTAGAGTTACTCAAACAATGGGTAAGGTTGATCTATTACTCGTTTAATTGCAAACAGTAGTTTTGGTTTTGGAAAGAGTAAATTGGGGCATATTTTGATGCAAAACTATATTTTCGGACCATGGTTAATATAAAGTATAAATTAGGAAACATTTCCTGTCATTAAAGTAGGTTTTTTGCAATTATATCTGGTTGACCTAGTGTAAGATAATGTTTCCCTTCCAATTCCAAAGGGAATTGGAGCTCAAATGTTTAGAGACATTTTTTGACTATATTAGACATACATTATGTAAATGTAATGTTGTTTTTATAAAAAATAATGATTTATGGTTATGTGGATGATGCATATTGTCATAAATCAGACACACGATTAAGATAGTCTACAGTCGTAGCTGGTTTGTCGTTACTAATTTTGGACTAAAGATAATGCCATTTTATGCTTAGCTACGTCTTTTTAAAGCTTAGGTTTTGTATTGTAGTAGCTTATATCGTGAGAGGCTTAAAAATGTAAGAAACAATTCAAATTTTATAAACTTTTAATATTTTAGGCTTATTTAAGTAAATCAATAGGAACTTACACATTTTTAGAGCGCTTAAGTCATTTGTCGATTCTAGGACTGGACCGGAATAGCCAAAGGGCGCTAGGACAGCCAGGATAAGTAAAACCGCGACCTTAATTAAAGCATCAGCCCTCATGGTTAAGATCTGTGATGATGCGACGCCAAGTACCCTGAAAGACATTGTTTTAGGTTACGATAGGGAGTAGTCATGTTAAAGTAGTAGTCCTTACACGAATAAGTAGGAACTACTGTAATATGGTTATTAGAAAAGACTAAAATATGACGCGCAAGTATAGAGGCTACTGTAACATGGTTCTAAATCGGGATTACTGTAGTAAACTTCATATAGGCTATTAGAGGATTGTTATGAGAAAAAAGGAATGTCTAAGGTTATATTGGAAGTTATAGTATACCACGGTAATTTTGCTCAATAGGAGAACATGTAACTCCTATATGCTGTTGTATGGAATCGTCTGAATCTGTAGCACCATAAAAACGTAAACATGGAAAAAATTTTATTTTTGGAAAGCCAATAAAACATAATTTCCGAAATTCGAAAATCCCCAAAAATGCGTGGAATTTAAACAAAGGAATCACGTTAAATTGCTCGAAATTCACGTTAAACCGGAACGACCTCATAACGGATACGGTAATCCAATCGGCTGTGCCCATTAGAGCCCTAAAGGGATGAATTTGAATAAACCCTTGGCCATGCGTCCACACAAAAATGACGAAGAATTTGGGGGTTTCGTCGACACTCCGAAAAGGGGCGTGGCCTCGTGCCGGAGGGAAAAGTTTTGCCAGAATCGCCAAAACAAACAAAAACTCAAATTAAAACGGTGTTTTTGTTTATCCACAGGATTTATTGTACGACGCCGACAATCGCTTTTTATACTATACTGAAACCCGATACCACACATCCGTTGGGAACTCCGCCTACGACAAACGACGACAAATGGGCTACAGTAGAATGTCATAAATGTCAAAATTACGAAAATTACGATGATTGCATAGGAAAAGACACGTGATAGTGACGTAGAATGATAGGATAGGCATGATATCTAAGACAAGGTGTTTTTAGCTTTAATACTTTGTTATAATAATTTTTACTGCGCGGTGTGAAAGAGTTGCTATGACTTAATATTATATATAGACTAGCTTACGATATTATGAAGGCAAAATATTTTAAAAATTTGAAAAAAATGTAAAATCAACTTCCAAAAGAGGTGTCAAGAATTCAAAGTCAAGGTGTTTTACCTATAGCAAGGTTATTAAACATACGCGGTAGTAAGCGGAAGATAAATTATGTATGTAAATTCAAGTACTTTAATATTATGAATTCGCCAAATTTCGAGAATTTAAAAAACTCAGCATAACTGTTAAAAGTCATAGCAAATGTGCATCACCTGTGTCTATAACCTTTGGTTACTCTGTAAATGTATGCGTCAACCCGGTCTCGAAACATGCATAAAGACTTTGAAACATATACATAAAGAGCTCCACACATATACATAAAGAATGGCACTAAACAATGCTGGGAAAACGAGGGTGGACTGAATTTGGACTTGGACTAAAATATGAAATTTTGAACTAAAATTGAATGTTTACTCAGTTCTAACTGTAAAGTATAAAAGTATACAGCGGTTTTTGATGTGTTTAAGGTTACAGAGTAAATATGAGTCTTGACTGTGGCGGAAGCGGTAGGGATAGGATTAGAAAAAATATGATATCGAGGGGTGGATAAATTGAGAATCAACAGAGGTGACTACGTCCAACTTTTTCTAAAAATTTTGGTTGAGGGGTTACTTTTTGACTCTCTCACCACCTAGCCCTGCCTATGTTAGGCTATTTTTATAAAAACCTGAACTTTTATTGTTATATATACATACTACTATAACATCTTGAATTCTTCAAAAACTTGACTATAACCTCAAAAACTGCCCTAAACAGTACCAGGAACCATCATGCGATAGCATGATCAAACACTTACTAGAGCTATGACTCTTGACTAGAACAACAACGTGATATTATTGTTTTGATTTGGCGGAAATGTAACAATTTACATATTAAACGATGTCATTAGGCATGAAAGTGTGTGCAAGTCTTATAACCCAAATCAGCTGTTTACTAATTACTGGAAACGTTGTAATGTTAACGGATTTATGGCATCATTAAGCATCACGTTGAGAGTAATGCTTCTTGGTATCTTCCATGATAATATTAATAGTGTCCTATTTAGCACAAAGGTTATGGGGACATAATGAGCTAGTAAACATTGCCAACATCATGCTCGTTATGGTCATTTAGAGCCTCTGAAGGGCAATTGGGGTTTAAACTCGAAAATTGCAAACAATAAGATTGACGACATAATTTTGGAGAAAAAGCTCGTTTTAGTCAACAAAAATATTTTTTGCTTATGATGTTTTAAGTACACCGAGCTAAAGGATCGTATTGTATTAAAAAATTAAGAAAAGTGAACACGTAGACTACATGGTTATGTTTGTGTATGTTGTGAATGGTATTATATGTTTTATATATATATAATATGAGTGTAAAGCTGGATGATTATGTGTTTAATTGTAACGTGATATTGTAAAAGGTATCGTCTTTCGACAATGATTTCCGAAGCGGAAAGTCATGAGACATTGGCTGATTCCATCGTATCGTCTATAATATCATACATTATTTCGGAATATTTGACAATAGTTAACAATACCTTTTTGTGGAATTACATATCTCGATTTAACTTAAAGTTAGGTCGAAATTAAAGTCTTTAAATCGGAGGTTTGGAATTATCTGGTTTAGTCTGATTTTCGTGTTGAGACACAGGTTTATATAAGGTTTTTGGAAATTCTTATGATTAGACCCTACTGTACATAGATTACTATAAATGTCTGAAACATATAAAGTTTAAAATAACATTACTTTCCTCAGTAATTTCCATGTCCAGCACCATTAATTGTGGTCATCCTGATGGATTACGTAGGATTAATTGAAAACTCTTGGGTGGGAGACGTTAGACTATGGGTCAATTCCAATTTGTCCTCTCTACAGGGGTCACTTGCTACTTTATATAGCCAAAACAACGTCAACAAGTATAATATAGAAAGTGTAGAATGAGTGACAATAAACAATATCCACGCAGTTGCGCTAGCCAAGATATTTTGATTTGCATGGCACGTCATGTTATTGAACCTAAGACTACATTTATGCATACACAAGGCTACAGAAGGGTGTATGAGGGTGTAAAGCGTGGAAATTGTAGTGTTATAGGTGCTTATATGTATGTTTTTATAGTAAGATGCTTGTACAATGTTGCTGTAACTATAATTATACAAAAAAAGTAAAAAGATTTCTGATATAACTTACTTTACATACTTAAACATTTATTTAATTTAGAGACATGAACCTTCATAAGTAACATGTCATTTATATAAAGCTACATTTAAAAGTGTCATAACTCAATAAAGACACTTATAAATAATCAAGTTTCGAACTTTGTTACATTAATTTTTAGTTCATGATACCACGTGTGTAAGTTGCGTTTACTGAGTGATACTATGACTAGTTAAGGGTTTATAATTGACGTAGTAAAGCCGTCGTATGTTTGGAAGAACATCATGTCTATTCAGCCATGTTTACATGTAGTTCTTACGTTTATTATGTTATTTTAGGTGCATTGGAACTTTAATTTATGCTATAGTAGTTTAATATATGTTCATGTAGATCAATGAACTTAATAATGGTATGTAGTAATTTGATGTGTAGTAATAGTATACGATAAATGATACTGTAAAGGTGAATGGTTTGAGTTATTAGGCTGTTCAAATAATTCTGTGCTCTTTCTCTAAACAAATTATCGTAGTTAGGAGGCACAGAATTATTTAAACAACCTAATATGTTGTAGTTTGTAGGTATGTAAAAACATGTTTTGGTCTACTGAACGTACTAAAAGTCCATTCAAAACATGATGTTATATACACTTGAAAAAGTAAAGTTACCGTAACGGACTCCTAATAACTTTTGGGAAATAATTGGGCAATAAAAGTTGGTGACAGCCGGAAGTCTGACAGCAAAACGAATTACATAATGAGTAATGAATTACCGAGTAATTAAAGCCTGAATGACAAACAAATCTTGTAAGGAAGTGGGGCTACAATAACGTTGTTGTGGATACAATAGAGAGTCATCGTACGTTATTGGGAACACAATTGGCTATGTAAATATCGTACGATCTACAATGTAAATTTTATACGAATGACAAGGTAATACGATTAAACATGTAAATACACTTGAAATTGACATTGCGACAGAATTCAATACGACAGAGTTACAGTAAGAATACCTAATTCGTAGCTAATACAACATAACGAAATGTTATTGTAACACGATTTGATAAGAGTCAAACATCAACTGATGGTTACTCTGAATGTAAAAATAGTTGTGATACGTAACTATGAATCTTATATTCTCGAAATGGTCATTAATATGTTGTCCTTGATTAATTAGGAATACGTGGGAAAAGTAACAGAATTACTGTGTTTTGTGACAGGAAACGTATGGCAAGCGAGTAAATTTGCAAGAAAACGAACGTTTTGGCATATTAATATTTGCGATTTATGGCAAGGCCGCTTTTTTGGTGCTAAGTTTAGTATAATATATATTAATGAGTGATTTGGTAAAACAAGTCATAATGACTATGTTTGAATAGCTACAGGTTCGTATATGTCTCATTGCCAAACCAAACCCTAGACGACTGTCTTAATCTTCTAAACTAGTCTGGACTACAACCCGGTCCGGGCTACTCTAAAAAACCGATAGTCACAGCTAAGTCCCAAGTAATCAGTCGATATTAGACCTAAAGTGTCATACTCTACATATTCACCATGACGTTTGATTAATTTGCATAGTAATCGAATACTTTTGTAAAAGATAATGCAAAAATTTTAAATTTTTGAAAGTTGAAACCTGAAACAATCTCATGAAAGAAAACCTAGCCGGAGACATGTCTGTGCGTCATATAAATTAACACTATTTGAATGTTGTCATAAGTAAACAATGTGATTTTGACATTTTTAAGTGATGACAAAGGAAAAAACATGTTAACAAGGTTGTTGTAAGAAAGTTTTTGGAATACATGTTTTGTAAAGAAAGTTTTTGCACGTGATTTAAAAAGTTTAAAAAGGACATAAAAGGTCATAAAAGTTTAGACAAGCCGTATGACAATGTTTTTTGACATTGTTTGTTTTGTAAAAAGTTTAAAATTTGGAAAAGTCTGTTGTCATAACAATGCTCGTCATGTTTTGTGCAGAATTACCTTCGAACCTGTTTAGCCATGCACAGACCTTGAAGTTCTGCCAATCTACGTCATGCTTACTGTCAAATGTTATAAGTAGTAGATCAAGGTAATAAATAAAACATACGATAATGACTGAAAGGGACGTTTAGGTATGACGATAACAAACTGTATTAAGAGTTATTGTAGTCACAGTGAGACGGATAATACAAGTCCAGTAGGGTCTGCCTGATCAAATCTAACCTATGGTTACATACAGTAACTTTTGACATAGTAAACGACTAAAATACGACTAAAATCTATGTGTATATGTAAAATACGAAAGTTGAAAAGTCGTCATAAAAAAGTAATAATTTATTCGTTAACCTTATCAACATGTCTGGTCAGAAGCCAATGGTAGAAGCCGAATATGTTAATGCCAACAGCACACATGAAGAATAGTATCATGAACACGATCAGGAATACTCTTTCTAACACTTCGGCCAGCCAATCGTACTCGATCTCGGCCAATGTACGACGATTCGGTTGGTTTAGATAGGCTGTAAAGTACGATTTTGTTATATTGTTATTGTAACTTTATATTGATTCTAAAGTTAACAAAAAGTTGTTGAAACTAAGCCTTTATGGACAATATTAGCCATATATGGTCTGCCCTAGAGATTTTTGCCTCTATTTTTACATATTCTTAAACTTTGTACCTATTTGATACTGCTGAAGAATGTTTTACTAAGAACAATAACGTGTGTGTACTATAATTGTGATTGCAGCCAGTGCTATCATACTTACCCTCTTCGTCTTTGGATGCCATCTTTTCAATTCGACTTTTCCGTTTTGGTTTAATGCCTGGGGTCAGGCATTGGCTGGAGCCATTTAAAGTGCATTCCGTTCCTGATGGATTTGCATAATCAGAATTAAACTCGTCTTCCGTATCTTCTGGAATTCAATTTTTAACATTTTACTATCAAATTAGTGTAATTTAATTACATTTTGGCTAAGAACGCTAATCTTCTTAAAAGTGTAATTTTTTAACGCTAACATACTACAATATATGTTATAGTATGCTAACTTTGCTTAGATTTAAAAAAAAATATTGAAGGAGTGATTTTTAAGGCACCTGAAGCCTATAACAATATCGGAAATAACAGACTCACTTGGTATAATCATAGAATCCACACTGACTTGATTCTGTGAATTCAACTTCTTGTAGACGGCTACTCGACTCAACCCTGACATAGCTGAAGCACTTTCAGTCAGTGGTGGTATTAAAGTGGTGCTTGTAGCTGCTGATGTTGGGTTGTTACCGATCGTATTGGAAAACTTTTGCCATGATCGGAGCCAGATGTTGCCTCTTATCTTGTATTTGTCGTGCTAAAGAGATACGTTTACTTATGAAGATATTGTAGTAGCTTCTTTACTTTATATTCTAATTTGTAAAATACGTAGTTACCTATTTTATGTTTAGTATGTTTAGCCTTTGTCCAGGTTGCGTACTTAAAACTAAATTCTAGATTTCCTAAAGACCAATTCGTATTTTACAAAGAAAAACAAATCTGTGACGCCTACTATATTAAAATTTTTTCAAAAAGTTGTTTTAATAGGGGGCACAGAATTAATTGAACAACCTGATACTACACCTCCACAGTAACACATGTACGTCATAATTTGTCCATTTACAACTCAGAATTGTAATTGTAAACTTTTACAGCCCAATTTGTTTACCTTCTCCTTCATGGCGTAGGCTTGTCGCATTAGGAATGGCACTTCGATTAGGAGTAATGTTCCTAATTTGCGTGCCCATTTCATTGTGCGCGGGTCAGGACGTTTCCCCAACGTTCCCTTCTTCTGAATCGAGATGACGGCAGCCGACGCCCAAGTGCCCAGCGATATCAGGAACATCATGGAGGTGTAGAACCAGCCTAGAAGTACAATATATAGATATTAATAGGATTTTTACTCTGAAAATGGTTTTTGTACAGTATGACCAGAGAACCATACCTATTAAAGGTACAAACGATGATGTAGAAGGCATTTGATCTGATACCATAAAGATTAAAATTGACATGGACAGTAGCTGAAAGTTACAGTAGTGTTCATAAATGGTGCAAACGTAGTAAAATGATATAAATAATAAAATATATTACCTTGCCATACCTAATCATGCAATAAAACATAACCTTTCTTACCGTAGTAATGCCCAAAGTGATCTTCTCCTCCCGAATCTGATTCACCGTAGCCGAACTGAAGAACCCGATAATGGCGATGAAAGTGATAATAGCCGTAGGAATCATGAGATTGGTGATGTAGTACAAGGGCTTCCTCTGGATTATGATTTCAAACTCAAGCAGTGTATAATTATTGGCACAACACTTGTACTTCTTGACAATTCTGCGCACCTCAGTCTGGATGATGTTCCATCCCTCGTTTTCAATACAATTATCCACAGCTATGGCACCATCAGTACTGTTGTTGGGGTAGTAGTCGATGCCTTGATTGTCGTGAGTCCAGCTTCCGAAGGTCATTATGCAGGTCTATAACACTATTCATTTTTTAAATCGTGAGAAAAGCACTATTTAATATCATGTGTAACATACCTGAGCATCAAATGGAAATAATTTGAGATCCAAAGTACAACTAAACTTGTACAGAGCAGGATAGAGGAACTCGATATGTGCTGTTCGTTTCTCCGGCATCGTACTCACTTTTATGTTCGTGATCTTGCGACTCGATCCATCTGACATTGTCAGTCTGAAATAACATTTTAAAATATAGATCTAAATTCGTTATAACAAGAAGTTAAATTTAAAATAGCGTAATTTAAAGTGAAACTACAAAGCGAGGAGGTAAACCTACGAGTTATAGAGGGTCGTATCCGGAATCCACAAAGAATCGACCGGTAAAACGATATTAGTCAAGTTCTCGTACCTAGACGGATCCCAATATAAGAAGTCATCTTCCCAGCTCTGAAATTGTTCAATAATTTAAGTTTTTTACATTTCATAGTACATAGTTCATTGGCCATATACGGAAAAGCTATCGTTTTCCTCAAAATAAGTTTTTTACTTACAAAATCGCTTTCTCAGCTGCGCCCAGCTTAACATTGTTTTTTTTTGGCTTTTTTAGAAGTTTTAGGTAACAAGACTCATATTTATAAGTGCTGATAATAATCATTTTGATTAATATATAGTGGTTTTCGTTGCGCAGAAAATTTTTTCTGATATGAAGTTCAGTAGCTCATTACTTTTTATACAACCCGCTATATTCGTTCAACAACACTCTTGTACAGCCGTAGAACTTACCTCAATAATCCACGAGTTTAGAATGATAAACTGCTGAGGTTCATTCTAAATTAATATGAGTAATATGTAAAAAATTAGTTTTCGTGAGCGAAACATTATAAAATATTACCCTAAATTTAAACTGAAACGAAAAAACTTTAAATATTGTGCATCTTTTTAAGCTGTACTAATAGTTACTTACAACTTCGACAATTTGGTACAAAGCAATCTGGAACAGCACTTCCACTGTGTCCACTGACGTTTTCTTAGGTAATATTCGATTATTGTAATGTTTCATAAGCTGTCGTTCCAATCGGTAATGGGCAGGAAACTCAAAGGGTGCTTCGTCAGAGACCAAGTAGTCTACTGTAACATCAAAATCTCAGCTTCTTTACATAAAATAAATAACACCAAACCTAAGCTTGATTACCTCTCATTGGTACTTATTTCGAGCGACTATTAGAATCAATTACAATTGACTGTAACTTTTTGAATTATTATGGTTTAGTTAGGTTTTAAACATTAGTTTAATCGTTTTGAACTTACTTTCTGTAGACTCTGTCGATGACCTTACTATCAGTGATAAAAGTAAAGTCCATGTGAGGAGCATTATGTGTAAGGTATATACAGTAGATCATAGATTGTATTTAATAGTATTTTACTATGTTAAGTGCTGAAAAAGTTTGAATTACAGTATATTACTGTAGGAATCATATTTTTACACCATAATCATCATAGAAACATAAAGAATTGTTTTTTAAACATGTAAAACAACGCGATATGCCATTTTTTACTATTATATGGCCAAGAATGTATCATAGAATAGCATAAAATACTCAAAATGTATCAAGACTTCAGCCTTCCGCCCAACTGAATTCTAAAATCAGATATGTAGCTGAAACATGTTGATAAACGATGTTAAGTCACGCCATATTCCTCGAATTTGGCTTTGTTGGAACGCCCTGAGGGGATAAACATGGCATTATCCAATTACATTTAATTCCATTCCCAAACTCAAACCGTACTATTAAACGGCTTATATATGCAAGGGCAAATTACGACAATTTAAAGCAAAAAAAGGGAATTTTAATGCAAAAAACAGCTTAAACTTGTTAAACTCTTTCTATAGTTTTTTCAATCTTTTTGGCATTTGTTCGAGGTCAAAAAGTCTATGATTTGTTTATCGGTTATAAGAAATTGCTTCGAAAAGTGTTTCAACTAAAAACGTTTTGATTTTTATAATTTATTAGCCAAGAAAAGTCCTCTAGGTCTAAATTGAACTACATATTCCGGCTTGACTCTTTTTAATTTTCATTGGCTCGGCCGTACCCAGTTAGTCCTAGTCTTTTTGAAATAAGCGCGGCACTGAATAACAATATATATAATAATTTAAACCCTTAAAATTGATAGTCAAAACTAATATTAGGTTGTTCAAATAATTCTGCGCCTCCTCTCAAAGCAAATTTTTTGGACTAGTGGAGCATAGAATTATTTGAACGATTGAATATTAGGTTTAAGCATAAAAATAAATTTGCAAAACCTAAGAGTAAGAGCAATATATATAACTCTAAACCCTGATTACTAACGCTGAACAACCCTCTTGTTTGACAGTTATTTAAACCAAAGCCCCAAATCCAATCAGAAGTATAAAGAAGTTAATTTAAAACACTTTGGCCTGCCCAAACTGCCAAAAAAACTATTGAAAGTGCATTAAACGGGTTCATTTTTTGGTTCATACTATTTTTGGCATTATCTATTTCTACGTTATGGGTGGTATAATATTCTAAATATTCTAGTTCCTCATACTTTAAATTTATGCAAAAAAATTTTGAGCAAAAGTGATTTAAAATAGCTTTATAATCAATTTTAAAGCGTTTTTATGTCAAAATTAGCCAAAATAACTAAAGCTAAAAAAACAACTGCCTTTATACTTAAAATACGACAATTAGAGCCATGTTCCATTATGTATTTGACCACAGTTGGGTACAAACATTAGCGATTGCAAGCCTAACTGATGACACAGAATGTGTCACTCAAAAATGTAGATACGAACATGTTCTCATCAAACATACGTCAAGGATGCCTCATCAATCGAACGTTTTGGCACGTTGCAGAGAGAAAGGCATTCTCTCCCCCTCCTACAATCAACTTTAAACGGTTCGGCTCATTTGGACAAATTGGAAAACATGAAACCATTACATAATAAGCAGCCTCCGGGCCTACGCAAGTTATGTATAATAAAGAAAGTTTTTTCACTTTTTGTTTTTAGCAATGTTTAATTTAAGGAAAAACTTGCTGGTAAGAGTAAAACTGTCCTAAAATTGTCGAAAAGAGTAAAATGGTACCATTGGTACAATATATTTATAGTTGACTAAATTGAGAAAGTGAATTATTGGGGCAAAAAATGTTAAAAACACAGTTTTAAGCTTGTCGTAGTAGTCTAAAACGCCATAAAATCAGCTTGTTCAGTATGTCAAGCTCCTGCGTTAAAGTTTCAACAGGTGTTACTGGTATAACATTACTTCCAAATGTCATAACTAACGTGTCAACGTAATTTGATACATTTAGGTAACCTTTCAACCGTTCATATTAGTGAAATTAACGTTGATATACTTACATTTAAATAACATACTACTATGCAATAAACAATATTTAATGCTTACAGTATGTTTTATTTTTTTATTTTAAAAATTAGAATTTAAAGTTAAAATGTACGTAACCCATCGCAGTAACCGTCACAAACTAATAGCTACTGTATACGTCGGTTATCGTTTATGTGTGCCGAATATCGATCAATTAATCAATGACATTAATTAAGAGTTGTAAAGATCGGCGTCGAACCAACGAGGGTTGGAGGGAAAAGCTATGGCTCTACCAGTTGCGCTATTCGAGATCGAAGGCAGAAAGAAAGAACAAAGGCTCTCAATATCAAATGAAGATGATATTCGATATTGACTTCAATATTGACGTGCTTTGGGTTTTTTTTGAAATTTTGAAAAATATATATATGTTATGGTAGATACAAAGCTGTACAAAGATGTTTGCCATCTTATTAAAGTCAGTCTATTTTTAGAGATCTGCTGATGATGCATCAGAAATTTTAAATCACAAAATTTTGAAAAATAATCTTTATCCTGCCCAGGTAAGCTATAAAAGCTTTATGAGATCAAGTGATATCACATGTGTGGTCGATTATATGACCTTGAGTGATAGAATTGATTCGATTTATAATCATTTCGAAAGAAACAACAATTTACAATCGAATCAATCAACCGGTAGTTATGATAAACAAGTTGTAAACTTGTCAGTAAACATACTTTCTCTGATTTGTTACCTAAAAATGTCAAAACATTAACTTTGCATGTACACCACCCAATAATCGTATTTTACCAGTGATAATCATCATCAACATAGCTTTAAATACTTTATTCTTGAGTCGATCGTACATTAGAAACATATTATAACAAACTGAATATCTTCGTACTAGAACTATCACGTTCCACGGTGAATAAGATACGATGGTAACACTGACCGATTACATTTCCCGTATGTCGAATGTTCGTATTATTAAATTAGTTTGGTGTAAATGCAATTGGCCTAGACAATTCTGGGGACTGGGCTTCCGAGTTGGAGCTGGACTGGCCCATGTCCGTTTGGGTGGGAGAGGTTAGCCGGCTGTAAGATAAGACATAAATACATGACTGATACCACAGTAATGCACTATATTATAACATGTGTAACCATAGTAAACTTGTTTATCCATAACCTCATTTTGCAAGCTTAAACTTAGTTTTTCCTTTAAAACGCCTACTACAATATAAAACCCCGTACAGTAACTTACCGTAGCGCTTGACTGAAGACCGTACTTCTTGCCGGACTGGAGTTGCCACTCTTTTCGCTTTGCTGAAGCTCCAAACACTTCTGAATAGCTCCGAAGGCTTCGCTTAAGCGATTCAACCGGTCGACGGCGCTGATTCCGTCCACAGAGCCCGGTTCCTCGACCATTTCGTCCAGTAAATGTTCTACTGACGAGGTAAGAGCCTTAGGGTTACATAGCTTCAACAACTGCATACTTCTTTGACATTTCACGGTAAGCTCGTCAACTGTTCTGACCAAGTTGGACTAAAATTAAGATTATTACTTGATGTAAATCATTAGCATTTCAAAAATTTTTAAGCTCATACTATAAGCAAAAACCCGAAAAATAGAAATTTCAGCTTCAACAATAACTTACATTAGATCCAGACAAGCTGAAGTCATCAGGTTCTTCTCCAACATGGCTCAGGTCATCGTGCGACTTGTTGGAACGTTCATCCCCGTAAGGCCGTACTAAACGACGGAAACTTCCGGCAGTCGGCTGGTTACAAGACAACGAACGGTTCGCAAAGAAATTGTCGCTACTAAAACATAATGTAAACTACTGTACACGTCCAGATATGGATAATAATACCACCACAACACATCACAGACAAACTAAATCAATATAAATTAATATAAACTTTCAAAATCTATAACACAGCCTACTATAATATGCTGGTTAAACGTTTTCAAGCTCTATTTTAGTGTAAACCTTTATGATGTCTTAAAACCAGCTCCTTTTCATTTTTTAAACCAAAAATAGCAAAAAACTAATATCAAAAGCCAGACAACACTAAATAACCATTAAAACAACTCTAAACACCAACAACATTCACTAAACGACGGCTATCTTACTCTTCCCGTCTTAACTGATCCCTTCTTGACGTGTGCCCGGTCGATAACTCTAACAAACTGTTAATGAGGTTAGTTTTAAAGGCTCCGATCATAACTTACCGCTGTTTCAATTGTTGTTTCTTGGCTTCGGCGGCTGATTTTCGAGGATCGTATTCCTTTCGTCGGAGCCAGGCCACCATTTCGGGCGAATCCTTCGAATTGGAGGTCTGGAAACAAAGTTTTTACATTTTTACAGTCACAAACAGATTATAATAGATACAAAGCTCATTGAAACTTTACAAAAATAACCTCAAATTATATTTTCCATGCCTACAACATCAAAACCAAAACATACCTTTTTTGCTGGAGCTACGCCAGCCTTAAATGGAGGCTTCTGACTCATAGTTTGTGATGTAGCTGGCCTAAGACCACCAACAGTCGGCTGATTAACTCCCGACCTCATCGAGAATCGACCACCATCGGTTCGTCTATAATAATATTAATTTAGGTAACGAAAAGTGCTGTATATTGAACTCAAAACATTTACAAACCAAAAGTTACGCCACTTAAAACAACATCTACACTACGACAACTCATAACAAAAGTATGTAGTACAGTTATCGTAGCACCACGATCGTACTACTATAACTAACCATAAGTTAGAATTTACTATATTATAACCAATAACTTCATAACAGCTTTAGCCAAAAGTAAAACGCATAATTATGTACATAACAGTAGATACAACTACGTAAATATAGTCGTATCTAATGTAATATACAAACGTGCTTTTGTGAGTGTAGGTGTTATAAAACCAAAAGAATGTTAACACAACTAAGAGTTACAACAACTACAATCACAATGTTCAAACCCAGTAAAGAAGATTTGCTCACGTTTCGCTGTGACATCTTGCAGATCTGTGAAAAGAAAAGTAAGTGATTATAGTAAAGTAATGTTAAGTTACTCATCAAGAAGCTATCGTTAAGGCTTAACTCTTCCAAACTCATTAGTAACCTTTCAAAGTCTAGTATAATATAAGCGAAATCATTTTGAAATGCAAAAACTTAGTTTACAGCTTATTTAAGAAGCTAAAACTTTGTGAATTTAAGCCTTTCACCCTATTGTTACTAATATTAACCATAAAAACTGTAATCAATACTAAAACGTCATTTTAAAAAAGTACCTGAATCCAGCATTGCTCGAGATTCCAGCTCGTGACGTTGTTTGCTGTGTCTGACACGGCTTCGAAGGCGGATTTAGCCTCGAATTCTTAGATTGATCCACCATGGAGCGGACTTTCGGAGCCGGCAATGAAGATCGTGGCGATGGAGGTGTAGCCTGCTGATTCTGATTCCTCAAGTCTCGTAGGTCTTTCATCAGATGCCGCTTCATCGGGAATGGAGGTGAAGGCTTCTGATGGTCAGATGACCTCACCGATGACACCGTAGATGACACCATCGATGAATTCGCGGTTTCTGGGCGAGGAGTGTAGAGACGAGCTGAAGTAGGCTGAGAGCAAGTTGGTCCATCACCGTCAGTCTCTGTAGAGTCGCTGGAACTTGAGGATGAGGACGAGTACTTGCGTTGACGACGATGGTGATTGCTTTGTTTTGGCTCTTTGTTTTCTAAAACAATTTTTTTGTACAAATGTTAAGTTCAAATACTTGAGTATAAAATTCAAGGAAGATTTTTGCTCTAATATTATAATATAATGTGTTTTGGACAGTTTATTTTCTTCATTTTGTTATCTAAATTTAAAAATTCACAAATTAGGTAACACTTACCAATAACATAAGTTCCTGCTTCGCTTAGCGTGTCGGCTTCGCTTTTTATGCTCAATGCCATCATCGCTGACTCATTGTTATCTAAAATTCATTTTATCAAAAGTCAGAATCAAATTTCTTGAAATTTCAAACAAAAAACCGGATTCTTGAAATTACAAAAGCAAAAAGATATTTTTCTAAATTTCAGTCATAACATGGTTCGTCTCTACAAACGCATGAAAATATAAAATATTATTGAAACTCCAAAAAAGCAATTCAAAATGTTACCTTGTCCTTTAGGAAAGCCCTGAATCATCTTGGAGAACAGGTAATGTTTGGTGTCATTGCCAGCAGCAGCCGGTAGAGCTGGTCCAGCCTTGGATGGAGGAACGGAACGTCTGAACTGACGACGTTGTTGTTCTTGGGACGATAAAACTGGAGGTTTATTGCGCTTTGGCTTGTCTGTGATATCATCGAAGTTGACAGTAAACGCGGTAGATTGAACTGCTTGAGCAGCTAGAAGGTAAAGTTATTGAAGATAACTTCACAACAAAATTTTGTTCGGAAAGTGTTGAGCGTATAAAATATTGTTCCGAAAAGAAGTTCTGCAGCTGCAGAACACTTTGCGCCCAATTAGAGAAAAATAATACTTTTGTGATAAAATTTGAGGTTATTCTCGAACTCACCTTTCACATTGATCTTCTCCTTCTGTTCGGGAGAAAACGGACGGCTAAGATCAATGTCCATCCTGATCGCCTTCATCACCGGCTTCGGGTCCGTGCCTTGAGGGACTGGGGATTCGGCATTCTGTGGCGGTTTGGCTTCGGATGGTGTCGAAGTGGTTGGGCTGTGCAGTTTCTCGTCGGAACGCGAGTTTTGTCTTGAATTCGATCTGAAATTTGATTTTAGTTGGTGTTTAGGTAAGTGATTTGGTTTTTTTGATAAATTTAGGTAATAAAGACTAAGGTTTGATTGCATTTGAGAAGGAAAGGCTTGTGTAAACGAATAAGGACTTGTAGAACCCCTTTCTAAACATGATGAAAGAAGTTAAGAAACTCACGATCTAGTTGGAGTTTGTTCTTGCTCTCGTTTTTCGTCTGGACTGGATTCCTCGCCCCACCATGCTGGAGATCCATAAAGCTGAGGCTTCTGGAAAGTTGACTTCAGGTGTGTAGGTCGAATATGTTCACTTGGACCTTCTCCAGCATGTGAAACGAATCCAGATGTAGTTGATGAGGATGTGGTACTGTAACGTGCTGAGTGATCCATCGTACTGTTTATTGAAGATGTGGGTGGGGTTGTGTTCTGACTCTGTATTTTTTGAGGTACCGGAGACATAGAGTCATCAGTCTTGGCACCATCAACATAGTTCTGCACGTAGTGTCGACTGTTGCTACTGTTTGTGGATTCTGTAGACAGCCGAGACTCGTGATGCCTTTGGAAGTATTGGGTGGGGCTTTCCTGAAATATTAATTTACAATAATTATTGAGAGATGCTTCATATAGTCATGTAAAAGCAATTGTACTCTTATATTTAGAACTTTTAAAGTAATACCAAGAACCTACTCGCTCTCCACAAATGCTAACTGATGAGCTCGGCGGAATCTCAACCCTGTAGCCCTGACTTGAGGTGGGAGGATGGCCGAAGCTCTGGGAGAAGTTACCCATGGATCCCTGCTGATTATAAGTAGGAGGAAAGTAATAGGGTTGATTCTGGACGGTAGGCGAAGGCATTGGCGGTGCACTGACCATGTAGCCGGCTGGCGTATGGTGTGGGTAATATACCGGTTGAGAGCTTTGTGGCGGCGCATTGTAGAATACTGGGTAATATGCAACGTGAGGTTGTGGGGCAGCTGGTACAAAGTATTGTTGGCCGGTTTGAGGGTCTACCAGCATTTTACCCGGCTGGGGGTGAGCTTGGGTGGGCATGGCATACGTGGGCTGGGGAGGGCCGAAATCGCGTCGGCTGACTGCGGGGGAGGCTAGGACGGCTCCGTAGACTCTTTGGTCTTGCTGAAAGTTGTAGTTGGAATAAGTTAGTTTTTTCTGTATTTAATAATACGAGTATCTATCGTTGACTAGTCAATAACTTTTGCTATCGAAATGTTGTGATGTGATGTTATTATTGATAAAAAACAAAGTCTTACCGTATCATGGCTGTGTTGCTGACCTTGATCCATGTTTAGCGAATCGTTTGAGCTCATGACACGTGAACCAAAGGCATCTGAAACACTGTCAGTTAGCTTCATATCAGCAGAACCTTCTGTTAGTCTTATGGTTAACTTTAATTTAGCTTAGTAGGCACAACTTTTCTCTGTTTTTCACGAAAACAATTTCATTTAGTAGAAACATCTAGCCTCGATCTCATGTTAGAAACACTACCTCAGTCTCCAGCTGAGAAAATTAATTTCAAAGGACAAGGCAGAGTACGGTAAGCCCGAGGTCAAACGAATATCTAATTGATCGTTCGACGTTCCTAATGCGTAGAACGTGATTTACGCTTCTCCCCTTCCGCTTTTACGATGGACGTCGCCTTTCGTGTGATGCGCGATATGGTTAATAATAGGTCAACGAAGATGGAAGGTCGCTGCAGTTGTCTTGTTTTTGTAGTTACTCGCAAACATATTGCTGTAATCAGCGCTCGTAAATAAAGAATCGGATAAATCCCTGATGCTAGGGTCGTTAACTTTGACTAGACGTCTTCTGAAGGCGATTTTGGGTAAGGTGGATCTGTTTTGGTACGATTAATGGTCTTTTTGGAATTTTTAAGAGGCTACTACAATATAGCCTAGTAATGTTTTTACATCTATCGACTACTACTTGATGTAGCGTAACGTTTCGAATCAAACAACTGTTTAAAGTAAGGCCCTAAGGGTTAAGAACCTAAAACAAGGTCCCAAAAATACCATGTATAACATCAAAATTTAATACCTAAAATATATATCTAACCTAAAGCATGCGAACCTAAACTGAATCCAAGGCCGTTCTACTGTGACACAGCGACCGATAAAGCAAAAAGTACGATAACACAATCTGTTGAGGTTAAAAAAGCTGCGTCATCGTATTTGCCCTCAGGGTGTGGCTATCGCTTAACCTGGTGACACACCTTTGATGTCTTTTACTACCTCACGGTATCTATCCCCTATTATATCGTATCGTGATATCTATTATGTTATTCTAGGTTTTTGAGATCTACTATGATATTCTATGGTTTCTGATATCTAGATATCTACTGTGTTATTTAGTCGCTACTGCCTCGTGATATCGCGTCGCCTTTTCGCCAGCTATTGAAGTCGCTAGACTGAGTTACCTCGTTACCCATAAATCTCATTGAACCTTTTATGTTATAGCTCTTTGGCTTCGAACTCTGTCGAAGTTTTTATATTATATTAGGTTTGCTATGGCTTCTGAAGGTGATCTAAGTGAGACTAAAGAGACATTTTAAGTGTATTGACAACAAAACTAAGATTAACTTTGACCAATGGGTACTATAATACATGGAAGCTCGTTTATCTCAACTAACAGTAGTCGTATGCTAATGTTACCGCCGTCAGTTATATTATAGTACCTTTATCTTCACAACACCTAAACCCGAACATCCATACAACAACTTACATTTCGAGGCAACCAGCGACAGTGGCGACTTCCAATTGCTCGATTCTTCTTTGGGATTAAGGGCGAACTGAGAGCGCGAGATCTGAAAATGGGAAGATGAATATCATCGTCAGAAACATTCGTTCGTTTAGCGTCGGCACATTTGAAAAGAACCGGTTTGGGTAATAAACAAACATTTGTACAGAAAGTGTTTACGGAATGGCCAATGGAACGTTACAATATTTGTGTTGGACACTTGAGAGATTATTAGAGGTTATTGTACGTTCCGTAAAGCTGTGGGGGAAGGGGTTTGGAACGGATCAGTAAGAAAAAGCAAGATAAATATCATAGTAAGTAAAATATGATTAAGATTATCATAATGGTGTGCTTTTGTATTAGAAAATGAAAGAAAGGTGTTGTTGATCTATAATATCATATTTTGAAGCTGCAGACCCAATTTTTTAAAAGTAAACAAACTAAAGCTAATGCAAACTTTAAAAATGACAAAACCAAACAATCTACTACATTACAGACCTAACAAGATTTAAACTTGGAATTGGTACCATACTTTACACAAACGACCTCCTCGTAGCAGGTTGTCCTAAGGCCCTTATCACATGGCTGAACCCTTTTGCATGATCGATTTGTCCGGAGGCGAAAAGCAAACAGTCCGTCACGTAATTTTACTCTCCGCATTAAAGAAGACCCTACTTTTTATTGCGCTCTTCTGTAGGGAAATCGATTTTCGACTGTAAAAACTCTTTAAAGATTACTATTCCACTTTACAGGGCTTTTCAGTTTGGTCTGTCAGTGAGTTTTTGATTAGAAAATGGAAAGCAACGTTCTTTGAAGCCTATAAAGTTTAAACTAACTTGGTAATAGTGTTTGAACTAGCTTAAAAATTTAAAATTTTGGGTTTTAGTAGCCTTAAAGCTAAGTTTTTTAGTCTTTACTATGTTGTGAAGGCTTTACTGTCAACATAAAAAGCTATACATATGCAAAAAAAATATGAAAGTTCATGAAAATTCTGGTCTATTTTTGATTACAATAGTTTTCAAAAGCTGGGACTGTCTACCGTAAAACTAATAAAAGGATTCAGAAGCCTCGACACACGTGTGTCATTATGTATCTAAAGAATCACGCAGTTAACGGCTTGGGAACAGACAAATGGTTTAAAGTTAGCGCCAGCCGGTTGGTTGTAACAAATCATGGGATTGACAAATAATAAATATTAACCATCTGACACTATATAATGAATATTAACCAGAAACAGTATATATTATAAATTAACAGTAGATATGAAGCTGTGTTATCAGTGTCTTGAATTTCAAATTTTGAGAAGTTAAAAATAGCTTCTTTGGACCAAAAATACAAGGAAACCCGAGGAAAAAACTTAAAGTTTAACGTAATTGGCATTTTCATAAAATTCGTGACCAATTACTCAAAAATCTCTTTCTAAAATTTAAAAGTATGTAAAAAATAGGTAAGACAATCTATAAAAATCTGAGTTTAATAATCCGGAAGTGGCCAAACAGCCCCAGGGCTCAAAACTGACTTTTTCAAAAGTTCATACTCTTTTTAATACTTTTTAATTCTCTTTTCTTACAATAAAAAGTGGCAGAAGTTATAGGGCACGTTTATCATAATGACGTTTCTTTTGTCATGCCAAAAAGAATAGGAGCTTCTCAATATTATAAAGAAGATAGGCCTACTTGTCTATATCAACATAAAAGAAGAATAGGCCTTTTTCCTATCAAAGTTTCGCCAAAATGTTTGGACAAAGACACTCGTCAGCGTAGTATGTTGTAAAAATTACTAATTAGCATAATTTGAAAAGCTTGGAGGTAGCGATGATTTTGTTACGTGACAACCGGCTGTCTAAACAGTAAACTCCAAAGTAAGGCTAATAAATTCAAAGACTTCAGCTGCGAGGACTTTAAAGTTAAAAAAGCAAAAAAGAGTTTTAAGTCACCGGAAGACAATATTATTTACTATTATACAACACAACATTATAATCATTTTAAAAATATTTTGAAATTTAAGGCCTTGAGGCGCGTTTTAATATTTAAAAATAAATATAAACGGTGATGATTCTATAAACTTTAAAAAATCATTGAAATCCGAAGAAATCTATTCAAATCTTCAAAAGTCACCCCTCTGCACACCTAAATCAGATGACCTACTTCTGAAAATGTGAACATCACTTTCCCACGATTTAAAACATTTATAAGCGTTACAAAAGTTTTGAATTATTTATTTCCTTCCTCAAATTGGTATCGAATTCTCACAAAAGTTATTCATCTAACGGAATCTTATTCACCCTTCCAAAGTTCCTTCTTATAATACTTTTCTTCTTTTAAAAGAACTAAATTCGCCCCAAATTTTAGATTTTTATTCGAAAATCTAAAGTCAACAGTTCTTTGTCTACGTTTAGAAAGTCAATATTAGATTCCAAAGAGCTCTAATTATGGCTTTGAACATATAAATATAGCCTTAAAAGTCATTTATGATCATGTTTATAGAAGAAACATGACCATTCAAGACAATTTCAAAACAAAACTAGTCTTTAAAGTATATTTTCGGATATAGAACGGCCTTAAACTATGGTTTCAGAAGTCAATAAACCCTCAGAAGTCCGCCGGAATATGTCTTTTTGTCTATAAAACAACCATAAAGACCCTACTCTAATATAACCCACATCTGGACATGAAAAACCCTCAAAACGGAACCGAAACAGGTGGACAATGGGCTAGTTAAGAGTGGCCGGACCATCCGAAAACGGCCCGATTTGACCGTAAAAAGCCACAAAACGCCTCGAAATTGCGACAAAATTTGTGGAAATGACTGTTTTGAACAGCAAAATGATTTTCCTCACCCAACAACTGATATAAAATGCATTTGAGACGAGTTAATGAATCACTAGGCCTGATAAAGGGTATTCAAATTAGCCTGAATAAGACGGAGTGAGCTGGAGGCGAAATAAAGGCGAAGGGAGGGGGGCTGTCTTCGATTGCCTTTGGGAAAAAGACTGTCGCAACACATTGGGAGGGCGAGGGAGACGGCAGGGAAAGAGGCGAATAGGTCGCGCTCAAGTCTTTTCCATGGATTCAGAGGAGATACCCCAGATCGGCGAGGTCGAGAGTCTCGAACCCTTTGAAGTTTGGGCTAATCTCGTTTTGGGTAAATCCTTTGTGACATTTTGTGGACAAACAGAGTAAATGGACACTCGGCCCTCCGGGGATTTTGTTTTTATACGAAGATAGAGGGGAGGGCGAGGAAAATAATCATAATCCGTAATAGAAAACAAAGATTGTCATAGTACGAAAGAAAAGAGAGGAGAATAAAGGAAGTATTAAAATACTAATAAAAGTGGCTGAATAAATGACAGAAGGTAAAAGAAAACAAAAGTTAAGAAAAATACCCCCTTGTCACAAAAATATGCAACTTTTGGCCATGTTGCGACTTTAAATGTAAGCCTAAACCACAAACTGCCAATCTGAGTATAATTTATGGTTCGAACCACCAGAACGACCTTGATATAAATCATCGTACAGCGTAACCATGGCGATTAAGTTGGGGGATGAAGCGCCAAAGGCAATGTGATAAACGATAAATTTAGTGGTAAGGTCATGCGACGCTTTGATCTTGCATATCATTATAGTTTCAATGGTAACGTGATACAAGTTGTGAGAGGGTAGGAAAAGGATAAGAGTTTCACAAAAAACTACCCCCGCCAGTTTTTAATTTCAAAAACTGCTAAAAAAACTACTGTATGTATGTAAAATATAAAAAAATCGTTCTCCCCCTAACAAATATTGTCATTTCTTCAAGCTTTTCATGCCAGTGTTATATCTAGTCTAATATAAATCATGTTGTGATTTCCCCCTTCTTCAAAAACTGACCCCAATCACTTTAAAAAACGTTTGTTTACCATGCCAACGTCGATTAATTCATGGTTAATGTGAAGGAAAAGTGATCGATTTGTCCCGAAATTGATTGCAAGATTTGTTATAAACGGTTGAATGCATTCGGGAAACCCAACTCTTTGTCCAGTAATCGGTTTAAACTGCACTTGCAACCTACTTTAAGGTCTGAAATTTACTGCAGGACCGGGTACTGTAGTGGTTTAGTATGGGGCTTTATATTGGGTATGGTATTTCTTCTCAATCTTACTTATTGTTATAGTATAGAAAGGCTAACCTAATGTAAAAAACGGCTAAAAAGCCAAAAGATAAGACTTTTTAAAACCTAAAGAACCACTTAAAGTTGTAAAGAATCAAAGAACAAGCAAAGACAATTTTCAAAAGGTAACTTACCATAGCGTACAATAACCGGTTTCAAACAAACTGTATAGCCTTTCAAAGATAATATAATTACAAAAATAGCAGTCGCCCTTTTACTTTTACGACTTTTTAGCCAGAATACTCATTACCTGGGTTTGAAAAGTAATCATAAACTTGACAAACAATCAATACTTAACCACAGTAAAGTGCGATCAAGTAAAGCAAACACACCTGAGAGACCCTGATTTATGAGTTGATCTTACTCTCATTTCTTAGACTGTAGGGGAAAAGAATCAGAAACAGTTATGAGAAGGAAAAACAATATTGTATGCTAGTTTGGTTTACAATATTTTCTCAAAACAACTCTCGCTAGTGATATCATGTTAAGGGTAGGTACCCATAGTTGTACCCAATAGCTATTAGTGAAAATGAAGAGAGAGGGGGAAGGGGATGTAATAGGCCATAGCAAATAAGAGTAGGGTTATAACAACTTATCCTCACAAAATATTTTTTTAATTTGATACTTCTATCAATATCAAAACCCTTTCAAAAAAACCAAATCACCCCGCCCGACTAATCATATTTCATAAAACGTTACCTTCCCATTTTTTAACCGTACCCTTAACAGTAAAAACTAAAAGCCAAAAAGCAGAAGTCAGAGTAGAAACGCAGTATTGTAAGGCCACTAATAGGATTACAAGAGGCACTGTTATTCTATTCAAAAGTGGTTCAACAGTTTGCCCATCATATTATCCATCACAATGGGGAAGGAATCAAAGCGTTTGTCTTCTATAGAACATCACATACCGTAACAATGAAAGGTTGTGAAGTAAAACATTATAATTTAAAGTTTTAGGCTAACAAGCAAAACAAAAGTGGATGTTAATATTCATAGTAAGCAAAGTAAAAGAATGCTTTAACTTATAATTTGAAGTATTGAAAACCTAAATATTAACTTGAGAGACAGTTTCTTTCTTGATTAGTCCGTATTTTAAAAGAAAAAATGTAAATTACAGGGCTTATATTACTTTTAGATGTCAAGACAATAATAATATACTAAATCTATAAGTGTAACCTATAAAAACAATCGTAAATTGTAACGTATAATATAAAATGTGTAAAGTTCATTGTATCAAAAGTTTTCCGGGTTTTTTGATGATTTTATGACATTTTGAAGATCATTAATCGGTAGTTATTAGACGCAGACGTAGCGACGCGGTTACGGAAACAATTGTTCCATCAGATAAGTTTACTTTTTGTCGTAAAAATAAAAAAAGTCATGTGACATTACACAATGATACCTTATACTTTGACAATACTATTCTGTACTTTAACTACCGTAACCTACCCTACTATTTAGCTCAATTTTATATCTAGACTACCTATTACAAAATAGTAAATGATCCAAGTCTAACATTCTCTACAGATCCTATAATACCCACCAATTGCACAAAGTAAGCCAAAGAAAGCAAAGTCTTACCATATGGTCCACAAATGGCCTACTGTGCTGTGGAAACTGTGTGGAAAGCATGTTTGTAGTAGAGTTAGTATTGTAGCAAATTAGACGACCGTAAGACGAAAGCGCCTCCGATCATATCAAAGCAGAGAATGATAGGGAAAGAGCGAACAGTCAGTGGGACGCCTCAGAGAAAACACAAAACAGTCAACTGATTCCCTAATTTATTATGTAGATCCCTACGTTCGGCAGCGATAACCTTATCACAACCATAAACCAGCGACGTGTGATTGCAAGTATATGTCAAGGTAGAATGATAAACAATATTTTAGTTTAAGAGCAGGTAAGAGTGACAGATTGTAAATCGAATATAAATAGTAATAAAGAAGTCAGCCAAGAAGCAATGATTATATTATATACAGTAGATGTTATCGGATATTATAGTACAAAATACATGCAAATTACAATCTTGTTTTCAAAATGTAAAAGTTGTTTTGGAATGTAAAAAGACTTGGCATAGTGCTGCAAAGAGCTTTTCACTTTTAAATTTTAATTTTTGTCAAATATTTGAATTACAGTAATGTAAAATGTTCAATCATTGTATAAAAACCATGTGAATACCTCCTAGATTATTAAAATGTAAGTTTTTTTACATTATATTAAGAGAGTGTAAGGCTATGTCATTTTGATTCTTAATCACACCCTAATGCGCACTTACTCTGACCATGTTCTAATTGAATTAACTAATCATACACCTTATGTTCCGATGACAATTAGCAAGGTTTTACAATAAAAACCGTAGTTTTTATCAAATAATTAGAATTATGTAAGCTAGAGTATAAGATGTAGACAAACGTATTTTGGACTAATAAAATGTGCCTATTTGCAGTAAACTGCAGTAGATTTCAGTAGAAAACCAATTATAGTAGCCTCTCAAAATAAAATTTAAGAAACTATGACTTTGAAGCAACAGAATAATACTTTAAAGTAAATATTTACTACAATAAGTTATATGTAGTGCATATAGTGTTAGATAACAAATCGACTTCTCAATGTTACAATTTCAACATCAGAATGTCACTTCAAATAACGTTACAAATAACAACCTACTCTTCTGGCTTCTGGTCGCATAGGCAACGGAGGTCGACTCATAACTCTACGGGACGCCAGAGGGCTACTGTGAAGTGGAGATCGAAGCGCCACTTCCGTCCACCGCTTCCGGCATTCCGGAGACCATTCCAGACTGTCAAACTGGGGCGAGTTGGACCGGACTGACATCTTCACATCTTTCGTATCTTCTTTTTTTCAATTTGGTTACACCTAAAGTATTATTTTGTAGTAGGTTAGTGTTATAGCCAAAAAACAGTCATAAAAACATTAAAACTAAAATATATAAACCTTAAATCAAAAACCAACTTATAACTTTTCAAAATTTAACAAAGTAACACTCTTCAATGTTAACAATGGAACCTTATGTAAACAATGTAAACAAAACGTTCAACTACAAGATATAGACATGTACCTGGTACTAGAACCCTGTAACTCTCCAAATATGTAAATATTTACCCAGAACAGCTGATATAGTAATAGTTATGTCCTAGTAGTGCCTTCCAAAAACGAATATGACAAGTTTTTGGCCGCGGTTTTGTCGGCAAGTGCTGAAAGATGAAAAGAATGTTTTGTGCTCAGGTGCACTCACTTTCGCTCGAGAATTCTCGTCCCAAAGGTTTTGAATTTCACTCAAAATCCCACAAAATCAAATTGAAAACGAGCCTTCTTCAATCAGGTACACAAATTGATCTATTATATTACAACAAGCTGAATTTTGTTTACAGTTGATTGAGTTCAAATAATATTATTATGAATAAAAATTATTAATTTAAAAAAAAGACGCAAGAAAAATAGAAAATAACAAAATTAAATTTAAATCTTTTGAAAATCAAGTAGAAATAGCTCCTTTTCCTTTTGGCCAAATTATATACGGTAAACGTTATCACGAACAACCTTTTGACACTTCGCAACAATTTCCGATTATTTCGTTGAGAACCGTCTAAAAAACAGAAAATTCCGCTTTATTTCGCAAAAAAAAATATTTACGAAATATTTTGTGAAGTTCTGAATTATTTTGCGCTGTAAAATGTCAGATGCCGAAGCGGATGAACCTGTAGTATTTAAAAAGACCTTCAGAAAACGACCGGTTAATGTGAGAAAGACTGAAGCTGAAGAGGTTAAACCTAAGCCAACAGAAGAGGATAATTCTGACGAAGTATCTGAAGATTCGGAAGGATCGAAAAGTGAAGATGAAGCGGTGCCAATCAAAGTCAGGCGAGGGTTGTTTTCTAATAGAAACAAGAGGTTGAAGAAGAATCCAATGATGCAAAACGTGAGTTCACCCACATTTGGGAGGTTTATTTGTTATCTATTCTGATTTTAGAGTAAAAAGCGAGCTAATCCGATGGGAGATGTTTCGGATGAAGAAGGAACGTCGGAAGAAACCAGCGAATCAGATGAAGAAAGGAAGAAAGCCTTGGACATTGATGATAACATAAAGTCTTCTGGAATCGCGGAAAGTGAAGTACCGAAAGACATGGGAGCGACTAAATTGAGTGAAATTGACACAGAACGGGACAAGGATTATCAGGCACAGTTTGAGAGGGTTCAGAAGAATCTACAGGATAATGACCAACAGCCAGGGACAAGTGGAGAGAAGGTGAGTAAAGAGTTGGGTTATTTTTGCTAGTTTTTAGAGAAATATGATTCATTTTTTTATGTCTTTTGAAGCTTGGCTGTTGATATTTTGCTAACTTTTTTTATAAGGAAATATAGAGTAAAATTATTTTATTATATTAAAGTAGTTTTATTTATGTTATTCTTCTTTGCAGATTTACCGTGGTCTGAAGATGTACGGTGCAAAGGCGGCCAAAGACACAGTGAAAGGCAAAGCTAGTTCCGGTTTAAATCATTATGGCCCAATTAGGAATCAGCAGTTCATGAGGGCGTCTGTGAGGTGGGACTTTGCTCCTGACATTTGCAAAGATTACAAGGAAACTGGATTCTGTACATTTGGAGACTCGTGCAAGTTTCTGCACGATCGGTCTGATTACAAGCACGGTTGGGAGATTGAAGCTGAATGGCAAAAGAAGCAGGCAGCTCTTAAGAATAACGAAGAAGTGGATTATACAATACATAGTGATGAGGATTGATATTGTTGTAGTTGATTTTAACAATAAAATAACGTGTTTTTATATGATTGGTTTTTGTTCTTGGTTCTTATGTTTGAGTTACTGCCTTAATATATCTTATTTAGCTTTATCTTTATATTTTGGAACTGTCTATTTTTGTTTATAACTTTCTTGCGTTTTAAGTTACGATCTACTATAATATCAGTTAAAACGAGCTTTAGTTTTGGCTAGTAAACTCTGCTCTTATGATTTTTCTTGTTATATCTTTAAAATAGATGTTTTTTTACCTTTTTCTTCACCTACTTTTGCTATTTTTAGACGAAACGTACCTCCATAGGTCATTAAAGTCAATACACACATTAGTATGATGCTACTTCTAATTAAAGGGTTCGATAGTAGTTTCAAAGTGACGATCCTCGTTTCATGGCCAGACGTTATTTAACTGCGGGCATTTCCGTGTTTATACAAGTAAGTAATTTGGGCTTGTTAAGGCCTCGAATTGGCAATTTCAATCAAAAATTTGCTCTAATCTTTAGTTGGAGGTATAAAACGCCGCGGGGTGTAAACAAAATTTTTGAAAAAACTGTATTTTAACTTATGTTTGGCATTTTATATTTAAATTTTGATGTTGTTGTAGATGTTGTAAGTGGTTTTGGCTGTTGTTTTGTAAAACACGTTTAACGGGCTTGGATTTAAAATTTTTTTTTGTTTTATTAGTCTGTGTAGTATCTAAAATATTATGCTAGCTTACAACATTTTAACGTTTATCAAAGATCAGCCAAAACTTCAGCCTTAATTGCCAAGTGCATCACTTAATGGTGCACTTTCTGTCTGAAACCCAGAGATTGGTGCACTTTCCTTGAATGCAATTTCTCTCAGAGATTACAAAAAGCGCTGTTACCCTTTAGGGCTTATTGTAATCGCCCTTTCCTGTCGATATTTTCGACTAAAGTCGTTCCGAAGGCCAAGGGCAACGAGGATTCCTGGCCAAATCAAATTTGCCTGCGTCGGGCTTTTGACGGCGGCCACAAAACATTTGTGACATAACGTTTGAAAGGTTTTGTCTTTTTTCGGCCGTATTTGGGATGACTTTGGGTTAGGCTAACGCGATTTGAAGGGTTCTTATCATCGGTTGTGATAATAATGAAGAGGATTATTTTAGGTAACATTAGGTTGACAAGGTGTATATGAGCCGGGGGATGAATAAAAAGTTTTACTACTCTGAACAAATTTTAAAATTGATGTTTTGATTGTATGTTAATGTCAAAAAGGGTCGGTCCAAGTCTGGAATGGCGGAAATTACTTGTACATCCTTCAAAGCTGGCTTAGCAACGTCATGTTTGTCGTTCTTCTGAACTGTTTTGCCGACACAAAATGCAAAGTGTTTTGTCGCTGAAGAATGGTTATGGGGGTGTTCAAAAGATTTTAAAGTTTTTGATTTGCAAGGTAGGGTAGGGTATTTTTTGAATAATTAATTAAAGAGACTAAAGGCTCTAACATGGCATGATCTAAATCGGGTATCCGACTACAAAGCCGGTAAGGTGAGGGGTACTTATTCACAAAAAAGCGTGGGGCGACTCGCGGTAGGGTAATATCAGGTTTTTAGGAATTGAGGTAAAATACACTTCGGAAAAGGCGCAAGGTAATTTGTGTAGGATAGGGTAGGGTATGGTGTGGTAGAGCAAATGCGAGTCCTTTGCTCAAACTTTTAATAAAAACTTTTTAATGATCAATTTTGTTACCTCATAGAGTTCAAAAGCTAATATTTTAACTATAGTAAATTAAGTTTTATGTGTGCTTCATACTATACTTACGTCTACTAATTGATTACCTAATGTTACTTCATCTTGGTTTGATATGCCTAAACCTTATAATACTCAATTCGGAAGCTCAAAGACTACAACCTTCGTTCTAAATTGGCCTTATCAATGGGAACGTTTGAATCCAGTGTGAACAAGTTGTTTTACCCGAGGTGTTTGGCACATTTAAGTGCTCTATTTTGCTTACTTTCGCCGAGATTTCTATTCGAATATAACTTTTAACGTAGATGAGGACGGACATTGAGTGTTATATCTTCTTGAAGCGGGTGTTCTAGGGAATTGACATTGTTTATAACATCTTATTGAAGGCTACTGGGTATATAGCTTTTTGTCAATGGTAATTTTACAATAATAAATTTTTTTCATAACTGATTTACAATAGGTAGCACAATATTATCATGAGGATAGTTATTAGAACTGTTTTGGGTAGTTGGTACTCTATTGTAATATAAAGGATTTAAAACGTATTATGACTTCAGGTAATTGTGCTATTTCCAAAGCGGAAGTCATTTGGGTATTATTGTATTACTGGGGACAGTAGGCGGTCTTCTAACGATGACTTATGTAACATATACCTCGTTATCATAGTTGTTTAGCATTTTTTGAAAAATGTTTGGTAAAAATCAAAGTTTTATGTCAAAATGATGATTGTCTTTACAATCTGAAGTTTATTTGATTTCATTTTACGAATGTAATTGATATTTCTACCTGTCTACTATAATATAAATGGTTTCTTTCTAAATTAACCTTAATCTCTTCCAACTGTCATCATAAGTTATTAGTGTTTAGTGTAACAGATCATCTTTGAAGTGTCATTTTCATAGAAATACGGAAGTCGTTCTGTTTGCAACATATAGTCTTGTTATGATGACATTTGTACTAAATGTAACCTTTGTTGTAGAGTAAGTTTAGATAGTCTTGTTGTAGGTTAAGTGTAAATTCGTCTTACCATGTTAAACATAGCTTTTTAATGTAATTTTAGTTACGTATTTGTAAGTTTTGGCTACGTATTTGTAAATATTAAGTTTTTATAGCCTGTAGAGAGTAAGGAGCAGAGGAAATACGTGGTGGATTAACAACTTTTCATAATTATTTCTTTCTGTTACCAGCTTTCCAGCTTTTACTATGGGCTTTTCGGGCTTTATTTGAGGATTTTGATGATTTTTTATTTTTGGACTTTTTGGAGGTAGGTATAAGGATATGTTTTAGTGGATTTTTGTGTTAATTTAGACATGTTTTTGTAGTCATTTATATATAATACTAAAAATAGTAAGAACATAACTTATTTTTACATTTTCGTTTATATAGCCAGTGAAAACGTAGTTAGGATGGGGATTTTGGCTGGTTAAATTGAGCAAGAGGTGGAAACTTGAAATTGAAAATAAAATTTTAAATTTTCTTATTCCCCCCCCCCTCTTTTCTGCTCATCAGATCTTTACCTCTATAAGCCATATATAATATGTTATGTCAAAACTTTATGTTATTCTTTTGAGAAGTTAAAAATTCGCTGAGAATTCCGTATGCTAATTAGCTTCTGGGATTTTTGTTTATTTTTTCCGAAAACAAACGAATGAGTACTAATAAAGATTGGCACTACGGCCCTAATTGGTACACTGAATTGTGCAAAACAAAAGTGCAGATTAACGTGATCTTGTCCCAGTTACATTAGAACGCGTAATGTTTGAGCTTTAGTCATCAAAGTAGATCATTTTGAAATGGCATTTGCATTTTAATCTAGGTTTTTGGCAAGTTTTTGTGGGTCTATGGCTATATTTTAATTAGTTTTGAGTTTTTTAGAGCAAAATGTGTACTATTTAGGTACTTTAAGGCTAGATACTGTAGTACTAGTTGTGTAGATTAGAGATAATTTGCTGACGATTTTCTTAAGGGCAATTCGAAGTTATATTGTAGTAGGCATTCATCTAACGTGTCGAAATGAATTTTCCAATTTGGGACCGACCTGCTCAGGTTTTTTGCGAAAAAAATGAACATCGAATTTTTGCGACAGAATGCTATTGATATTTGAATGGGCGAACTGGTCCTTTAAGTTTTTACAGTCAATCTGCCAATCTCTAAACTGTCTCCTCTATTTATTCGCGTAATGCTGTCTTTTTGGTCTATATGTAGCTGCTTAATTTCGCTCCCTAATATTTGGCCGGAACGATGGCTTATCTTCTCCAACGTTCCGCCGAGTTGTGGAAATCTGCTTGGAATGTGGCCATAAAAAGCCGAAAATGGCGGTTTCCTTTTTTCTTTGCGCGCCCATTGTCGCTACTACAATCAGAAGGCAGGGGAGGATGTGACGTGCCCAACGTGTTTTATGAACAACCTTTATGTTTCAAATGTTTTTCAGGCCAAAAGAGGAACGTTCCGGCTTGAGGTGCTTAAAACAAGGTGGACGTGTTGAAGGTGTTCAAAGAACGTTGAGTTGAACGTGCTGGAGGTTGATAGGATTAGGTGGAGATTCTTGAAGTGATTGGAATAAAGACGTGCTGAAGGTATATATTTGCGGAAGGCATATATAGAACGTTGAATGCACCGTGCGCAAAGTTTATAAGGAACGTTGAGAAGAAAACTGAAGTAAACGTACTCACGGCATTTAAAAACGGTGAAAATACTAAAAAGTACAAGGACATTGAAGTTCTGAAGATAAGAAACTTGCTCAGTGAGCTCACGGTGGAGAAGTAAAGCTGAACGTGCTCAATTTCGGAAGCATCAGGTGAAAGTGCTCACGTTAGTGTCACAATGCATGCCCAAAAGGTGAGTGGGGTCTGATTATATGTTTTGAATGATATGTTTTGAGGGAAATGATGCGTTATAGGTAAGAGATTTGTCATAGCAAGGTGAAACCAGTTGTGCAAAGTGTAAAAAATTATCAAAACATGGCATGTACAACAAAAAAAAGTACAATTTTTTGATTGGGCACACTAATTTTAATTACGCTTTTTTATAATAATATAGTATTTTACATTAACATCGGAAAGCATTTACATTGCTATTAATACACCTACCTTAATATACTAAGATTAAAGCAAGCTCCTTTTTAATTTGTACTTGCAAACTTTATAGGAATCTGTCTCAATAGAGACCTCGTCAATTTGTTTTTTTTACTAATTTATTATTCTATTGCTTATTACTTATATTTGACGCCGAATAAATAAAATTATACTAATTCAAAAATAAACTAGCCTTTTTCTTAACACTGAACGTACCTAAACATTCAAAAATGCCGGGGAAAGTAAGAGAAAGCAGTTAAATGTCATTGAGAAGGCGTGGTGAAGTTATTTACTGGCTCTAGTTTACAAAAACAAGGCGTGACCTAGACCAGTTTGGCTCTTTTTCATTCAGAAAGCCCCTTGCTTAGATTTACATTGTAAAAACAATTATAAGCAAATTAACTTTCTCAACGCTAATCCCTAAGGCAAGACATCGTCTTGTGGAGTTTCGCTTTTAGGATGTATAGTCGACCGAAAAAGCTAAAATACGTGAGTTTTTAGGGGGTTTCTCAGGGCTTTACTTCGAAAAAAGTGAAAGATGAAGAAAGTTAGGGTTTCTACAAGATTGTGACGTTTTTTTGAGAAGAATTTGACATAAATAGATGAAGAAAAGATAAGGAAAGATAGCTGCTTATATTGTAATCACTTTCAGATGCGAGCTCAAAGCATGGAGCCAACGCCATTGATCTCGGTGCTCAAAGTCGTAAGTTGGACTGTTTGATAATGAGCTAGAGATAAGCCTAATAAAATGTCTGGCTTAAAAGGCCTTTGAACAAAATTTATTTTTACCTACTACAATATTTTTTTTGAAATTTTACACAGAATTTATATTAAGTTGTATAAAAAAGATTGAGCTACTGAACTCCATATACTATTATATATGATATTCAGTAGCTACTAGTACTTTATTGTATTACCAATATAACCTTTTTAAAACGAAACTTTTTGAAATTTTTTTGAAATTTTTTAAATTTAAATTTCAAAAAAAAGTAATTTCATTCGTTTCTGAGAACACAATTTGCCATGGTAAAAACAATACATAGTAATGGTTATGTAGAAACTTTATGTAACTTTTCGTTGTAGTAATTACTTTCTGTTTACTTTTATGACAAGTTTAATTAAAACTTTTCGAAACAATGCCTTTCATGCCGTTTTAGTGTTGTCACATCGTAGTTGGCACATGTTTTTGTGGTTTTACAGTCATTATGACAGTTTTATGTGAAATGGGTTTGGGTTATGACAAAGTCAAAAATTAGGCGGTGAGTAAGTCGTTTTGGTCGAAAAGTTTGTAAAATATGTCGTATTTTAGAGTTATGACTTTGAAAATTGTTTGAGTGATTTGCTTTCTAGTTTGAAGTCATTAATCTTTATCATTTTAGAACATTTAAAATATGAATTTTCAAGTCTTCTTGCAACAGAATGCCAAAGTTTGCTAAATTTTACAATTTCAACCCATAACTCATTGAAAAACCTATAATTTTAGCCAAATTCATATAAAAATGACTTTAAAATGTAACTTTTTCGACTAAAACCACAGCTGTAGTAAGATACGACACCGCGGTGTAAATAAAGTCACAAAGAATGCCATAAAACGGAGGGAAATATTATTTTAGTAATTGAATAGAGTGGACTAGCCTTTTTATAGAGAGGCTAATTAAATATATTCGAATAAAATGGCATACATTACTTTTCTTTCTCAAACACAACGTAATGTTTGATGTCTCATTGATTTTGGTTCAAGGATTTTTGGAGATTTCGAAATTTAAAAAAAAATTAAATTTGATTTTTTGAACTTTTAATGACAAAAGTGCAACCCTCATGAAAACTTACACAGGGTAATGAAATTATATTATGTTAGGTTTAAAATGGCATAAGTTATAACATTATAAGCCTAAAATGGTACTAGTAGTTAAAGTTTAAGCCTAAAGTGGGGCTGAATTTCAAAAAAACTATTTTTCTACACTTTTTCAAAGCAAAATGTAACATTATATGTATGTTGATGCCAAGTGTAATATCTGTCTAATGGTCTTACCTAAATAGTCGGTAATTGGAGTTACTATGGGCAAATTACTATTTAGCAGTAAATTACTTTATTGTTACACCAATGTAATCTTTTTTAACAAAGTAGACAATACGAGCATATATGTATGTAAACAATGGTAAAATACGGAGTTTTAACGTCCATAATGTAAGGTACGAAGCTTAAATGTACGAGATACGAAGTTGGATAATAACATCGAATATATATCTGTGTTTTATAATTACAATAAAAAGCAAACATTTTACTGTTTCATTACTTTTACTTTGCTAATGGGCCCACTTTTCCTCAGGGCATTCAGCTATCTTCTCTTCGTATCTTGGCTTCGTATCTTTGCCCGGCTTCAATTAAGAGTTATTATGGGAAGGAATTACAACACTTAGGGTTATGTTTTGTGTTTACATTGAACGTTCGTATCTTTTGCAGAAGGTGTTTCGTATGTTGAGGGTTCAAAACGTGTGTACTATGGAATGTTAAAGTGTTATAGGTATCTGTAGGGGTCGTTGTCAGATATTATGTGTATATGTATGTGTTATAGGTTTTGCTAAGGGTTATGTAGTTTTATTGTCATAGTAAATTGATGTATTGATTTTTATGTAATGTTATAGACACGGTATTTTCACATATATCGGATGTTATTCTTTAGTAAATAGTATAGCAATGAAGGGTAGAAATAGTAGATTAAAATAGTAATGGTACTTAAGAGTATCTTGTGTAAAAGCAACCAAGATATGTTGGGAAGACCTAATCGTATCTTGGTAATCGCTTTTGTACACTTAACACTTTGCTTTGTTGACACTTTGTCATATACAATTACTGGTAATGGGAATTCTCTGGGGAATACGATGGTTAACGGCGGTTACTTCTACTACATTGACAATAAATTGATTGTAAACGGGTAATGTAGGGTAAAACGATAGAGTAATGTGTAGATGCGTACTGCTAACATGACAACACAGTTGTAGGAGTTTAAAGTGGTATATATTGCGGTATATGATGGTTAATATATTTTTATAGTTACTATGACAAATCTTATAGTGAGGTCTATACCTACATTAAATACGACTAACATACTATAAGAATTACTGTTTAAACTATGGTTTTTTTAACTGTAAGGTAATTTAGATAACATTTTGAGAGATAAAGTAGATACGTAGCCAAAACTGCGGAAGAGATTACTATTATATTAGCTTTTTACTACGAACATATACACAGTTTTAATGGGATTACATGCCATTTCCAAACTTAACTTCTGAGAAAAAGGTATTATACGTACACGAGATATATTATGTTGGTATAGAGGAATCTTTTTTCAGGATTATTTATTCTAATCTTTTATATATTATAGTAGGACCATTTCACAAATTTTTATTGTTTAATATAGCGTTATAAGAGTACGTACGTTGGTACTAAAGCATGACAATTTTATTATATGCTTACCTTATCGTATCTTTGTATCATCTACGATTGTAAACTTAAATATTTAGCAATATGATTCCGCGCGTACGTTCACATCATCAACATCTGAAGCGAATGGAACAATTGCGTTATCAGGTTGGGAGCAGTCACTTTAATTGCGAGGGAAATTAAAAAAATGTGGGAAAGAACGGCACCGTGCTCAGCGTGCTTCCCTCCGTGCTTTAATTGTATCTGTGTTGTTTTTGTTTTTAGTTTGAACTTTGACGTTTCATACAGTAGGCTACTTTTTGGGGAGTATTGTTTTGTTTTTTTAGGGGTACTTTAGTAATATCTAAAGGTGGAATTTGGGTTGATATTGTAGTAGATGGCGTTTCATTGGAAGTGTTTTGATTTTTTAGTTTATGTTGAGTATTGTACTAACTGCGAATGTTTGTTTGTAGCGGAGCTCTCTGATTTTTACGATGGGGTTTGACTGAGGGCTGAGAAACAGGTCGTGTAGGCTCAGCCCGGCACTACAATTGGACCCGGTCAGGCTAAACTAGGCGTAGAATTGTATTGATTGGGTCAGTTTGAGAAAAGATTGCAACGGATCGATCTAAAACTTTGGGCCCTGAGCCGATCCTAAAAGTGGGTCCGGACCGTTTCTGATCATTAGTTTGACTTCGGGCTGAAAAAATGAAGGTTTGGTGTAGCATGCCTAAAGCCGTGTCTGTTTTACCTCTCCCTATGCCTTGTTGTCTTACGTTACGATCTTTGAATCAGGAAGCATGTTTTTGTTATACTGAATAATATATTATAGTATTGTAATTATCGTTATTGTAATTTCATTATTATGCTTTTTGGTTATATACGAGGTCTAATAAGGTTCATATGAGTTATAACTTGTGATATTTGCGTAATTTTTAAACTTTTTTTTATTTTATTTTCTAACTGTTGTAAAAAGATTATTTTTTGAAAATTTTTTACTTTACTTTAATTTATTTTAATATTTGTCTTAAAGTAAATATTTAATGATTATGAGTTATAACTAAAAAAATTATTTTATAACTAAATTATATATAATATACGATAACAATATAATTTTCAAAAAATTATCATTTTTTCGAAATTTAAAAAACTTAACGTGCAACCACGTAGAGGATGAACAGGCATCGTACCGGGAACTCTTTTTACTGCAAAAAGTCAAACTGAATTATGAAGACATTAAAGATGAAAAGAGTTTTAGGTTACGTACTAACGTTTGCGTGGTACGTTGGCCTCCCGAGTTTTGTTGATAGTTTGGGAGACTGAATGTTTAAGTAGGAGTGATATGATAATACGAAGAATTTAATATGGAGGGGGTTGTATATAGGTTTATGTGATTAATATGTTGTAGTAGACAAAATGGTGATTATGAAAATTACGGTAATGTTGTACTATAAAATACCTTAGTAAGATGTTACGTTGTTCAAGTAATCGTGAGCTTCCTCTCAAAGCAAATTTTTTGGGTTAGTGGGCGCAGAATTTTTTGAACAATCTAATGTCTTACAATTTTACTATACAGTACAATATTAGCTATTGTAATTTACAATTCAATGATAAGCAGTATCAAACAGTTCAAAAAAGTCTTAAAATATTCAATGACACAGTAAAAACCATAGTATTAGGTTATATACTAACATCATCGTACCACAGTCGAGAATAGATTGCGTGCACTGCTAAAGATCACATGACATTCTTTATTAAACTCGGCACGGAACCTACTTTAAGCTTTGGGTGTTTTGTCTAAAAATTTGTAAAATTTTGAAAATTATAAAATAATTTATCGTTTGTTGTGTTTTTGCTATGACATGGTGATGTTGTGTCGTATGTAGGTGGTTTTCGTGTTTTTATGGATTTATTTTGGTTATTTTGTTACTTTTCGCTTGGTTTTAGATATAAATTGGCAAAAGGCATAGCTTTATCAATAAGTTTATATTTTATGCTTGGGTCGATATTGTAGTAGGTAAAAATATCGAAATTCTGATAAAAAGGTCAAGTGCAATATAATTTTTAGCTTAAAATTTAAAGATCTTTTAAAATTATATTAGTATTCTTATTACCTTTTAAAGTTTCAGCCTCGATCTCAGGAAAAGCTTCCGGTAATCGCGAACGGTGGCCTGGAAAAGTCGGCTGAAATGGAAACAATTAGGCTCAACGTGGGTGGTCGTTCAGCTCAACTGGCGGTCGAAACGGTCGGTATTTGAATATTTTATGTTTTTACATTATAGCATAAGACATAGCTCATTACTTTTTAAACAAGTCATTAGAATATTTTTTGTTTTTAATTTTTATTGGTCTACAAATATCAAGTTGCGTTTAATAGTATGCGACATAGCTCATTACTTTTTGAACAACTAAAATTTGGCTCTAGGATACTATATTTATCATATTGAGAAAGGTATGGCAAGTGGAGAGTAAGGAAATTTTTTGATCGAGTTTGAGGAGGCTAGATTAACTTATTTTTATAACTGTAGAGCAGGATACTGCCTTTTCCTTTTTGTAGAGATAATGTTGTTACTTTAGGTAAAACTACGAATGGACAGCAGCCGGCTAGCCTTGTTTTGTGAGAAGAATCATATCGAACGTCTGACAGAATGCGACTCTTACTTCGAACAGTCCAACGAGTACTATTTCGAGAAAAGCCCGACTATCTTCGAGTACGTTATCGACTACTACATCACTGGACATCTACATCGACCGATGGACGTATGTCCGATACGATTAAGAGACGAGTTCGAATACTGGAGGCTACCGTTATCGTGCATGGCAGCTTGTTGTAGGCTGGAGGATCCAACGGCCAAGAAAAGTCATTTCGGGAGTAGTGAGCAGGTAGGGGTACTGTAGCAGTGATTACTGTAAAATATTTTTGTTTATTTTATGGTAAATTTATTTACTTAGGTGATATTTATTTTTGCATTGGGTTCAAATGCTTTCTTAGCTTCTGTCTACAGCAATATGGTCTTACTATTACATTTTCACACATCAATAGTATATAAACTTACATTTCAGGTATTTATGGACGATGACAGCACAATCCCCTTGTTCGACAAAGTAATCATGGGAAAACAGCGGAGGAAAGCCTACGATTTCTTCGAGAATCCTCGATCTTCATCGTCGGCCAAAGTGCTGAGCATAGTATCAGCATCGTTCGTACTCGTATCACTATGTGGCTTGATATTGTCATCGATGCCAGAGTTCCAGATGGACGATCTTACCCCTCACATTGTCATACAAGGTGTGGAGATATGTTGTATGTTGTTCTTCACCATGGAATACATGTGCAGGTTCTTGGTATCGCCGAGGAAGTGGCATTTTGTGAAACAACCTTTGAATATCATCGATTGTATGACAATTCTGCCATTCTTTATCGAGGAGTTCATGAGGTTGTTTGGGTACGAACATGTGGAGTTGAGGAATCTTAGAGGTAAGGGTTTTTCTTTGAGGTTTACATTGACATAGAGGGTTTCTAGAATAAGATAAGAGGTTGTTCAAATAATTATGAGCTACAAACCTCAAAAATTTGCTTTGAGAGGGGCACAGGATTAGTTGAACAACCTAATATATTGTAAATTAAGTATTATATGATGAAGTCTATATTGTTTTAGATCTCATTTTTATATTGTTTCAGGCCCAATGATTGTCGTTCGAGTCCTTCGAGTACTTCGAATAGCTAGGATATTCAAATTAGCACGATACTCGATTGGTCTTCGTGCTTTTGGTGAGACGATGAAGAAGTCGGCTGCCGAACTCTCAATGTTAGGATGCTTTTTGCTTACGGGTCAGTTTGAAATTAAAATTTTAAATTTTTTACAATTAAAAAAAATTAAAATTTTGAAGCAATATTATAGTCAATTTACAATCAAATTTATGTGTAATATAAAAAGGTTTCTAATTTAGGTATAATGTTGTTTTCGACCGCCATCTACTTCTTCGAACGCGATGAACCTAACTCCAAGTTCTACTCGATCCCAGCTGCTTGGTGGTGGTGTAAGTTGAATTGACAGTAACTATGAGATTTTAAGATATATAGGATATAACTATGCGCTTCTAATAATGTAATACTATATGAACGTATGTATGTACAAATTGTGTCGATACTGTAACTTAAAATTCATCAAACGTATTTTATATGATTTAGGCGTTGCTACGATGACTACTGTAGGATACGGTGATCTAGTGCCAGTAACTGCTGGTGGAAAGGTTGTCGCGGCCACAGCCAGTGTTTGTGGTATCATTGGTAAGATTTTTATCAATTATTATCAGTTAGGTGATCTATTTTTTATTTTTTAAAAGCAGATTATACTCAGTTTGATAACCGGTGTTAATATTACTATGTTAATATACAGTTACGATTGCTTATATTAGATTATTCAATTAATTCTGCGCCTCTCTCAACGCAAATTTTTGTTTTTATGGAGCACAGAATTAGTTGAAAAACCTAATAAAAATGTAAACTTTTAACATTACTGATAAAACAATTTCCAGTCTTGGCCTTCCCTATCTCAATGATATTGGACAAGTTTGCGGAATCGACCGGTGGCTGGAAGAAGGACGACTTTCCGCCGATGCCAATGGCCCCAGTTATGGGTAATAATCACAACAAATTTAAATCGATGCGGAAATCCAAACGATACGTATTTTAACGTGCCAATTCATCCCAGACTTTGCAACAAAAACTATACGGTTACACTTATTATATATTGTAATAAACTTGTACAATTCTAAGCTACAGAGTAGTCCAGAAGAGAAGAGTAGCTGGAGAGCGTATCTTGATATATAATAGAATTAGAGCCAGTGAACACTTTCAGCTTTTTGGAGAAAAATTAGTTTGAAACCGTTTTGCAAATCGAAGGTTAAACGTAATATCATCTTTTAATAACTTTTGCGCAAATGTACATGAAAACCAGGCAATGCAGGGCAAGGGTTCTTCTATTATACATGCCAAAATAGTTTTTTTAGTATAACATGGATGTCTTTGTTAATTTTTAAAAAATGACAAAAGGCGCCAGGTGGACAGAATTTTTTTCCTTGGTTCTAACCTGTCTTTACAACCAGGTGTCACACTATCTAGGTACTTTTTGATAAAGAGTTTTATTACAAAGAGTCATCAAGAATCTGTCATTATAAAGGAGAGCTGTCACTCTATCGCGAGTCGTTCTAAAGAGGTTTTACTGTATTATAATAATTGTTTTATAACTTTTTGTGAAGATTTAAAACTATTTTAGGTCTTGTTTATTGAAAAAACTATTATTTTGATATCAAAAACGAATCGAAGTCCTACAATCGAAAACATATTCGGATTGTTGTCCTCTTATTGGGCCGTGAAAAAGGTAACGAAATTGGGGCCTAACTTTATCAAAGCGTAATCAAAAGGCAGAGTCTTTTGCCTAAACAAGGTTAAAGGCATCTGAAGACGGAAGTTGTTAAACGAGAGATGGCAGCGCCCTATCAAAGATACTCAAAAGTCTTTTCATATTCGGCTGTTTTTGTTTTCACAAGTTTTACTGCCATTGTTTTGGGCATGTTTAATCAGGACAAGGTTGTCGCAATTAAAATTGTTTGTTGTGTGGGTTGCGGGAAAGGGATTGTTAAGAATTTTGCTTTACAGGTGGAGAAAGTAATTTACTTTTTAGTATATTAATCTATAAGTACAAGTTTAATTTTCAGAACTTCTTAGTTTATATTAATGTACTAGTTCGTTATGTACCATTTACTTTTTGTATACCTAGTTGTATATAATTGGTTAAGAAAGTAAAACATTGCAAATTAGTTTTTAAGGTTGAAAATCTTTAAATTTATTAGGTTCTTTAAATAATTCTAGGCCTCTATCAAAGCTGATTTTTGAGGTTTGGGTCACAGTATTATTTAAAAAAATTAATATTTTAGACTTTAAGTTTAATAAATTTGGAGCAAGATTAAGTTGGTGTTAGTCTAATCGCTTGCTACCAGCTTATATCACTTTCAAAATGCTTACACTTATTAAAATTCCTTATAAAAGTGAGAATATTTATTTTTTACTATAGATTCTTGCAATTTTAAAAACCTTTTTGGTTTTTTTTAAATATTTCTTAGTGTTTAGTACACCTGCTTGTAGAGTAGGTTGGCAAAGTGGTGATAGGTTATTCTTTTTTTTCAAAAAAAAATTTTTTTTACATTTTTTTTTGCTTTTTACAACAAAAAATGCAAATTATTTTGTGCTTTTATTAAAGCGATCTTCAAGATGGGGCACAGAAGTATTTGAACAACTAAAAAATATTTGTCGCTGAAAAACGTTTTTTGTTATTTTTAAGACAGAAGTATATTGTTTTACTATCTTGTGTTGTCGCAATTTTATACGTTTGAAGTTTTTACAAAAATTGGCATTTACTTATTCATTGTTTTACATTGTTTCAATTTATATTTAGGTGTAAAATCGTATAGAATTTACTTTGGCTTCGAATAAGGACTATTAAATTGATTGGATTGAATTACATCTTCGTATGTTCTTTGTGTGTTCCAAAGGTCAACTTTGCTGGTTTTTTGGTAGGTTTAAACAGTTTAATTAGGTATATCATAACTTTCTGCTTTTACTATGTAACTGTTATTTTTACTGTTTTCGAAAAATAGTTTTTAATTAACATTAAGCTAGACCTATTAAAAACTTAAGTTTTATCTGTTACAGACGATTCTAAAATACTACCGTAACGCCTATTGTATTTTCTACACCCCTTAATTACCCATACTCAGCCGTTGCTAGAATACCCATCCTATCAAATATTTACCAAGATGGCCATGTTAAATGTGACGTCGAAAAAGGTTGGTTGGGGCGAGAGGAGAGGGCATGCCCTGAGGACTTCTTGATTCGGTCCATCGAATTAAGGCCATCCCATGTGTTTTTTCGACTTTGCCCGCAGGCAATTCTTGGCTCGGAAAGTGTAAAAATTAATGAGAATTAGCGAGAAAGGGTTACGGCTTTGTGTAGACCTTAATATAGGTATTAAAATAGGTAATGACGAGACTATGTTTGGGTAGATGACTATATTTAGGTATAGGGGTGACGTTTTGTCAGCTCAGCCACGGCTTCTTTATTTTCCGTTTTATTTCCTCAGGCAATTTGAATACATTAAGGGTTAGCCGGCCTGTTTTTATTGTCGTATTCAAATGTTAGGGGAGGGAATATGACATTTCTGTATAACATTTTGCAAAAAAATGTATTTTAGTTTATGAATACTGTAATTTACTGTATATATTTATAAAATTTTGATGATTCAGATCTAAAAACAGCTTTAAAAACCTAAAAACGAGAAAAACAGTGACAAAACCATGTATAATATTTGCAAATTTTAATATTGTGGGTATATCTTTGATGTTCTTTGAGCTCAAACATGTTATTTTAATTGCCCTGTGGGGATTTCAGAGTAATACACTTGAAAGCTGTTTTATTTTTATTGGCAATGACTTTGAAAGTCTTAAAAAAGGGTAAATTTTATGGTTTAATAAGGAACTGTCATAAGCTAAGAGTGCATATCAATATCGCTATACACCTTTCTATGTTGTGAGTGTAAATCTACCGCGTAGTATTTTATATTATTATCACAATAGCTTGAATAGTTTTACTTTATAAGTTGAACTATGGAATCAGTCTATGTAAGTTTTTTAACGTATCAAAAGTAAAATTCTATGTGTTATGTACGGATTACTATGTTATCCACGGAAGATATAAGACAAAAGAGTAGTATAAGATGTATATTATCTATGGCTTTTAATCCTACTTTATTATACATTTTCTTTATACATATCAGCGTTCCTATAACACTGTATTAGCTATCTTATAACAAAATTATTTCAATTTTTTAAAGTGTTACTCAGTAGAAATAAAAAATACTGCAAGTTTTTCGAAACTTTTTGTTTAAATTGAGCATAATTTGACCAAACATTAAGTATTTAAATTACACGGCTTCAGACTTTTTTGAAAGAATATCTCTGTGATTGACGTTCTTTTACAATTTTAAGAAGCCTTAATTACCGTACAAATTGTTGTTCGAAGCTGTGAGTAGTAGGAAATGTTGTTTGAGGTAGTGTTTGTGCAGATTTGCATTATGTAGCCATATCAGGCAATTTTGATATTAACTTTTTTCGCAAAAAAATTGAGCAACTCGATTCCAATTTGGACGCTAAAGTTTTTTGAGGACATTTTGTGGTGCTCTAAGTGTTGCTTTTATATACCTAAATAAGTTAATACGAAAATAATCTGTTCAGTATCTAGAATTGTTAACAATAGTATGATTAAGTTGAGACATAACATTTGTTTTTTAGTATGTTTACTTTAATCTAACGTTAACATTAACGATGACTCAATGTTTTCCGTGTTACATTACTTGTTATTTTATTTGGATATAGTGCTATATTTTTTACTTTTCTTAAGTGTTTGAGTATAACTTTACACTGTAACTCAATTACTAGTTTTTATAAACTAAATTACCTCAACTCCCATAAAGCAATATATTGTCTAAAAACCAATATAATTTCTCAGTGTTACCCAAAATTTAATATTATTTTTTAAAGAGCATTAAAACTCCGTTTTTTTTATAAAAAAGTAGTAAAAAGTAAAAGTAATTTGTTGTGTTACCATGTCGTGACATACTTTACACTTACTAAGCTAAGACAAAGTTTGTGGATTTGAAAAGCTTTTAGTCCGAACAGGATTGCAGTATGTTTTAGAACAGGATTACAATACGTACAATACAATATTGTGGGATTGTGACGTTTTTAAATGACAGTTTTATTGTAATGGGAAACAATACACTGTAGAAGATTACTTCCGTAGAACTGAATATTGTTTTAGTTCCGTAAACTTTTGTTGATTATAACATTGGCTTTAAACAGTATGTAAGAATGTTAAAGTATTTTCATATTTTTAGGTAATAATGTAACGTCTTCAGTCTTTTCAGATAGATTTGGGTCGTAGAGCCAGTTCCATATCAGCATATCAAGGCCGCAGAGTCAGCTCGGATGATGTTAAAATGAGCGGTAAGTGATTATTTGAATGTTCAAAAAATAATGAGCCACTGTACTGAATAACTACAAAAAGTTTTGGAATTTTAATATGTATTTAATTTTTTTGATATTTTAAAAATCTGATTTGTATGAGCATAGCAGACCATTGGCTCATTACTTTTGGAACAACCTAATAGAGCAATAATCTTTTAATCAATTATCGAAGGTTATACAGACTTTAATCAAAATTCCATTAAAAATTTTATTGTAAAACAAAAAATAGCTTTAAACCAGACCAACTTAATGTCAGTTCAGTCTATTAAATCTTTGCCAAACATACTATAATATTTATATTATAGTATAATGCAAAGATGAAGCTTCTTGTTCGTATATGTGATACTCGTATTGGATTCTCTTCAGCCTCTTTTTTATAAATTTGAGTTCAAAAAACCATTTTAAATTCTTCTTTTTATATTTTTTCACAATTGCAAGGTTAAAACTGTCATATTTCTTAAATTATTGGGCTTCTTGCATTAGAAATTGTTGTAGAACACCTAAAAATGAAGGTAAGTCTTCTTTTCTTATTTGTAAGTCTGCTTTGGACTGTAGAACCTATGGAGACAGACATCTATAATACTTTTTTTTCAAAATTTTTTTTTAAAAGTTTATAATTTTATACAGCTATATGTAATAACATCTGAAATGTTATGTTTGCCAAGTTTTTTCACATAAGGAACTTTTTTCAATTTCATAACTTTAAGTGCTCTAATCACCTTTTAAGTTTATTTTGGTGTGTTAATACCTACATCTCTTCAAATCCCTTGCAGTCAGACATGTTCTCATGAGACTTAATTACTTTTCACAGCCCTAACACTAACAACGGCAATTGTTTTCTGTCCAAAAGTTAATGCCGGTTTTGCTCGCACTATCAAGTATTACCTAAAGTAAGGTAAATCTTGTTGTGTAGGGTTTGAGCCGTCTACTGTGCTCTTCTGCTGTTCGTATTACAAGTATTTGGTTACAGATATAAAAATTGTGTAAAGACTATGTATTTGTGTTACTACTGACATTTATTATACTTTACATTCATATTGGTCTTTCTAAATTGACATTCGTAAAAGTTGTTGTAAGCTTTCTGGATTAATCGCTGAGACTTGGAAGTCTTTGAGCTATAAGTATATAGAGCTATAATTTGTACTGAACATTTTAATGGGCTACAGCTAAATTATAGTGTATATTAGCGTATTGTACTATGGGAAAGTGTTTCAAGTCTCTAAAGAGGCTATTTTCATCGGAAAAACTGAGTAAATTTTGCTGTTTTAGGCCTGTATTACAGTTTTAATTCTATTTGTTGTCAAAAAATCAAAGTCAAAACTAATTTCTAGCTCAAAAAACCTATATATATATATGTTTATACTAAAGTAATATTACCATTCTCTTCAGAAGACATCAGTCCGCACAGTAGAGAAGATGCAGAACATTTCAAACTGAACGTTGGCGGTAAATCCTTTTGTTTTCGATCAGATGTTATACTAACATGTCGGGAAGAGTCTCTACTATCTACTCTTATCAGAGCAACACATACACAACGTCTTATGGTAATGGACAGTTACGATGACAAAAGTGGAGAGTATTACCTGGAAAGGAATGTTAAGGCGGCCGAAAGTGTCATCGACTATTTTGTTACTGGTAAGACATGGTTTTTGGGTTAGATTAAGCTAAGGTTTTATGTATTAGGTAGTTCAAATAGTTCTGTGCTTCCTCTTAAAGCAAGTTTTTAGAGGTAGGGAGCGCAGAATTATTTGAACAACCTAATAATTGTGGTTGAAAGGACTAACGTTGTATCGAATGTCATCAAAAATGGCATTTTTGCAATTCTTTTTAAAAAATTGCTTTTGTGGACAAGATTTACCATGCTAGTCATATATAAAGGCCTGTATAAAATATTTGAAGGTAAACTACACAAACCTCACGATGTGTGTCCGGATCGATTCTCGGAAGAATTGCAGTTCTGGAGACTCTACACTGTTCAGTTTGCACCGTGCTGTGGCTACATGATGGGGCCGGTCATCAGAAAAGATCGAAAAGAAGATGAACATGAGTTTGATGGGGTATGTTTATATTTTTAGCTTTTTTAAAGATATCATGTTAAAAATTGTGTTACAGTTCATATAGTTAGTCTAGCAGAATTGTTTGGCCAGGCATTTTTTTAAATTTATAGATGTTTTAAGCACAGTAACTTTGCAAAATGGCTTTTAATTGAAGGTTAATATATATTTGTACTTTGGGCAATATTTTTGTCTTTTTTGATATAGTTTTGTATTTTAAAGCTTTTTATTTTAAAATTGTATCGCGTGTTGCACGTACAACACGCTATTTGTAAACTTTACTATGATGTATATACCATAGCATCAAGTGCAAGTCGTTTAAAAATTTTTTTGAATAAGGTGAACTTCTTATGACAGATCTGTGCAAATTTTGAATGATATGACAATGTGGTGACAGATAATGTAAACACGAAAGAAATTTCAATATGAGAACAAACTTTTATAAAAGAAAGATATTATGAGCAATATCGTATTTTAGGCACTCTGTTCACCATTCCGATTGATGGTTTGGAGGATAATGGAAGACCCCTCCTACAGCTATATCTCCAAGTTCTTTGCTTTTATATCTATTTCTTTTATCTTTACTTCTATTTTGGGTAAGTTATTAAAATTGAAGCGAAATTTATTGTAAAATACGCCATCTAGTAGTGATTTTACATTATTAAATGCGTAATTACCGTTATATCAATAAACCGAGCTTTATACACTTCTTCCTTTCATAAAACACTATATTGTAGGTCTAATCCTTGGCTCAATGCCAGAGTTTCAAACAAACACAACCTATGCTGATGGCTATCATGTCTACCACATCAAACAACGTCATCGTTACTTGTATGGCAAATTTGACGATGCTGATGGAGCCATCAACCTGGCAGCCTACAACCTGACTGGCTACGAATATAGACCTACGGACTCTCCGATGCCACTTCTGATAACACTAGAGTACTGTTGTATCATGTGGTTTACTGTCGAGTTTCTGGTTCGATTTCTGGTCGCGCCACGGAAGAAGAAGTTTGTCAGTAGAGCTATGAATCTGGTGGATTTGTTCACGATTCTACCGGTATATGTTGAGGTGATATTGTCATTGATTGGGATACAGGCGGAGCAGTTGAAGGAGATCACTGGTAAATAGTTTTATTTAAAAGTTAGGTTTAAGGTTCTCTTAATTTTAAAAAGGTTTCTCAAATTTGATTGAGCAACCTGCAAACATTTAGGGCAGAATGCCAAATGTTCTTTTTCGTGGCGGGACCAATCAATAATTTCAGTGAACTCATACTTTTCAGTACTATTTGGGTACCACTATTTAAACATTATTTTTAATCAATTTTTAACCCCGTATTTTAGGAGCAATGCTGGTAATGCGAGTATTACGAGTGCTTCGAATGGCTCGTGTATTCAAATTGGCACGGTACTCTACTGGGCTTCAGATCTTTGGCAATACCCTTAGGGCGTCGATGACCGAACTTTCTATGCTACTTATCTTCCTCATTACTGGTACCGTCTTCTTCAGCACTATCATGTACTTTTTGGAGAAAGACGAACCTTACAGTGACTTCAACAGTATACCTGCTGCTTGTTGGTGGTGCATGTAAGGTTCTTTTACATCTTTATAAGTTATGAAGTTTTTTAATTTTTTACATTATTTTATTGTAAAATACAAATTGTTTAGATCAACTTATGCTGGTAGTACTTCTATTTTTAAATTAAAATTTTCAGAATTACAATAACAACAGTAGGATTTGGAGATTGTCATGTCCAAACAACACGTAAGTCATAACTTAAAGTGTTTTAAATGTTTTAGTTGGAAAGATTGTTGCCACAGCTACAAGTATCACTGGAATCATCATCCTCGCGTTCCCAGTGTCTCTAATCGTCGAAAACTTTGCTCATGCTCAACATCAAGCACTGGTCGAAAGCCAAATGAAGCATGGTCGGTTTTTGAAATAAATTTAAATTTTTTAGACTATATTACAGTCACTTATAACTTGTTTGTTAACCTGGCGTTTAAATTTCAAAAAAAGCTGAAAAACGAGAGCTAGGACACAGCTTGAAAACTTTTTTAAAATTTGCAAAATAAGCTTTTAAAATTAAAAAAAACATTAAAAAAGCATTGACTAGTAGATTTAAAGCCTTAATTCGAATTTAAAATTGTTTCAGCTCAAATGTCAAACCTGGCCAACAACTATGTTATGAAGCGAGGCCAGTCCAGAAGAGTTCGGAAAGGAGAGTCGATAAGAGACGCGAATCGAATAAATCTACTTTCTGGAGTTATTACTTCTGTTGCTTAAGTAATAACTGTAAATTATGTATTTATGTAAAGAATTAATAAAGTTTGAACCATCTGTTAATGTATGTAATATACATAGTAGTTTTTTCTTATTGCTACAGTAAGATACGAAAAACACCAAATTTCCAAAAAACCAATTCGAAAACTTAAAATATTTCATAAAATCAAAAAATGTATTCACCTCGTATTTTACATTTTATTCAAAATAAATTCCCCCTTTACCACCCTCAATATAGTAACATGACCAGCCATCACGCTGTAAACCTGGTTTTTACTATCGAATTTCGCAATGTCTTTTCAAGTTAAGTGCTTTTTAAAATTACTACAGAAGTGAACCTGTTGAATATTTACCCAAACTTTTAATATTCGCGAGACCTTTTTATTGTATTCGACAAAAGCTTTTATTTATTTAGATATTTGGTTCGAAAGTTCGAAGAGTATCAGGCGATATTACAATTCATGACGGTATTGGTAAAATTGAGGTTTTGCAATTATAAAATTGGCAATTTAAAGTGCTGTCAAACTGCAGATAAACGTAGTTTCAACTTGTATTTGGCTATCATGTCATACTAACATAAAACTTTCTTATCTTTTACAAAAGCAATCGTATAGCTTTTAAAACAAATACAGTAAAAGCTCTTTAGTATAACACTCGGTAGTGTGACATCCTCTTTATCATGATAGTAGTGTGATACTCTGATTAAAAAGACAAATTTGAACCTCTCCTAAATCAAGGTCTTTTTCGTGTCATATATACTAAAAGAAACCAAATAATTTTAACTAAAAAATTATTTTAATTAAACATACGTTGATACAAAAATGAATTTCAAAAAATATTTATTTCAATCTCAGTTTGCACTTTAAAATTATGGAAAAATTGAAATGTCTGCGCGACCCTTTGCTTTTGAACTTTTATGTATTTTTTATCAAAAAAAATTTTTTTGGAAATAACGAGCTTGCCCTTAAAGTATAAAACATAAAGCAACACGCCAGTTGTGCCAATTTTGACGTTTTGTGTATTAACAAATGTCATAAAAGATCTAGAATTTATAATATTTTTTATAAAATTTGATAAGTACCTTAAGAATGCTGTAAAGTATACTACAGTCAACGATACAAACACTGTAACTTAACTTAAAAACTTAATTTATGTAAATTTGCTCCTACAAAATTGAGAAAAGTATCTTGTAAATGCAACTTAAACACATGACATCTTAAATCCGATGACAAAACAGTTTGAAACATTACAACATTGCACTGCCATTTTACACACTACCTTCTAACTTGTAGCTAGACTAACCCTTCCTTAATAACACTGTCAGTCCCCGAACCTGCAGGAGGCGGGACCAGCTCCCGACCTCATTTTCCGTCGAAAATATTCGAATTCCGTGAAAAAGGTCGCTCGTTTTTTTCAAACGTGATGACCTTATCCGTTTTCTATGTCATCCGTGAAAGGATCCCTGGTGATAACACCTGATTCAACCTTGACTCTGTTTGTTCTTTCTTTCCGGATTCTGGAGACGGTTTTGGGCTTTGGTGGAATTTTTTGAAATTACTTTTGGAAGGGAAAAAGAGCAGTGATTTTTATTTTTTTCAATTTTTTAAATAAATTTTACTAAAAGGGAGGGGAAGACATTTTTTTTGTTTTTTTAGCCAAAAAACCCTTTATAATCGAAAATTTTTAAATATTGCCATCTTTCTACTTTTGCCATTTCCGAACTAACTTTACCGTATATTTTATTTTTAATGTATTTTACAACTTTATTTGGTAACTTTTACTTTTTAAATAACATTTTAGCGTTGATATGGCCATATTGAATAATATTGGGAAATGTGCCAACATTATAATAGTAATCTACATACTGTTACCAAGTAAGTACTAGTACATAACACTCTTTTTAGCAGTCTTGTTAGATCTTGGTTGGTCGATAATCTTAGGAACCCTATTTTATCGCTTTTTCGCAGCCTTGTGTTATCGACCGGTTGAGTTTTGTTAGCTGATCAGCCCAGTAATACCTATATTTTCTCTTTTTAAACTTAAATCCTTAAACGAAATGACACATTGTATGTACATGACAATGTGCAAATTGATAAAACAACGTAATTGGCGACAATCGAACAGTAAATTTATTGAACAAACATACGACTTAAAAGTTTTGTTTACTTATTTTGTTTGTCATTACAAAACTTTTATTACGTTTTTTGTGTTTTAAGCGTCTTATTGTTTTTCAATTTCAAATGGCATTTCAACTTTCAATTTTTTAAAAACAGTCCTTTCACATTTGAAAAAGTCATTTTCTTTGCTTATATAACGTATTCATTCAGATATTAGATTTTTCAAATAATTCCGTGCTCCGTAACCCCAAAATATGCTTTCAGTGGAGGTACAGAATTATTTGAACAGCCTATTACACAACTTAATAATTTTAGTTATTTTAGCCTTCAAAGCTACTTTAAAAAAATTTAGTTCTGGCCAATAAAAACGTCATTTTATATAAAAATCTATTTTCGACAATAACACTTCCAAAATGGCATAAAACTAATCGAAAACAATACAAATTAATAGAAACCAATTAAGTTTTATGTCTTTTTGTGCAGTTTCTAGGCCATTTGTATATGACTTTATGACTTTGCACCATGAATAATATTCTTTACAATAGACTTGTTTCTTGAATCAAAATTCTCTTTATTTCTTTCATTTACTTTGTTTTGAAGTATGTTATAGTACTTGGTTTGATTGTTAGAGTTGTTCCTTAATTTTTATACGTAAAGTATTGTAAATGAATACCTAGTATTAATTTTTCTACTTTACTGTAACGTTCATTGTATATTATTTTAGAATTCTCATACTGCCTTCTAAATTATAAGACCTTAATTTGTAATTTCATATTATACATTGTTGGGTTATGACATTCTGTGCAGTTTTAGTCATCATCAATGCTTTAGGTAATATCAGATTTAACTTTTACTGTTGTTTATCAATACCTGGTCGTTAAAAGTGGTTGTCTTTAATTACGACAAGTTGAAAAAAACTTCTGTTAATTTAAGCCCGGCTTGTAAACATCAAAGGAACCGATGGCAACCGCAAAGGCATTCCTGGTACTTCTTTATCTTAATATGTTTTGTATACTACACTATAGTTTTTTACAGTTTTAATATTGTTTTGGTTTCACCAACTATAATTAACGTTTAGCAATCTATAACTTTCAAAATTAAAAAATTTTTTGAACAAATTCTATCATCTAAAGCCATACCTCCATTCTTTCACATATAATATAACCCTTTACTATGTAATCGCTTAACAGTAACGTGTCGAAATAAGAACAAGTTTGGCTTCCGGCCTGTTCTTTCCAAAAATAAGTTTTCCGTCTTATTACACTACTCTGTAAACTCGATATTTTGCTCGATTTCACTTTTCTGACCTTTCGAAAAGTTAAATTTCAAGGTTGCTAAGCGTTTTAAAGCGAATTTCACTTTCCGTCTCTTTAAACTTGCCGACTAATTAGCAAATTTTTGTAATTAATTACTCGATGACACATTTGAGAATTGATAGCTGCGATGACAATCTCATGGCCCGTATTTTACAATAGCATATAATCACAAGAAGCAATATGAAAAAGAACTTATTTATACTGGGTTGTTCAAATAATTATGTGCCTCCTCTCAAAACAAATATTCAAAGTTAGGAGGCACAGCATTATTTGAACAAACTAATAATTTAGTTTTCATAAAAAACCTTAGAAAACATTATGTTGTAGTAGGTAAAAGCGCATTTTTACTACAGTAAAAACCATGAAAATCCTCTAATATCAATTTGACAATAGTAAATCTAGCCTTAACACTACCACATGATCACCTGCTGCAACCCATCAACCATAACTTATAATTTCCGCTTTCGATTTGCGACAATTTTTTGCAGCGACAAAGATCAAACGTTGACTTCACTTTTGTTATAGTTTGTAGTAATATGCGTGTCAATATTTGACGTAGTAAATTGATAATCAGGTCAAAAACTTTAAACTTTCAAAAATCTTCTTTACATTTATACAAAAAATCAATCATAGAACAAAAATAAACTTTTACTAGGTTTATATTACAGTATCTTTAACTCAGTACAAGACTTTAGCCTTTTTACTGAATTAAGTAACATTTTTACATTAAAGCCTAAAAATTTTAACAACATAATCCACCCTTCAAATCAAGCCTAAAATCCCCTTCTAAACGTCTCTTTTCCTTCATATAAAATGGCTTTTAAATTTTAAAATTTATGTTCAAATAAGCCTCTAATTCCTCAATTTAAGCCTATAAACCCATTGTTTTACCATAATTTGTTTGCTGCAAATTCGTAGCCATTTTTCAGCGGAAAACGCATCGTTTTTCATTAATTTAAGCCAAAAAACCGGGCGCACTCCGGAGTTTTCCTCCATTTTGGGGTAATCGAATGAAAAGGACCGGTAAAGGTTACCTGAACACAAAAACGAACTCTTTAATAAGACATAATAGCAAGGCAAACAACCGGTATCGGTAATTTGGGTCTATGTGTGTAAAAATACATTATTGGAGACGAATTTCACAAACTTAAATTTTAAAGTGTCAACGTGGCAAAATATGTAACTCTATTCATACCTAGTCGTATATAATCCCTTAGTTTATGCCTGTTTAGTTTCGAAATTCAAAAAAAAAGTCCAAAAAAAGCTTGTTTTCTTTGTTTTGAAGCCAGAAACAGTAAAACACCATAAAAATGTCATAAGTCTTATCTAAAAATAAGAAAATATAAAGCAGCTTTTGTAATAAAACAAAAAACATTTTCAGCAACGAATTCTCTCCGATTCCCAGCAGAAACAGAATCAGAAGACAAATCAGAAGAGTCGATGTGGCCATATCCAACCTACAAACCGATCAGCTGGGACAAGTACTACGCTCATGACATTCATGACAGTAAGTTACATACTTATTAGCATTAATATATAAGCTCTATGTAAATTTACTATATCTTAAAGAAAAAAGTTATACGACGTATTATACGGTATCTGTAGTAAATATATAATAGAGTACGTCCTTTTTAAAGGTTCATTTTTATAGTATTATATCGTTAAAACTCAGAAAATTTAAATTTCAGAACATTTATCGTTGACCAGCGGCTTAGCAGCTGGTATTACTATAGGAGTATTTTTCGCCGTATTTCTACTCACTTTTGGCTGCCGTCTATATAGTCAGCGACACGAATCTCGAGCCTGTACACCTACTGGGCCAGCAGGTAAGTTTACGTTAACATTTCAATCAACCAACGTAAAGCTTTCTTATCATATTAATTATAAAATCGTATTTCAAAATAAACAATATAATACACAGTAATAAAGTAAAATTTTTACCCTACTTAACGTTAAATACATATACTAACACGAACTCTTTCTTACACACATAAAAATATATATTATTATTTACTATGCACAACAGTTGATAGCAAAAGTAAATCCATCAACCAATAAAACCATTTAGAGTACCCAGGAAGACGGCTATCAGTATCAGACCTCATGAATTGTAACCCGGACCCTCCACCTCCATATGAGGTGGCTATCAGGATGCCACACCAAGACCGACCTCCGCCTTTTACTGAGCGGCCTACACATCACACAACAGTGCCATCCACAAGTACGCCTACTGGGACAGTTTCCATGACACAGGAAACGCAATAAATATATAAGGATCAACAATGTGTTGATTAGCTTCTTTGTCGCTTCAAAGATTATGTTATATTTCTGGTACTACGACCATGGCACGTATATGATGACAAGTAGAAGATACAATATTGTTACCGTGACATGATTGCCATGTACAACAAGGTCGAAGTCTCTTATTAAAAAAAACGGAATCTTAGAAGCGACAATCAACTATATCAACATATCTGCCACATTCGTACGGGTTCTAAAACAGTATATCTTACAGTAACTCTAGGGTAAATAATTGTTGTTAACACTGTAATAACTGTATAATCATAATACGTTGACACTGCCATTTACATTGTTTATATCCGGTTAAATAAATTTGTTATAACTAGTCCTAAACTTGAAAAAATACTGATAAAAAGCCAAATTTAAAATTGAAAAATAATCAAAAAAGTTCATTTTAAAATAGCATTTTCCTAAAATGGTCGTAAAGTTCCTATTCTACTTCAGCATTTTCTTCGTACGTTACCAAGATGTTTCCGCCGGTTTTGGGTAAGTTATTGTCTACAATACAAAACTAAAAAAGCCCACTACGCCTTGTTACCATGCCAAATAGATTATCCCCAACTCACTTATCACTGATAATTTAGAGATTATGAAATAGAAGCTAGAGGAAAATTAAGTTGTCATGGAACACCTTTATACGGAATGCAATATGTTGTAAGTTTACTTTTTGACATTTTAACAATTGTAAACCCGTTTTAGTTTAAACTTAAAAGAAAACATACTGAGTAACATTTCTAAAACCAAAATACCTAATTTTACATATTATCTACGTAATTTCAATAAAAACTAACAATTGCAGACTGTTCAACTCTACGATGACGACCGTTTTGAAGATGATCTTCTCGGAGAAGAGATAGTAGACGTTAAAGGCTACTTCCACCTTGTCACCGAAACAAATGACTGGTTTGGAGTTAATCTCGTGCTCGTTATGTAAGTAAATAAATCTTATTACTTTAAGAAGTATTAAAATATTTAAAAAATTAAACGTGATGTCAAATTAACACAGACAAGATTTTAAACATCTTCTTAATAAAAGATATACCAATATAAATAAGCCCTTTCAGATCACATACCTGCCACAATATAGACCATAGGTGTGCTATGACAATATTGAGACAGTATGAAGCTGACAGTTTTAACTGTGGTAAACGCGTTTGTCTTGACTTTGGCGATATCGAGCTATCCGAACAAAAAGTACATCACACCGATGTCTTCGAACGTCGGTGCTACCCTATGCGTCACTATCACGATGAAGACGGAACTTGGGAAGACGAAAGATGGAAACATTTGTAGAAGATTTATGTTGAGATACAACAAATTTGTATATTGGTTTTGTAAGATTACATTTCGTGCTCTCACAAATAAATGTATTTTCATTTTTTTCGATTAGAGTCTAAAACACCAAGTCCTTTTCTAAAGTTAAACAATACAAAATACAATATTCATAGATACGATCATGCTAATACATAAAAAGCAAAGGTCAATGATACAATCCGGACCAAAGCCACGCAACGTAAAAACATAAAGATTAGCATAATTCAGTCAACTTTGACCAAACAATGATGAAATGTGAGCCTAAAATACGTTTGATCAATGATAACACCAGATTAAAAGTTACTATATAAGCACAGCCAAGCCAATGTCTATCATCTGCCATTTCGAGTCCATTCGAAAGCAATCGAAAAAACTAAAAAATGAAGTGTGTTCTATTCCTAACTGTCTTGGCCTTCTCATCGGCTCAAGAGTTACCGACACTTCCGAATGTTGGAGCTGTTACCTCGTCGCAGCCACAAGGATCACCCTTGGAGGCTCTGACGCAACTTCTGGATGATCTCCTCGAACGTTTGGGCCTGCCGACCGTCGACCCTGAAGCCGTTACCTTGCCACAAGCTGTTTCCAACCCAGGAGGCCCCATCATCACCGACCGTAAGAAGCGTGACGTTCTTTCTGGAGTCACTGGTCTCCCAACTGGTGCCCCATCAGTCGAGAGCTTGGTCGATTTCCTGAACCAAATCTTGGAAACCCTGAGCTTGCCAACTGTTGACCCAGAATCTGTCACCGCTCCATCAGGCGTGTCCAACCCTGGAGGTCCCATCATCGCTGATCGCAAGAAACGTGACGTCTTTAGCGGTGTCACTGGTCTCCCAACTGGTGCCCCATCTGTAGACTCTCTCGTTGAACTCCTCAACCAGATTTTGGAAGCTTTAAGCCTCCCAACCATTGACCCAGAATCCGTCACCGTTCCATCTGGCGTTTCAAACCCGGGAGGCCCAATCGCTGACCGTAAGAAACGTGATGTTCTTTCTGAAGTAACTGGTCTCCCAACTGGTGCTCCATCCGTCGACACTCTGGTCGAGCTTTTGAACCAACTTTTGGAAGCCTTGAACTTGCCCACCGTCGACCCAGAATCGGTCACCGTACCGTCTGGTGTGTCCAACCCAGGAGGTCCAATCATCACCGACCGCAAGAAGCGTGACGTTCTCTCTGGAGTAACTGGTCTCCCAACCGGTGCCCCATCAGCCGGAAGCTTTGTCGATTTCCTGAACCAAATCTTGGAAGCTTTGAACTTGCCAACTGTCAACCCAGAATCCGTCACCGTTCCATCTGGTGTCTCCAACCCTGGAGGTCCAATCGTCACTCGCGCCGCCAGAGTCCAAGCCTAAATTCGTTCGAAGAGAAAAAACAGAACAGCGTTTATAGTATAAAACATTTGAATAAAAATAATTGAGCATCAACTTTTGAATTATTGTTACTTTAAAACTTTTTTACTTAAAAAAATAACCTTAAAATTGATTAGCAAGATTAAACTATATTAAATTTAAACAAAAAAACGAATTTTAAATGTCAAAAAATAAAGAAAAAATATCCTTGGAAAGGATAAAAGATAAATAAAACATATTTTACATCAAAACTTTACATTATCTAGACGAAATAGAATTAAAAGTTTCGTAAAAAATATTTAGAAAATTCATGGATAACAAATTCTTGTTGAAATTTTTTATTGAACGAAATGTCACAATTGAATGTTCTTGATAAATATTTGTTGAAGTTGACGCTTATGAAGTTGATCAAAAGAAGCAAGAGAAGAAACTTGTTATGATCGGTTAATCCATAATTTATATATTTTCTTTCGAAAGGTTTATATTTTAGGTATGTAGTTTTAGTGATTTCTCTTTGTATTATAATTTTGCACATATACTGATATAATATTTATTTTGCTTTTTAAAGGAACCGTTCATTGAATTTTTTTGAATGAAATTTCTTCGCGGGTTTTTCAATGTTTTCGATTAACTTTTTGAGAATTTTCATTTTGAAAAAACATTTTCATTTTATTTATTTCTTTCGAACGCGGTTGAATATATTGAACCATATTGAGGTTTTCTGTTTATATTTCACTACTTTCACTTTATTATTCTACATATTCATTGTTCTAAACTGTAAAAACATATTCCTTACCATAATGAAACCATTTTTAAACTTTTAGTTCAGTAAAACTTTTAAAGAATAGAGTTGGTCTTACTTTACCATAAATTTAAAAATGTCAGGTTTCGTTAGAGGATAAAAAGCAGCTAATTCGACGTCAAAGGTAAGTATTTCAGTGTCTTTTCGTTTTCAGAACTTTAGATCACATTTACTGGCTAAAAAATATTAAAATTGCGGTTGAGCTACAGAATATTAACGCGATGTGGCTGCCGACACACAGTTTAGTAAGATTTTTTGTCCAAATGACTTGTAATGCTGTAAAATTTTTAAAAAATTAAATTTTGTACATAAGAGAGATACTTTTTGAGTTGTTTAATGTCATAAGTGTTTTCAAAAAGCGACTCCGTATATGTTGTCAAATGTATTGAATAGTACGGTGGCATTGTTGTTAGTACAATAGTTAACATTTCTTACCTATTCAGACCTTTAAAATATCACAACACCTAAGAAACAAACCTTTTCTCTTCTGAAGCTTTATAGGCGATGTTATACTAGATGTTTAGTGTTTTAACAGCTAAAAAGTATCTTAACCATCACTGCTTGGTCTTAAATTACTATACAGGTCATATACTACAATACCTTACCTTACCTTATATTCAACCGCGTTCGAAAGAAATAAATAAAATGAAAATGTTTTTTCAAAATGAAAATTCTCAAAAAGTTAATCGAAAACATTGAAAAACCCGCGAAGAAATTTCATTCAAAAAAATTGAACGGTTCCTTTAAAATAAGACATTGCTATAATAGTTTGTCTTACTGACGTTATTTTTAAAGATATACAGTCTCGTACGATAAATTTAACTTTTTATGGGTGAACCTAACGTATTCAATCAAATTTTTGGCTTTGAATTTAGGTAACAAATCTAACAATACATAACTCAAAAGCCTTTTGCAAAAGTGAATACTGAATTGTTTATTCAAATGTTTTACACTGAACACTGTGCTGAGTTTTCTTCGAGAACTGATTTAGACTGTGACTGGGACTCTGGTGGCACGGGAATTTGGAAGAGTTACGGAATCTCCACTTCCCAAGTTCTTCAACTCATCAAACAATTCTTCAATTTCTTGGATGAAGCCGTCGAAAAATCCGGATGGGTTAACCACAAAACACAAAACCAAAACCAAAAACAACAAAAACCAACAAAAAAAAACAACAAACAAACCACAAACAAAACAAACAACAAACAAAAAGTAATCGATAACGTAGTGACTCATAACCGAAGAATCACGTATTCATGAAGATAAAAATCGATTGGACCTACAGCTTTAAAGGATGATAAAGATCGTTTTCGACGCTTGACAATCAAGATCGATTCTGGTAAAATCTCAACCAGTGAAGTGACATAAGAATCACCAGCACAAAAAAACACAACAAACAAAAAAACAACAACAACCACCCAAAACACAAACCAAAAAAACACAAACACACACCACAAAAAAAACAAAACAAAACCAAAAAACACAAAACACAACAACAACACACAAAAACAAAAACAAAACACAACAAAAAAAAAAACAAACAACAAAAAAAAAACAAAAAACACAAAAAAAAACAACAATAAAACTAAAATACAATATGTAATGTTAAAAAGAAATCATCATTCAGTAATTTAGTAAGTTTTCAGAATGGAAAAAATACTTTTTTATCCATAATGGATTATTTAAACTTCATTTAATTACTTATTATAGATAATATACCACTTTTGCAAACAAATTCTTCCTCTCACTCAAAACAGCACATTATCCTTACAAACGTAATAGTCGCAACCATAATTACTTGATTCCGTTCTAAACCGTATCGTATCAATTAGCCAAAATTATATGTTATTGTCAGCTGTCTACTTCCTGTCCAACTTCGAATATATGTATTTGCTGCATACTCGGAAAATGGGTATCATAACATACCGCAACATAACTCAATCTGGGCCTGAACATACCTTGGAGTCTGCCAACTCAACTACTTGGTATTAAAATTACCTGTATTAAACGTTTATTAGCTTTAATTGAATTCAAAAGCAGCTGTCGTTGTTGTGTTTGAATGCTTTTTTGTGACATTGTACTGCAGGAGTTATGAATGAATTTATCTTTGAGAGAGCCAAGTTCCAGCAAAGATATAACTGCACTTTCTACAATGTAGACAGTATCCCCGTGGCTGAGCGACAGCATGATTACATTGGCTTGGTATATGTGACGGTTTGTCCGCCTTTAATGGTAAGTTCACGATATCTTTAAAATTCGTATCGCATTATAAAATACGAAGACCTATTTACTGAATTACAATCGCTTTTCGTATTAATATGTTCCACTGTAACGTATGTCTTCTAATTTTATATCCTACTACAAACGTTAAAACACATGTTCGTGTTAATAATATATTATACCACAAGGTTCAAATATTCTTTTTTTAAACTCATATTTCAGTTTTTGTACCTCTTATGTTTGCTATGTATATGGATTAGCGAACAGTTTAAGCGACCTACATATAAACTTATGTTCATAATGGGAATGATTCATATTAGTGGACTTACTACGACAGGCTTACTAGGAGGCTTATTTTACATAAGAGGTGATGTATATTGTTCTTCACCGTTGTTAATATACATAACTGGGGCCCTTGACGTAGGTAAGGCAAATTTACTTTTTTCTCATTTTTTATTTTTTTTAAATCGCTGATTTACGTAATAAGTAAATCGTACTTTCAATCCTTCGGATACTCTACTACAAAATACTTTAGCCTCACTATGTGCCGGCAGTGCCACCAACCTTCTCCTAACCCTAAACAGATGCTGTATCATGTACAGTGCAAAACTCAATGAATTTTTGTTCGGCTCAAGGTCAATATATTTGTGGATTCTGGCCATATTTTCGTATTATTTAGGAGTTCTGTTCTTTGTTCCTGTTCCATTATTCAACTCGTATGAGATGACATATGTCCCTAACCCTCATGTTGGCTACTTTGAAGATGCGACCAATCAATATATTGTCGTATGGGGACTGTTTCACAACTCGGTCGACTTTTGTGTTAGTATTGTTGAGATTGTCACTTTTCTGACGCTTTATCACTACAAAAGAAATAGTAATCGTGATGGGAACAATAATGGATTTGACCATCAGGTACATTTATAAGTTTTGAATGAAGTATTACATTATTAATTACTATAATAAATTTGTTTTGCCTTAAACCTTTAGGAACACTGCTACACCTTTAAAAATCAAAATCATAACAAAATCTCAAGTGCTAATTTAAAACATGAAATTTATAGATGTTTATCCAAGTATTACTGATCCACTTGTTTCAATTGTTAACTAGTGTAGGCTTAAACTACATTCGCTTGTTTCCCACAACCAAAATGATTAATTTTTCAGTTAATTGCATTTACTTGGTCTCACAAGGTAAGTCAAAACATGGTTAAACTAGATATTATAACTACTAACAATAGTAATGTAATTTGGAATACTTTTTCCTGATTTTATGAAAAATACTACATTAAAAACGGAAGCAGGACTTAAAAACATGGAACCAAATCGAAAAAACAACGAGAAATAGAGCGAAACATATAGCTTACATTAAGTTTTAACCCATCTATGCAAATTTTACAGTTATACCTGATGAAATCCATAAAGTATTATACTTTTTCGCTTCAGGCATCACCCCCATCATTTACCTCACCTTCAATAGCACTATAAAAGGAATCCTAGCCCGAAAAATACTCAGAGTTGGTGCTAGTAGTGGTACTATCAATAATACTGATAAATCATTATTTGTAAAACCAAAAATTGTTCAAACAGCTCCTGAACTTAAATTTTGATTTTTAAAACATACAAAATCTTCTACATTAGTATAGTACAATAAACTGTTATGTATTTTTATGAATTGATATGAAAGTTTTAATGCCAATAGTTATTATAAGTTATGAGGATCAATCAGAGTCACTACTGGATGACGACGACTCTTTTTTCGACTTTTTCAAATGTCTTTTCTTTGATTTTTTGGATTTTCGAGGTTTCTCTTCTTTGGATTCAGAATCCGATGACGAAGAGTGTTTTCGCTTACGTTTCTTGTTCTTTTTCTTCAACTTCTTCAGCTGTTTCTTTAGTTTCTTAACTGATAGCTTCTTTAGTTTCTTGTCTGGAAAATATTAATGTAAAAAAAACTTTTAAACTTATATTGACTATTTAAATAAATCCTTATTTGAATTACCATTATCGTTTTGCATATTATAATGTGTACAAAACAAATAATATTTATGTTACCCTCTTTTTTGTCTGGGCTTTCATCGCTTGAAGCTTTTTCTGATGATGATGGTGATGCATTATCTACTGCTCGTTTGTTAACACCATCAACTTCAACTGGAAGTAAGTTTCGACATTGATAAGGTAAATGACCAGCGAATCCACATTTTGAACAAGCTCCACTAACTGCTGCTTGTGTTATAGGTCTACCCATGGCGTCTAAATTATCACATTAAAATAAAAAACGTTAATTTAACAAAAAAGTCATTATATAATATTCCAAATTAACAATAAACAACTGTACTGAAGAAATTTTTCATTAACAAGTAACCTTACTTACCCACAAAAGTAGACGGATTCAACGTCGACGGAGCTGCATCATCATCTTGTGCACTGCCAGGTATCCTTCTGACTGCTCCAAGAGGTTCAAAGTTGGCCATTTCCTTAAAATAAAATACACACATATACTTATGTCGTAAAAATGCTATAAAAATTTTACTATACCCTGAAAATAAATGTATTTCATCGCTAATCACGTATAAAACAACAGCAAACAACATACATATATTTATTCCGAAAATTGAGTAAAACAATAAATTTATTTTCAAAACAACATAAATAAAATTAAAATGGCCTGAAAATCAATTTAAACTTGCATAAACAATTGTACATAATCTTTTGAAAGAATATGAACTTGTTCATAAAATAGAAAAATACCTAATATCGGCACACGAAATCAATTATTTCGACTAGATTGGCACGGTAATCAGTTCACATTTAATGCAATGTTTATAGATGAGAGACTATGCTATGTAACCCTAATATAGTTTTAGATCTTTATAGCTATAAATAATGTAAAATGGCATAAAGTTAATCTATTATTGTTAATACCAAAAATTTTAACACAAACGGCATGTTGCAACTTTTGGCCGCAAATTAAAAAACTTTTAGAACAGGAAAAACGTAGACGTAAAACAATTTTATATCTACAAGGCAATATACACTTTAAGCTTACAGACCTATTGTTTTCAAGAACTGCTGGACGAACTGCCCAGCTGTCCCAGACCATTATATTGCTCCAAAAACAAAGACGGGAACCAGTAATGAACAGTGTCAGATGCCTGACTATCCACCCACGCCTTTTCCATCTGTACCAGTCGCTCCAAGATCCTCTTAGCTCTTTCTGGCTCCCATCGAAGAGAATCTACACATAACTCAACAGAAACGTGAGATTGATTCTCTTCTGCTAGTTGTAGTACTCTCGTATCATCCATACTCAGCTCTCCTGGTACTGATTGAATTAGAAAACGACCTGAGCCAAGAGGAATCAATTCGAATCCATGTCCAAGAACTTTTAGTTTTTTAACTGCACGAATAATGTCGTCCCTAAAAATTTCGTATAAAAGTCAATGTTACTTATAGACAAAACAATTTTAACAAAAAAATTAGGTAACAAATTTCCAAAAACAAAAAAAGTAATATGGGCAACAAATTTAACCTAAACCAACAAAAATTCATTAAAAACTTACTGTGAAATAGGTTCTTTCCGCGTCTTTGATCGGCTTTTAAGTAAACGATTCCTCAGATCATCAATAGTAATAATGCCTCCGTTCAAGTGACTCGTAGCCATGCAAACTTCTACTACCTGAACTGCCAGTTCATAATAGAAATCTCCAACACCAAGTTTCTCTGCCCAAAATCCTTTGCTAGCTAAAACAATGTCTATTAGTAAGTTTATACCCGCAAATTTTTTGAACATAAATAACTAGGCGTCTGTTTATAATTGTAACCTAAATCAACCAAAACGTAAAATTCAGAAAACTTACAAGCCAGAGGATCTACCCCAACTGTAGTACACATTTCCTGAAAGTGACGACGAAACTGCGAGTTCTTGTGAATATCATCACGATGTTTAGCTGCGAACTCCTCCAACTTCTTCGTAAAAGCTTCAAGTTGCTGAGAAAACCGTTCTAACTGATCACTAGCTAGTTCGTCTCCTTTTGTTTGGTATTTTGCCTAAAACTCATAAAAAATTAACACTCAAATTACAAATTTTTTACGAAACATAAACCCTTTAAATTCGTTGCATTTCAAAAACTTTAAATAAACGAAAACAATATACAAAACTAAATTTTTAAAAAGAAAGCTTTAGGGATAATCAAAAGAATAACAATACCTGAACTTCCTGCTTCTTCTGTATAGCTCCAATACCAACTCCGCGACGCCGTGATGCCATTCTATGACAACTGAAGTACGGCCTTTACAGATAAACTAAAATTTTACGGCCGTTCTCACGCCCTGAAGCTTTATAAAGCAGAGTTATTGGATTTCCGCCTCGTGAAAAAATAAAAACCGGCATAAAACTAAGTGCCACAAACTTATCGGCTTTTGTTGCGAAGTGTTCAAATAAAAAAAAATTATTTCACAAAATAAAATGTTCGGAAATTATCGGGTTTTTATATAAGTTTATAAAACTAAGTAAATTAGTGATTTTTAAAGGAGTTCTGTGTAAAGAATGAATATGGCGACAACCTCAAAATATTCGTTGGGAGAATTTAATGTTCATTTGGACAGATCGAGCAAAAAACGACGAGGAAAGCCCAGAACAGATCTCCTGAATGTTGTTAGGCGTCGAGGAGGAGGCAAAGATGCCTTTAAGGAGCTTAAGTAAGATTTTATAAACCATATTTAAATTAAAACATAGCTTTCGATAGAAATATAAGAATTCTTTGTTAGAATTTCCATTTTACTTTTTAGGTATAACGAGCTCAGACCCATGTACGATTTGTGGTGTGGATACTTCAAGAGTGTGTTAGAAGAAATTCATGACGATTTAGATCAACGTTTAGTAAAGTTGGATTACCATGGGTCGATTTTAATGGTAACATCAGCTGATAATCCGTCGATGGTAAGGTTTTTTTTAAATATTGTAGTTTTCTCTTTAGATTGGATTGAACGGAATTGTTGTATACGAGTCAAAGAAAACATTCCAGTTGGTGACGCGAAAGAACAAACTTATAGGTATGCTTATGAAAATTGGTCATGAGCAACGGGCCGGACCCATCATTTAGGCCCGGCCCGTTGCTGAGGTCTAGTTTTTTAAACGATATAGATAATTAAATTTCAGAAGATTTGATATTACAACATTAATGATGGTTGTATAATTATTTCCTTATTTTAGTAATACCCAAGCAAGGATCCGTGTTTCAATTTGTATTCGCCAACAAGGTACACACCATATTTGGTGATGCAATGCAACAACAATCGTATCTTCGTGGTAAACGAGTCAAACATCGAGCGACATTAAAATTTCTACTGAAATAATTGTGTGCCGTTTTCTCACTGTTTATACTCGTTCTTGTTGGTTAGTGTATCAAATAAATCGTTGATCCGTTAGGTTGTGTGTTTTTTTCTTACTCAGGTTTTTCATCCTTTCAATATAAATGAGGTTTTCTATGTAGACCAATTAATACGTATAGGTTACTTTGTAATTTAAAAGTTATCTTTTGTTTACCCTTAACTTTTTAGAACATCTGCACAGAATTACAATGGCTGACATTCTCTCAAAAGCTCATGAAGACCAACAGCTCTGTAGCAAAGTCAAGAAGTTCATCTACCTGTATTACGAAGCTTTGGACATGAGAAAGGAGAAGATACCATACTTGTACAGTAGTGATAACCCACAACTTAATTGGAACGGTCATTCGGTTCAAGGAATCGACAATATCAGCCGATTTATCAATGAATTACCTGTCACAAAGCATGAGTAAGTTGATTTACCTATGATTATTTGAAGATTCAATACTTTTTGATTGGTAGTGATATCTTTACATTTGCAACATATAATAATAAATGTTAAAAACGTTTTAGAATAACGAAAAGAACCTTTAAATTGCATCACTTTTATAGTTTTAATCAAAAAAAGTTGATATCAAAGTTCGCGAGACTAATCAAATAATTTCAGTTTTGTTTCCGTCGACCCACAACCTTTGAAGACCGCCGGTCCAGGCTGGGCGTTAGTCAGTGTGATGGGAGAGGTCAGCATAGGCGGATTGCAACAGTCATTCACCCATGTCTTCGTACTCAACTCGGAAAACGACTCATTCCATATCAAAAACGACCAATATCGTTTTATCGACTGATCCTCATATTTAAATATTCTGTTCACATTGATAATTGTTTTACCGCTTATCCCTTTTTTACCTTTCGTTCTTGTATGTTAATATCGAAATAAAATGGTTGAAAATATAATTTATAGCACTTTATTGGTTTTCTTAGTTTGTGTAACTTTTAATACTGTATTTTTTGGAATCAACCGTGGAAAATTCATAGATTTAGTCAGTACGTTTGATTATAAAATAAGTTTCCAGATGGCCAGTACCTACAACGGATTCGTCTTTGAGGCGGTCAATTATGACGGATCTGTCCATAAATGGGATGATATGAGTAAAGCACCTCTAACTTTTGCTACCTTGAGGTATGATTCGGAAAAGAAGACTTTACAAGTGAGTCCGCCTTAAAAATGATATCTGATGTACTACCTACACAGTCGAAAACTATATTAACTCAAACTAAAACCATTTAGGTGCTAGACCAACTTAAACTTCCAACCGAGCACGTTTACATTGATGTGAACAACGTAACTGATGCTTTCAATGTCATACGTAGAATGAATGTCAGAGGAGCTCCTTTGATTGCTACTGTAGCTCTACTTGGTCTAGCTATTGATCTTGAACATAACCCAGAATCCAAAACAGGACCAGTCTTGGATTACATAAAGAAATCTTGTGAATACTTGAAGCAGTCTAGACCAACAGCTGTCAACTTGACCAATGAGATTTTAGCATTGTTCGAGTTTCTTAACAGTATTGAAGGTGACAGTGATGATGACATTAGGAAGAAGTGAGTTTTGTAAAAACATTTTTAAGCCTTTCCAATGCTCTAGCAGTCATTTTGGGTCAAGAATTTGATAAATAGAAAAGGCCTTTTCAATACCCTTTTTTGTAAATTGGGTATACCCCTTTTTATAGAGTACAGGACCGTTCTTTCGAACTTTACCAAGTGGAAAGAGAAGAGAACGACAAATTGTTGCGAGAGTCTACAATTTGTGTAGAACATAATGTACCCGAAAACGTTAAAGGAGGGAAACTAAATGTCATCACAATCTGTAATACTGGAGCTTTAGCGACTTCCTCGTTTGGCACAGCATTGGGTACGTTTTGGAAAAAAAAACAAATTTATAACGAAATATGAACCTTTGAACTCTATATGGATATATTACTCCATTATGACCAAATTCCAGGTGTGATCAAAGCTCTACACGACCGCAACCATCTTGAAAAAGCTTACTGCCTCGAAACTCGACCTTATCTTCAAGGATCACGTTTGACAGCTTTCGAACTGTCATCTCAAAAGATCCCCCATACATTAATCAGTGACAACATGGCTGCTTATCTTATGAAGACCAAGCCTATTCATGCCGTGTTAGTTGGAGCCGATCAGATTGCTGCCAATGGAGACACTGCTAACAAGATTGGAACATATCAACTTGCTGTTAGTGCCAAACATCATGGAATACCATTTTATGTTATTGCACCTACCAGCTCCATTAACTTTAGGATCAAAAGTGGAGATGAAATCAAGGTAGAGGAAAGACCAGCTGATGAGTTGAAGAAAATTAATGGTAGGTTTAAATTTTTTAAACTAATTCAAATTTTTGAGTGACCAAAGTAAATTTCACACTCTAAAACAACACAAATGAATTATAGGCAAGTTAATTGCCCCAGAAGATACCCCAGTTTGGAATCCAGCCTTTGACATAACACCAAACGAACTGATAAGCGCCATATTGACTGAAAAAGGAAATTCCCTTCCCAAAGACTTGACATTACTAGCATGATTTTTATATTTGAAATTTATAGCTCAATATAATTATAAAACAATAAGTATGATACATAATTGAAATAAAAACATTAAAAATTAAAGTGAATAGCCCTGAGATCATAATACTGCACTAATGAATAAGTAACGTCTGAGAGCAATGAAGGATCGCGAATATAAATAGTCAGGAAGCAGGATAACATAATATTATAGTATACAACCTCGAATAGGTACACCTAGATGTGGTATCAATCTTCTGGCTCTGGAGGGAACATCTTTTCCACTTCTTGAACTAAAATTTAAAGAAAACTAACACAATAGTGCAACTATACCTTGTTTTTCGAATATTCCTGGATGTTTTTCCGCTAACACGGCCTTGATTACTTTTAATCGCCTGAAAACAGACTCCAGATCTGTTTTAGCTTGTTGTATTGTTTGTGTAGCTTGTGTAAACTGCTTCTTTACATCTTCCAGCCTTTTCTCCGTCAATTGTCGACAGGTCAACAACATTTCATTGGTTTTCTCGAAACGTTCTAACCTATAACATCAGCTTATCAACTAAGAAACAATATTATTATCACAAAAAGACCTAAAGGTTAAAAAAACGTTATGCTAGCTTTCTAAATGGAGAACACAACTTACGACTTCTTTTGGATGTTGATAACCTCCATTATGGCTTCTTCGTCTACTTGAGTCAGTAAAGATTCCACGAAATTCTCTTCTTTGAACGAATCTACAGATTCAGAAGAGGATCCTTTGGACGGAGAAGCCGAAGTGCCTGGCGTTGGTTGCATAATTGATAATATTTATGGACCTTGGCCACTAATAATCATTCTACTTCAGGAACTGTTCCAACACGTTCGGTCCACTTTTAACAAAAAGGGAACTCAGAATGGCGGGTCGACCTGCGCCCAAATTATGAAATCTGCGCGTTTTTTACGTTACAATATCATACGTAAGCAGTGTAACTTAAAAACTACAATAGTAATTAATTATTCTTTTACACAATTTAAAGAAGACACTATGAAGACCCCTGATAAAAAAAATAAGCCAAATTCATAAAAAACTTCGCAAGTTCTCACTGAAAAACCAAAAATTTGCACTGAAATTACGGTAAAACTACTGTAACTCGGTTTAAAATAAAGATATTCAAAATCGTCTTACACGAATTGAAGGTAATGTAATTGTGTGTAATCTGTAGAAAAATTAAGATCATACGACATTTGGTTCAAAAGTTCTCACTGAAAAACCAAGAAACTTGCACTGAAATTACGGTAAAACTACTGTAACTCAGTTTAAAAAGAAGATATTCAAAATCGTTCTACACGAATTGAAGGTAATGTAATTGTGTGTAATCTGTAGAAAAATTAAGATCATACGACATTTGGTTCAAAAGTTCTCACTGAAAAACCAAGAAACTTGCACTGAAATTACGGTAAAACTACTGTAACTCAGTTTAAAAAGAAGATATTCAAAATCGTTTTACACGAATTAAAGGTAATGTGATTGTGTGTAATCTGTGAAAACATTAAGATCATACGACATTTGGTTCAAAAGTTCTCACTGAAAAACCAAGAAACTTGCACTGAAATTACGGTAAAACTACTGTAACTCGGTTTAAAAGAAAGATATCAAAATTCGTTCTATACTGATTAAAGATAATGTGTTTTTACGTAAACTGTAAAAAAATTAAGATCATACGACATTTGGTTCACAAGTACTCATTGAAAAATCAAAAATTTGCAATTCAAGTAAAACTAAATTTTTTTTAATAGTGCAATGTAATGAAAAAGAGTCAATTATAATCAAGTTAACTACTGCTTAAAGCTTAAAGCTTAAATTTTAATTATTTTTTAAATTGTAAAAATTTGCGAAATAAAATGTCGATTATGGCCAAGTTAGGGCCAAAACTTTCAAATTTAATAAAACTGATACAACTGTTTTAGCTTTTCAGCCCTACCCGACCCTACCCTTCTATGATATACCACCATACCCTATTTTACCATATCATACCATTTACCTTCCCTTACTGACTTATCCTAGCTTACCCATTGAACGTATACGACAGTGTTGTATAAGATAGAATAGGGGCACGTATGGTATATTGTTGTTGGTAGAATAGAAGATGGTATGGTGTATTATATTAGGATAGGGTATGGTATGTTATGTTATAAAATAGTATGGTATGGTCGGATAGAGTATATTATGGTATGAAATGTTATGGTATGGTAGGAAATTGTATGATAGGGTATGGTATGGTGTGAAACGGTATGACATGGTAAGATAAGGTAGATTCTAGTAGGATAGAGTATATTATGGTGTGAAATGTTATGGTATGGTAGGAAATGGTATAACAGGGTATAATATGGTGAGATAGGGTATATTATGGTATGAAATAGTATGGTATGATAAGATAAGGTATGGCAGGGTAGGGTGGATTATAGTATGACAGGGTATGGTATGGTGTGAAACGTTATGGTATGGTAGGATAGGCCAGAGTATCGCTTAAAAGAGCAGGGGTAGGCTTGAGTAGGGATAAAAAAAGGTGGGGGGGGTAGACTTGAGTAGGGCTAAAAAGGACAGGGATAGGATCAGGCTGAAAAAGGTAGGGTTAGACTTGGGTAGGGCTGAAAAGGTCAATGGTAGGGTAGAGCTGAAAAGAGCGGGCTTAAATGTTTTGCTTTCATTTACTTTGTGCTAGTTTGCTCAAAAACAAAATAGACTACTCAAATAAGACGAAAAAACATAAAATTAAAAATTCTACGTATTTTTTGACCAAACTAGCAATAATAAAACGCTTTTTGTGACTAAAAGGCAGAAACTATTTGCAAAAGCAAGCGCTATAAATCACTTTTAGTTAAGTCCCGACACGAAAACAAACAAGCGCAAATAGTTGATTGGCATAGTGAGTCGCCGCTGCTCTGAGTTCCAAACGGACCGAACGTGGCCAAAAAAAAATTTTTTAATAGTGAGCCAAGTGTTACTTTGTGTCAAGCCTTTCTTTTTTAAACGACTAAATGGTAAAAAAATTAACTTTTTAAAAGACGATTTCTGAGACAGTGAAGCAGCCTGAAACAGGCAGGTGCACTAGAAATTAACCCCCTGTTTTTATCGTCTTAATGCATGAGATAACCGTTTTAAGATGTATAGTGAAGTTTTTTTGCACAAAATGTCATTTTGACATTTTTATGACATTTTTTGTCAAAAACAGTGAAAATTTATAATAATTTTAAAAATTAGCAGAATGTTTTTAAAAATTTGTACACTTATGTTTTTAACTATGCTGCTTAAAATTGTAGTTGAACATTTTTTCTAAAGTTACCGTAACCTACCGTAACCCAACCGGTCGATTAAAAAAGTGCAAATAAAAAAATTTAACACGGTTAGTCATAGTCAATTTTAGCATATTTGAAATCTACATGAAATTTGGGTTTGAATAGACGGTACGCTCAAACTTAAAGCTGCCAGTTTTTGGGGGTTTTGGTCAATTAATAAATTACGGTAGGATACGGTCAAAAAATTAAAAAATTACTGTGCCATTATTAATATATCAAATGCCGTGTAATTTGTTATACTTACGTTTCAAAACACGCTTATTAAAATTGTAGTTGAACATTTTTTTCTAAAGCTACCGTAACCTACCGTAACCCAACCGGTCGATTAAAAAAGAGCAAATAAAAAAAAATTTAACACGGTTAGTCATAGTCAATTTTAGCATATTTGAAATCTACATGAAATTTGGGTTTGGATAGACGGTACGCTCAAACTTAAAGCTGCCAATTTTGGGGCTTTACGGCCGATTAAAAAATTACGGTAGCACAATGTCAAAAAATTTAAAATTTTACTGACGCTTTGCTAATGCAATTACAAGTCTGCAAATTTGCATACGTACGTTTTTCGTTACGCTGAATTACTTTGTAGTTTAAAATTTTTTTCTAAAGGTACCGTAACCTACCGTAATCCCACCGGTCGAGTATAAAAGTGCAAATATCCAAAAATTTAACACGGGTCTCCATAGTCAAGTTTAGCATATTTAGAACCTACATGAAACGTAGATATTGATTGGGTATAAGCACATCTCTAAAGCTGCCAGTTTTGGTGCTTTACGGTAAATTAAAAATTACGGTGGTGTACTATCCAAAAAATGACCGTAAACCCCCAAAATTAGCAGCTTTAAAGATTATCTTATAGCCTTTCAATATCTACGTTTTATGAAGAATCTAAATATGCTAAAATTGACTATGACTAACCGTGTTAAATTTTTAGATATTTGCACTTTTATAATCGACCGGTCTGATTACGGTAAGTTACGGTGCTTTTATAAACTTTTTGTAATTACCAGCTTGTTCAACATGGTAAAAAAACATAAGTATGCAAATTTGCAGACTTGTAATTGCATTAGCAAAGCGACAGTAAAATTTTAAATTTTTTGACATTGTGCTACCGTAATTTTTTAATCGGCCGTAAAGCCCCAAAATTGGCAGCTTTAAGTTTGAGCGTACCGTCTATTCAAACCCAAATTTCATGTAGATTTCAAGTATGCTAAAATTGACTATGACTAACCGTGTTAAATTTTTTTTTGTTTGCACTTTTATAATTGACCGGGCGGGTTACGGTAGGTTACGGTAACTTTAGAAAAAAATGTTCAACTACAATTTTAATAAGCGTGTTTTGAAACGTAAGTATAACAAATTACACGGCATTTGATATATTAATAATGGCACAGTAATTTTTTAATTTTTTGACCGTATCCTACCGTAATTTATTAATTGACCAAAACCCCCAAAAACTGGCAGCTTTAAGTTTGAGCGTACCGTCTATTCAAACCCAAATTTCATGTAGATTTCAAATATGCTAAAATTGACTATGACTAACCGTGTTAAATTTTTTTATTTGCACTTTTTTAATCGACCGGTTGGGTTACGGTAGGTTACGGTAACTTTAGAAAAAAATGTTCAACTACAATTTTAATCAGCATAGTTAAAAACATAAGTGTACAAATTTTTAAAACATTCTGCTAATTTTTAAAATTATTATAAATTTTCACTGTTTTTGACAAAAAATGTCATAAAAATGTCAAAATGACATTTTGTGCAAAAACACTTCACTATACATCTTAAAACGGTTTATCTCATGCATTAAGACGATAAAAACAAGGGGTCAATTTCTAGTGCACACCATGCTTCACCGTCTCAGAAATCGTCTTTTAAATAAAAAAAAACCATGTGTACACATAGTAACAACTTCATTTGAATATTTATATCAGTTTATTTAACCAAAGATATCACAGTTAAGAAAGCATCTGTATAGTGAAATAGACATTCAATGTAAAAATGTACTCAAAAAGCTTTCACCGAATTTAAATGTTCACTCACTAAAAGTTGACTATAATAAATTAAAATAAAAATTTATAGAAAAGTGCATATAAATTTATATTCCTGTAGTAATTAAACCCATGATTTGTTCACCATTGCGTATCCCAATCATCATCACTGTCGTATAAAGACTCTTCTTTCACCGCGAATTTGTTGGCAGCTGGCTTCGCAGGGATTGAAGCGGGCTTCACTGGTGATAATGTAGGCTTAGCTTGTGCTTTGACAACCGATTTACTGATCGGCTTTGGCTTTGCGGCCAATTTTGATGTTGTTGTAGGTTTGCCGGTACCCCATTCATTCTTAGGTTCGGATACACTAAACTCGTTGAAATCTTCGTCCAACCCCCAGCCTCCTCCATCTTCAAGAAATCCATCTTTCTTCTCAACCTTCTTCAAGACCAATGGCTTCTTGGCTGGTTTGGCTTGAACACTGGACAAATGACCTAAGTTAGGTAGCTTTGTAGCTTGTTCTGGTGAAGATGTAGTAGATCCTCGAGAAGATGGAGGTTTAGATGAAGCGTCTACAAAGGCCGGAGAATTAGATCTAGGTGGCGTCGGTTGAGCGGGTTTATTTTGCTGTAAAGGTGTTGAATTTTGATTCCCTGGAGCGTCTGGTTGATTTGGTGCTGGTGGTGGGGGTACCGCACCTTTGTAAAACTTCCCTGATAGAGCTTTAAGTGCCCAGCCAGCCCACTGAAAGTTAATATAGGGTTAAAATATAACATTTAAAATAAACAAGAGTGTTTATGAATTAAGTCAAAGAAACAAACCTTATCCGTGCTCAAGATCGATCCCTTTCCGCCACTCTTAACTTGAGCTTCGAATTCTGGAATCAAGTCAGGGTTTTCACTGGCCTTCTCCAATTTTTCCAAAAAGTTTTTAAACGCTTTAAAAGCTTGGTCTCTTACCTAAAAATAAATGATTATAAAACACCTATAATAGAAATTTCAAAAAAAAGGTAACAACAAGAAATTTAAATTCTCTCACTTGTTTATCAACATCCACGAACAATGGTGACAAAGCAGGCATTACTTTGCTGGCTACTTCTGCCAGACTGTAGAATTGTTGTGTAGCTGACAACGCCAACACTCCAGCCATCCGTGCGGGCGGGAATGGATCTTTTAATCCTCGAGTAAAAGCGTTGATCAGAATCCGTTGTCGATGAGACGGATCCAAGTAACATCCTATTTTACCCAAACATATTGTGGTATTGGTTCTGATAGAAGGTTGGTCATCTGACCCTTGTAGCCTGGCGAGATACTTCATAAGGTCTACGTTCAGGTTATTGTAATTCAACTTCTCCGCGAATACGACGATGGCTTTTACCGTGCTTTCTCTCACCGTAGGGTTTGTGTCCATAAAGCCGGTTATCAGATTGCTGGAACATTTTTGAGTCAGGATTTAATAATAAGATAAAACTAAAAAGCCATTTTGATCTATTTACACCATGTATGTAACTTCAAAAATCAAAAGACAATAGACTTACCTATAGATCTTCTCATTGACAACTTGTTGGTTCAAATGCGGAGCAAACTCATCAATCTTCTCCAACAACCTAACTCTAGTACTTCTATCGGGAGAACTAAACAATTTTACCAAAGATGGTACTATCCTTGTCTGATACTCGTTTTCGTCTAACAGTCTGCCCAATTTGAACATTGGTACCAAAATATGTGACCCAGCGTCACCGTATTCGTATGTCTGAGAATTAGAAAAAAATTAAACTCAGATTTTTAATCATAAAACTTGAATAAAAAACATAAAAAACCTTAATTTTAATAAAATAAAAAACTTACATGTATAAGTTTTGGCAGCAACTTATACTTGGCAATATTGTCAGGAAACAGCCCCAAATTGTCCTTCAAACTCATGAAGAATGCTAATTTTTCAGCTGAATCTTTCAGTTGAAACTCTTCCAAAAATAACAAAGTGTCCACAAACTTGTTCTTCATGAATCCTCCACTTGATTTTGACTCTGAAGTAAATGATGATTAACACATCAGCTTACTGTGATTGAACTAGAGTAATAATAGACAGTAGTCAGAAAAAACATAAAATCAGGTCTTTAGAGTCTTACCTGCCAACAAATCCTCAGCAGAAAATGTTTTCCCTTTTGAATCCAACTTCTTAAATAATCCTTGAAGCCTTCGAGGTATTTTTGTTAGAGTCTTCGTCCCAGGCGGCGATTGATTGAACCCGTTGAATACTTGCCAGATCACGTTCGCTAACTGGTTTAAATCGGCTTTTGGTGAACTGAAACCAAAAAAAAATAGTAAAACGAAGTAAGAATGATAAAAAAAGTATGAACCTTTATTACCTAAACGTCTCCGTGTTCTGAAACCCGCTTAATTTCCAATCTCCGCTTTCCGTGACATAAATTGAAGTTTCAATATTATTTTGGGATATTTTAGCTTCATTATGCAAAAACTTCAAAGTGTTCAACATCTGATACAATCCCCAAGATACAATAAGCTCTTTCTTCGATTCATCAAGCTGATTCTCTTCAAAATACGTAGCTATAGGAACACACGGTTCTGTTACCAGGTAAAATGCATTATCACTCTGAAATAGCTTATAGTTATTGTAATTAAATATAAGCCAAACAATGTTATGTATCTAACAGAAGTTAGGCACTATAAAATTTGCGTGACCTACGTCAGTGGCTTTACCAGAAGACAAATATCGACCTAAAACAAGAAAAAATAATTGGAAACAACCTCTAAACTATCCAAAAACGTGAGAACATTAGGATGCCTTATCGTCTTCAACTTCTGCGTCTGTATCCTCAAGGTAGACACGTTATTGTTCGTCCAAAAAACTGTAGCTTTAAAATTTGGATCCGCCTAGAAGTAAACGTTATTAAAAATCACAGTTCAACATTATTAAAATAAGTAAAGTTAAGAAAATTTTAATTCTACCTAAAAGTGACACCTTACCTTTCTGAAGCTATGACCCATACAAATACCATCTTTTCGAGCAAAAAAATCATTTGGCAGCTCATAAGGAAAGTTGGATTTAGGATCACGCGAGAAAAAGGAGCTCAGAACAGAAGACATGTGTAATATGTGTGTAGCGTGAATTTTGAAACGTGAGGTGGCAGTAGAAACGGGATAAAAATTCTACACGATTTTTTCTGTTTTTTAAAACGAATTTCAATAAAATTATCGGTTTCTAGCGCGAAGTGTCACAAATTTAACAACAAAGTTTGGGAAGGAATTTCTTCAAAACTGCTGCCAAAACACGTATGATAACTATGATAATATAGTATGAGCTTTCGGGTATCAATATAATTATTATGGTAAGGGCAAGACTATGTATCCGAACAATGCGCGAAGTTATTTCCACGCATTTTTTGATAAAATTAATTTAAATTACATTAGCAAACTCCATCTTAAACAACAATACCTCCTAACTAGTTTATTAAATCAAACATATCAACAATAAACTAACACAAGGTCACGAAATAATATAACATCTATGTGTTCATCATTTAGCCCTTGATGAACTTGACGCCCTTCTCAACGTTCTTGACGAGCTCTGGAACTGAGGCATCGATGAGTTGTTGTTCATATGATGAGACTTGTCCAACACCGAGGATCTTTTCAACTCCGTTGGGGCCGAGTTCGAGTGGGGTCGAGAAGTATTCGGCTCCCTTGACGGCATCAGACTTGACATAGGCACATTCGACGACCTTCTCGCCACGGAGACCCTTGATCAAAGAGTTGACGAAGCGAGCACCAGCATAGGCCATGGAGAGGGTAGCAGATCCCTAAAAAATCATTTTTAAATACCAAATAATGAAAAACTATTGAAACTTTAACGATACAGAAAAACACTGACTCCTATCTACAGTAAAAACGGTGTCAGATATGATACTTCTAATCAACATGGCAAAAAACTGAGAACTTCCTAAAAGTCAAATATACATTAAAATATACATACAGTTCCAGCCTTGGCTTTGACGACTTCAGTACCGGCTTCTTGGATTCTCTCGGTCAAAGCTTTGATCTCTTCGTCGCTGAATTTGGCGGCTGGCTTGACTTGGCTGAGCAATGGGATGATTGTGATACCAGCATGTCCACCGACAACTGGGACAACGGTCGAGTTGACATCAAGTCCCTTCTTCTCGGCAACAAAAGTCTGAGCACGAACGACATCTAAAGTGGTAACTCCGAAGATACGACGTGGGTCGTATACGTTGTTGTTCTTGTACACTTCGGACACAATTGGTACTGTGGAGTTGACTGGGTTGGTGATAATAGCAATGAAGGCATGTGGGGCAGCTTTGGCAGCGGCTTCGGCCAAATCCCGGACGATACCGGCGTTGGTGTTGAAGAGATCATCACGGGTCATTCCTGGTTTACGGGGTACACCAGCTGGGATGACGATGACATCAGCTCCCTGAAATAGTAAATCCGAGTATGTAACAAGATCAGTCTCTTACTCAACGCTGTTAAAAATGTAAAAAGAGCTTTAAAAATCTAAAAATAGAGCCTATAATAATATGAACTACAATTCGTTGGCTTATTATAAATCCTCAAACCAACAAATAAAAAAGGACAATAATTACCTCCAAAGCTCTGTGCAACTCCTGAGGTCCAGTGTGGGCAGTAACCTGGGCTGGCGAGTCGATGTGAGAAAGGTCGGCAGCAACACCGGGAGTGTTGACAACATCGTACAACGACAACTGAGCTACAGCACGGTTGTTCTTCAACAAAAGACCCAATGGCTGTCCGATTCCACCGCTGGCTCCAAGAAGGGCGACCTTTGGGGCAGATGAGCTGTGTCTAACTCCATTCAAGGCTTGGCGGGAGCATCCCATGAGAACCTTGCTGGACATTGCCATTTTTGTTGATTATGGGCAAAAAACCTGAAATCGCAAAAGTTAAAAGGGAAAGAATAGTAAAACAAAAAATACATTGTTTTACAGTTAATTTTTTAACGGAAAAACATTACAAACACGGGCAGAGAGGTCTCCTATACCTAAAACAACATCTGGAAACAAGGAAAAACATATATAAAGTTAGCAAAAATAAAATATAAAGCAAAACTAGTATTTAAACTTAAAAAAGTGAAAATCGCCATGAAGAAAAGAAAACCCAGAGAACGCCACACTCAAACGTTCTCCCAAATGCCCACAAACAAAAATGACAGAGAAGAAAAAGGAATAGGACGATTGCCGCGAAGAGAGAGCGAACAAACCAGAGAGTGCCAGCGAAAAAGACACCTGAACTTGCCCAGGAGACTTTTCCGTGTAACAACGTGCAAATCACGCAGATAATTTTTGCAACGTTCTTTGAAGTTAACAATTAGAAGCACTGAACTGTTATCTGACAAATTAACCCTAAAAGGTTGGTCTTCCTGCATGAAAACAAGTTAAATACTTACAAAAACATAACTAATGACTTTCAAAATCCAGAATTAAACACTTTTCAGACTTTAAAACGTTAATTTCCCAAAAAAACAAAAATACGTAAATTGTGTTTTTCTAAAAGAGGTTTTTTTAAACCTAAAAACAGCGAACAAAAAGTACACAAACCAACGTGATTTCCATACCTAAAAACACTTGTTACGATAAAAAGGTCTTCAAGTGACTGATTATAAATAAACAGCATCAAAGCGAGCGGAAGATAAATTCACAATGATGAAAAAAGCCGAAAGGTCTAGAAAAATATTTTTGATTAACATTTTCGTATAACTTGGTCTAAAGCCCCGGCCGCGAGCTGTAAAACAATCATTCTCACTTTTTTGTACCAAAGCTGTTGCAAAAGTGCTTTACCTAATAATTTATTAAAAAACATGTACTAATAATTGGTTCTTAAATTCATTTAGCATTTGGTGAACCGACCTTCTCGACGTTCTTGACGAGTTCTGGAACTAAGGTGTTGATGATTTGTTGTTCGCATGATGTAACTTGTCCAACACCGAGAATTTTCTTAACTGTGTTAGAAAGCTGAGGTATTACACGGTTCTTCTTCGACAAAAAACAATCCTGGAACAGCGAGATGAACTGAAAGTGGTCGTTTTTGTTGGTTATGCGCAAAAAACCTCACATGACAATTAAAAAGGGTAACACGATAAAAAATAGTATCACATTCTAAATTTTTTTTTTGATTTGGCCTAAACAACATCTGTTTGAAAGTTGTATTTCTGAGCTGATTTTTTACACATAGCAACTTACAGTTATCACTGATATGTGATATAAAAGTTATTGATGAATGGCATGTTTGGTACGTTTTAGGTAAACATTTTCAGATTTGACACTTATTACTTAACGTTAGCGGTTTACAGTGTTTTTCTATGATCTGGAGACGTTTAAAACAGTGTCTGCTTTGATTTGAAAACATTTTAGCTACATAAACTTATCAAAGCTGTAAAGTGGCCGTTTTATGACCACTACGTTGTATTTAGGAGTAGTCGTGGCAGTGTAAAGGTTTCAATTTTATTGCTGATTAAAAGGTGCGGCTTCGATGTTAAAGATGTTTTTTACAAAGTTGCAACTTTAACGTTTGCTTTTGGCTACCTCAGCTGTTTTGTTATGAATTGAGTACTATAGTGTTTCAAAAACTTAATATTATAATTTTGTGGAACTGATACATTTGTCTTATTAAAACAGTGTTTTTGCGAATCTTAGAATCTGTTTAATGTAACCTGAGAAGGCTTTTGTTCAGGGGGTATCAATCTCGAGACGAACAAAAAAGTAATCCGAACGTAACATAAAGACAACCGTCTCGAGCAGCTTACCCAACCTTTCAAAACTTTTAAAGCAACGGTTCTGACCTCTGGCCGCGGTGGTTAATTACAGCTACTGTTCTTGTTTTATCTTGTAAACTTGTGAGCTATATAGGGTTTTGAGGTTTATATGAGGTATGAGATTGAAAGGTGATTATAATGATGTGATTATTGGTAATTATTGGTCAAATTTTTATATTTCTTTAAAAATGTCTTTTTAAAAGTTTCTTTTGTTTTTTTTTGTCTAGCATAATTATAGCCTAAGTATTATAGTAGATTATAGTAGACCGATCTTTGTTTAGACTAAAAAGCATCAATATTTTTTAAAATTTTAAAATCCCGGACCACTTGAACTTCTAAACCGTTTCGACCGTGAACAAGTAAACATTCCTCGGTCGATTATCAAATTCGATTTGCATATCAAGTATTGAAATACTTTGCGTTTGTCGCGGGCATTTATTTGTTTTGTCCTACGGGTAAAAAGGGGCTGGCCGCTCTTAAGTGCGTTGGTCAACACGGGCGCTAACACACAAAACACCTTCCAACATAATAGATAAATAAATATATATAGATTCTTTTCAGCGCCTTAAATTACACGTGAAATTCGAATTTTTGGACGAAAAATAATTTTACTAAGAACGTTTGCGCCGGAGGGGAAGTGGTTCGTACACAAATGTTATAGGGGTTGATGGGGGAGGTCAAAGGTAAATACGGTTATATATTAACGGTGATGATAATAATTACTGGCATTTTGGGGTTGATAATATAGAATGGATTGCATTCATTTTACAGCTTAAGGTTGAAACGTAGTCACTTTTTAATACCGTATGTATTTTTTATTTTTGCTATTTACTCTTGAAAAGTGCAAAAAAGACTAAGAATTCCGTTGTTACCGAAAGCACTATCATTATTTATCGATTGATCCTTTATATTCACATAATTCAAATTTGAGTTTTGGCATTTTTTGTCATATTGTTGCTACTTTCGTATTAGAGTATTAATTGAAAACGCATTTTTACTATCTTATTTTATTTACTGATATGTTATTTTATTTTGTGTAAGCAGTTCCTACTACAAAGCAACTTTTATGACAAGTAATTACTATAAATTACCTTGATCGCTTTAACGCGTGGACTTGATTGTATACATAAATCATCGCTTCATGCATTAAACGGCTACGTTCGGAGTTAATACGCTTATAAAGGTTGCAAAAACGGCTGGATAAACCTTAGATATTGTTGTGGATACAATCTATACATTTTTACATTTGAATTTTCTAGTTTGTTCTTCGTGCAATTCATTCTTTAATTTAGTGTTTCTTTGATATTGCTTGATGTTTTTTAATATTATTCATTCTTATTCATGCCCCTAGGTTTTAATTATTTTTATTACTCGTGTGTTATTTTTGTATTAATGTTTTGTATTGACATTTCCATCCTCTCTTCTTTCTCTCCCCCACTCCTTTCCATAATTACGGCCCTTGAGGGTTGATTCAAAAGTTCAGGTCAATTTTGTTTTTATTTTCCTTTTTTGGCCGCCGCTAAAATTAAATAAAAAATCTGCGAAAGAGAGGGCTTTGTAATATTTTGGGAAGGGGGGGGGGGATGGTTCGGCGATGTCTCATCGATAAGATGGTCCATAAAAACGAGAAACTACTTTTCGGGAATGCAAATGTTTCTAAATAGTTTCAGGATTGCGTGATTGACTCAAAATGCCCTCAGGCCTAGTTTGAATGAGACTCCACGGACTCGCGGTGCTGGTCCTGCTGGACTCGGTCTGGTCAGGTGGGTTAGTTGTTTTTTGTGAGTAATGGGTAAAGTCATACGAAGGAACGCTATTCATTTGGATTGAATTAACAAAAACAATAATTGTGTACATTGGCTAGCGTTTCTTTGTATGACAAATCCTTTACATAGCTGATTTGTTTTTGAAAATTGATATGGTGTAGGACATACTTTGTCCTATAAAGTAAAAATTACACTATCATCTGACTCCACATTTTTTTTCAATTTTATTGTATACAAAAACCATTTTTAATTACTTGTCTTTTCTAAATTTGATGTAAAGCTTAGCAACTTTTTTCAATAAGGTCAAATTGAACTTATTTAACTTTAGAAGATCATGTATTGTAAGCAAAATAACCAAATTTTATGTGATTTTTAACTCTTTTCCTGATTACACACACAGAATCCACGAAGTTGTAAAAGCACTTTATTTTTCGTTTACGACCTCGAGGGAATAATTTTATCAAGTTTTTGCTTTTTCGATTTCTATAATCCAATATTCGGAAGCAAAAAAGTTTGGAAGAACGCCAGCGAAACATCACAATAGAATCTGGCTTCTAGTTTATATTTAAATAAAGCGTATAGTAACATAATCACAACAAATGTGACGCAAATGTGCCAATAAAATATTATATAAATGTTAGATCTTTCAATTTTAGTTCTATCACTATGCTCCTGCACCCTTCGACATATCCATCTGAATGCCTTCGAACCTCAACGATCTATATTTTCTCCAGAATACCCTCGACCTTACTGTGGGAACATTGACTGTTTATGGATTATTGATGCTCCATCTAATCAGTCAGTGTTACGATTCTACTCTCCTAAAGTTGATCTCCGAGCACGTCGAGATTCGATCAGATTCTACGATTCGCACGATCTTGACGAGCAGAAACATCTACGAAGCTACAGAAAAGACAACGCTTCTGGAGAATGTACGAAGCGAGAAGCGTGTGAATTCAAGGCTTCTGGGCCAAGGATTGGAATACGGTTTGTAACTGGGAGAGGTGTCCCTGATAACTACGGTTTTCAAGTAAGTTGTTGTAGATATTAATGTATTGCTGTGTATTATCTTACTCTATTGCGTGGCAATGGCACAATCTTACTTAGGTTGCAAAATATGACATCGTTCCTGAAATCAATATTCTACCATAAGATTCCTTACAAACGATGTTCTCATCCATGTAAAATAACATATTTCAGGCCACAGTAAGTCTTTTCAACCATCAATTAGGCTACGAAACCGACAGCGCTCCAGATGACACTCTTGTATCTTTCTGGAACTTTTTGGTTTGGGTAATATTGGTGTTTTGCTTAGTAGTATTTATAATTGCTGTGTTTTACTTGGCCTGCTTGAAACGTGGCCAAGAAGATAATCGATCTCCTCTGTTAAACAAGTCCGTCAAGGAGGAGAGTATTCACTTGTCGATACATTCAGAAAACGAAATTCCCGAAGAAAAAGCTTGATTTTCTTGATTTTTACTATGTAAATCTAATAAATATAAATACTTTTAAAATTTAAAAACCTTTATATAACTTTTAAAACTTTCGTGGGGTTCCAGACCCTTACAAGGAAAGTACCCTTCCTGCCCCGCTCAGAATCAGCTCAAAATTTTTATATGAATTCTTTGTACCAACAATAGTACCCATAAAAAAATTATAGCTCGCGCTCTTGAGCTTTAAATTTAAATTATTTGCGTTTCCTGCCAATTTGGCATTGCGTTTCAAGCACTTTTTTCGGCTTTCCCGACAAGATACGCTTACAAATTTAAAAATGTAGGTTCATTTAAAGGTATTCTACTAGTATATGAAAGAAAAATTATTAAAAGTCAAAAAATGACAAAGTTACAAGCTTGAAACACAATGCCAAGTTGACGAGAAATTCAAAATGTCATTTTTTAATCTCGATTTTCTCGAGATTTTCTGGAAAGCGCGATTTAGTACTTTGCTGAAGATATTATATTTACATGATCTTTTTTTATAAAAAGTTTGAAGTCAATCAGAGCGGGGCAGGTCGGGCACTTTCCTTGTTAATATAAAGGCCATTTATATTACGAACCTCCCGTATAACGAGCTTTTAGCCATCTCCCTTGATATTCCTTATACGGAATTTCTACTGTATTGTGTTCCTACGTTATATAAAATCATATAAACCTCGAGAATCTGATTAAAAGTTTATTGGAAATGTATGGAACTAATGAGCGTCATTTTCTAATAACAGTAAGTAGATACGTAAGTTTAGAGCAGGTTATGTAAGGTTGTTTTACAACAAGCGTATGTGAAAGACTACCAAAATTCAAAACTTAAAAAGATTATTAGATGTTAATAAACAACGTTAACAAATCAAAATCAATTGATAGTGATCTGATCAGCGATTCTCAATCTTAGCACCTTCAGTTCAGCTTTAGCTTCTGCCAGTTCAAGTTCCCTTTGGTTGAGACGCTTCTGCAATTCCTCGATCTTGTTCTCCTTCTCCATTTCTCTCAAAGCGCGTCGTTTTCTGGACTTTTTGGCCGCTTCATTGTTCTTAGCACGCTTTAATCGATACTCTGGATCATACTTCAATTCTGGAGAACCCATCATGGCCATGGAAGGAGGAAGGAACGCTTGAGGAACCTGTGCAGATGATGAAGCGGCCGTTGAAGGAGCAGCATCTTCTAACGAGTTGTTTTCTGGAGAAGGTGAAGTTGGCGACAAAGACTGTTGTGGGCTTTGCTGTGCGTTCATACCTGATCCTCCAAAGTCCTGAAACGTAACATAAATATGCATATTTGCGACAAAAACATTGAATATTACCTATTCTAAAAAAAAACTACAAAATTTCGTAAAAATTTAAAAATTATGCGTTTTCTTAAAGAGATAAAACAACTTACATATCCAAAATGATAGGGATAGAACTGCATGGGGTGCATAGGGGGTGGGTAAGGCATCTCTCCCATTCTTGGATTGTAAAACATTGCTGGATGTGGAGGAAAACCGGGTGGAAGATATTGAGAATGGCCATTTTGAGTTGAAGTAGAGTTGAATTTGGGCTTCACATCAGTAGTAGATTGATCAGCAGCAGATTCTGATAGATTCATTTCTTTCAAGTGAGAAACTAAAACCAGATAAATTATTAAAATTAATAAAAAATCAAAAATAAAGAGATTTTTGTTATACAGAATCATTCAATTTTATACATAACACGCGACAGTTAATATAAACTGAATAAGGCGACATATGAAAGCTAAAATGAGCTGATAATCCGACAGAAAATGACTCTGGCCAATAACGCGCAACGACGCGACGCGCCAACCTTTTTTGGATAGCTTGAAGGTAAATACGGCGCTGTAGAAAAGTTGGGGTTTCCCTGTCGCTCGATCAAACACATAGTGAACAATGGTTTATCAAGTATGGCATCGAGCGCTGCATTCATAATGCAACTCTGGGAAATAAAAGCAAACGCAGGATGATCAACTACAACTTTTAATTTTAGGTAACAAATCATCTACAACAAACGCAACTCAAAATACAGTAATCCTAGGAAATTCAGATCTCACATACTATTAAATACTGTACTTTATAAGCTACAGAACGATACAATTTTACGCATTATGCTATAATCTTCAAGTCACATTGAGAAAAAAGCCAAAAACTTGATATACCTTGCCAAATTTTAGTTTTTCTTACAAAGAACAAAAAAAATATCAATGTGAATAAAAAATATACTTTATAACATTAAATACCTCCTATTTAACAACTTTTTGGTGTCGAAAACCTTTTTCAATGATCAGCTTTCATATTTATTTTGTGAGAATTTATGACATATTTTTTGCGGCCTACAGATTTCTTATCCTCACGTTGCGCCCGTACTTTCAGGTTTTGGCGGAATTATTTTTGGAGTTGATGTGTTTGTTATGTAAGTGGGTTGTAGTCTTATCCAAAATGCAAATCAAATTTTTGGTTTTGTCAATGGACTCCATAAATATGTCAATTGATTTAAATGGTAAGTATTGTGTTATCTTTGTTCCAAAATGTGCCAAAATGCGTAATTTTATAAAAAATTAGTTCGGAAATAGTCAATAATAATTTTGAAGTGGTCACTGATAACAGTGAGCGCAAAAACTTCAATAATCTATCCGGTATTGTTCAAAAAATCTCTTATCAATTTTAAAACATACACCAATAGTACCGAAAGCCAATCAAATGTTCAAGAAAATAGTTTATGTACAGGTATCGTGTTCATTAACAGTTCCACTCGGGAATAACGCTTTGTTGTAGGCTGTGAAGAACGGCGACAACTTTTTGACCCGTTGTTCGAACTCGAATTCGGTCCTCATCTGTGGTCGTTCCGTGATCACGAGATGTTGTCCTGGATTCTCGATGGTTGACGGTGCCCAATTGAAGTCGAATCTCACTGAATTCGGGTTTCCATACTTGGCAAAGTTGGTCCACATTGTTGTTATCATATTCCTTACTTTAATGTCTTCTTTCGTTCGCCTCCAAGGCTTTAGTAACACGTTGACATCAAATACGTAGGCCAGTTCAGTACAGTGGGTTGCTGCTGAAATTAGTGGTTTTTTAATAGTATTTTTGGAAGGCAAAGTCAGATAAAAGGGTAAAAATGATTGTGCTGAAGTTCTATACTTTTTTGATTAGGATAGAACTTCAACACAAAAGCTATTGTAAAAGGCCTTTCACGCTATAGATCTTACCAGTAAAAGGCATGAAGAGATTGAATCCATGGAAAAGCGATGGATTGTAATGTTCAAATAGGTATAAGTAACATTTACCACCGTTTTCCACCATGTTCTTGCTGTAGTTGTAGATGGGGGTATTGTTTATAAAGTCATCCATCATCTGAAATGTGCAATATTATTACCAATGTATTTTTTATATTATGCATTGTTATGACCTTTTTTGTTTTGAATTGCATTAAAAGAGACTTTCTGAGACCGTGAAGCATCCTGTAACAAACATGTGCACTAGAAATTTACCCCCTGTTTTTATTTGCTAAATCCATGAGATAGACGGTTTTAAGGTATGTGGTAAAGTGATTTCGGACAAAATGCCGTTTTGGCACTTTTATGCCATTTTTTGTTAACATACTGTTAAAATGTACCAAAAAATCAATAGTCCGCCAAATGTTCTGAAAATTTGTACACTTACGTTTTTGACCATGCCAAAAAATATTGTAATTGAAAATTTGTTTCTATCGGTACCGCACCTACCGTAATCCGACCGGTCGATTATAAAAGTGCAAATATCTAAAAAGTTAACACGGATCTTCACAGGCAATTTTTGCATATTTAGAATCTCCATGAAATTTGGATTATCATAGGCTATACCCCCGTTTCTAGTCCGATGGGTTTTGGGGGTTTTTGGTCGACTGAAAAATTACGGTAGCAGACCGTGCAAATAATAATTTTTTTTTAAATCCAATAATGCATCGAACGCTTTGAAACTGTGCATGGCTATGTTTTTGACTATGCTAAACAACTTCGTAATAAAAAATCGTTTTTTAAAAATACCGTAACCTACCGTAATCCGGCCGGTCGATTATCCTCAAAATTGGCAGTTTTAAAGATGAGCTTATAGCCTATCAATATCTACTTTTTATTTAGATTCTAAATATGCTAAAATTGACTAAGGACACCCGTGTTAAATTTTTAGAGAATTGCACTTTTATAATCGACCGGTCAGATTACGGTGGGTTACGGTACCTTCAGGGAGAAAATTATATTACAAAGGTGTTCAGCATGGTAAAACACGTAAATATGCAAATTTTTAGACTTATCAGTGCATTAGCAAAGCTGTAGTAAAATTTTAAATTTTTAGGCAGTGTGTTACCGTAATTTTTCAGTCGACCAAAAACTCCCAAAACCCATCGGACTAGAAACGGGGGTATAGCCTATGATAACCCAAATTTCATGTAGATTCTAAATATACAAAAATTGCCTATGAGGATCCGTGTTAACTTTTTAGATATTTGCACTTTTATAATCGACCGGTTGGATTACGGTAGGTTACGGTAATGATAAAAAAAAAATTTCAATTGCAATATTGTTTGGCATGGTCAAAAACATAACTATCCACAATTTTAAAACGTTTGATGCATTATTGGATTTCTTAAAAAATTTTATTTTCTGCACGGTCTGCTACCGCAATTTTTGAATCGACCAAAAACCCCCAAAACCCATCGGACTAGAAACGGGTGTATAGCCTATGCTGACCTAAATTTCATGGAGATTTTAAATATGCAAAAATTGCCTGTGAAGATCGGTGTTAACTTTTTAGATATTTGCACTTTTATAATCGACCGGTTGGATTGCGGTAGGTTACGGTACCGATAGAAAAAAATTTTCAATTACAATATTTTTTGGCATGGTCAAAAACGTAAGTGTACAAATTTTCAGAACATTTGGCGGACTATTGATTTTTTGGTACATTTTAACAGTATGTTAACAAAAAATGGCATAAAAGTGCCAAAACGGCATTTTGTCCGAAATCACTTTACCACATACCTTAAGACCGTCTATCTCATGGATTTAGCAAATAAAAACAGGGGGTAAGTTTCTAGTGCACACCTTGCTTCACGGTCTCAGAAATCGTCTTTTAAATTATAGGTGATCTCCTTCATAAGCTAGCTCTTATGACAACTCTTAGAATATTTTAAAGATACGATAATCAATATTAACTCTGTCTTTCATATTATACTTACTTCCAAACAAGCTTTCTGAACTCTTTTCTTGTCTCTTTTCATACTTTCTGCTATGCCGTATAGCTCCCTGAATTCGTCGTCGCATATTCTGTCTTCTGGCGCTACAAGATGATCGTGAGCATTCAACATTTTGGTAACATTGCCTTCAAACTGCTCCAGTAATTTTTTGTTTGCAGATCGTCGGCTTAACAATACTGAAAATGAAATATTTATCTCTATAATTTATATTTTATCTCATAAATTATTTTCAACTGAGGTAGAATAGAGAAAGACTCTTTAATTTTACAAATTTTGTAAGGATGGAGTAGCCACCTACTAGATTAGACGCTGTAAACTTACAAAACAATAATCCTTCGTGAGCACAAATACCGGTAATCGAGTCTTTGGGTTCTGTTTCCAATCGTAATTCACAAATTGGTCTAGGTAATAATTCAGAATCATATACAGGAGCTAATAGTAACCTCATTTCATCTAGTACTGCTCGTTCACCTAAACATAAATTATGAGTAAACGCTTATATATATATTTACGTCATTGTAAACTAATTTCACGTCGAAAAGTTACAGTACTATGTAATTAACTTACCAACCATAGTTAGACCGAATTTTTGACTAGGTTGTTTCCTTAAAAAGTCCAGACATTTTTTGTTGTCAATGTCATCCCAACCTGAAAAAAAAACATGTTTGTGACATTTCTACCTAAAATTTTCAAATTCAAGTTTTAAAATTGTTGATTAAAAACTTACTATTTTGAGGTTTAAAGCCAATATTCATAGCCTTTTCTCTGCTGTAGGCTATTGCTTTTGACCGGTCGGTGATGGCCCAATTGTTTTCGGCCGATCCAGCCATGCAAATCTTACGTTGAAATAGGTCTAAAGTTAGGGTTTTTTTTGTACAAGGGCTTAGTACGTGATTCTGCTTTTTATATTATTCATTATTTTCATACATTTAATAATACATATTAAGTTCAAAATAAAATATACGTGTAATAAAACTTACTTCTGGAGACAGGTGAGACAGATAAGAGATCAGTAGCGGCGCCTCCGGCGCTTTGTCCAAATACCGTAATCCTTGCTGGATCACCTCCAAATTTTGAAATATTATCTCGAATAAACTGTAGAGCTACGACTTGATCCCAGAAGCCATAGTTCCCCTTGATATGTTCATCATCCAAACAAAAGTAGCCCAACAGTCCCAGACGGTACTGTATCGTCACTACTATCACATTGTTTCGCACTAGGTATCTGTAAAGGGGTATTTTAGTAAAAGGTAAAAATTTTATTTTACGTAATGGTAAGAAGCAAGATATAACGGTATGAATCATAATATAACAGTATGAAGACGCCTACATATATTATGACTTACTTTGCGCATTTACTATAGTGATATTTAGCTGCACTGTCCATAACGTAACCACCTCCATGTATATACACCATAACTGCGTAGCCTTTCTGAAAATGTACATGGTAATCATAGTTTCATATGTTGAGAATTCAAAAATGAAAATAAAATTTAAAAACTTACAGGAAATTCATTGGTCTGCCTAGCAGGAGTAATAATATTCAGATACAAACAGTCCTCGCTGATGGGTACTCTAACATCAACAAAGTCCCAAACGAAGGAAGTTTGAACTGATCGAGATCTGTATTTGCGACATTCCAGTATTCCAGTCCACGGATCAGGGGGTTCGGGCTTCTGAAATTCGGCAAAAGTTAACTTTTAAGCTAAACAGTAACTTTTACTGCTTTTTTTGATTTCTAGTGACCTATAATAATTAGTTTAAAGATTTTAAAATTTTATTCAAATGCACTTTTATTATTTTACTTCAAAACGTGACATTGCTATAAAAATCTATCAAACCGTAAGACCAACTTGCAGTAAAACTCAAATTTCTACTTTTTAATTATAAAATTAGTCATTTCCAGGTTACTGTGTAATATATATTTCCTACTCTGTAATCCCCGGCTCTAAATGCAGAGCCCGTATGTTCGTCAGAGCGGGTGAGGCCAAAATAAGAGTACATATGTACTGAGTGAGAGAGTCATGCAAATTTGTGGAAAAATCAGTAAAAAATAAAAATTTTGAAAAAATTTTGAAAAAAAAACCGGTCAGTTTTATGGATTTTTTAGCGCAAAGCGGTCGTGTTTGAATTATTTTGATACTATTTTGAATATGATACGCAGTGTACAATTTTCGAAATTTTTAGGTTTTGCTTTTTAAAATGAAAGATGTGCGAGGGCCGGAGGCCCGAGCCAAGTTTTAATGAGATGTTTCGGTATTTACAATATTTGAATGAAAATTATTGACGTGCGAGGGCCGCAGGCCCGAGCTAATAATTTTAGATTAATAAAGTAAAGTAGAAGTAAAAGCAAAAGCAAAAGTAAAAGTAGAGGGCCCGAAGGGCCCTCTCCAGATCATAGGACGACCGGAGGGCGTCCGTTGATCTGGTCCCCGGCTCTAAATGCAGAGCCGTATGTGAGGCAAAAATAAGAGTACATCTGTACTAAATCGAGAGGGTCATGCAAACTTTTGGGAAAATCAGTAAAAATTAAAAAAATTTGTAAAATTTTGAAAAAAGAAATCGGTCAGTTTTACGAATTTTTTTGGCACAGAGCGGTCGTGTTTTCAAATGTTTTGATACTATTTTGAGTATGATACTGATTATTGTGTACAATTTTCGAAATTTTTAGGTTTTGCTTTTTAAAATGAAAGATGTGCGAGGGCCGGAGGCCCGAGCCAAGTTTTAATAAGATGTTTCGGTATTTACAATATTTGAATGAAAATTATTGACGTGCGAGGGCCGCAGGCCCGAGCCAATAAATTTAGATTAATAAAGTAAAGTAGAAGTAAAAGCAAAAGTAAAAGTAGAGGGCCCGAAGGGCCCTCTCCAGATCATAGGACGCCCGGAGGGCGTCCGTTGATCTGGTCCCCTATATAATTGTAGAGCGGTACATGTCCGAAGCCGCTGTTAGAGTGCATTTGTACTAAGTGAGAGAGCCATGCAAATTTTCAAAATAAATCATTTTAAAATGGAAATTATGTGAAAATCGGTGAAAAAATTTGCAAAAAAAATTTGAAAAAAAGAGCGGTCGGTTTTATTAAATATTTATAGATATGATGTGTGTGAAGATACGATGCAAGTACGACTGTACCATGCCGAGGGCCGAAAGCCCGAGGCCTTTTTTTATCATAAAATAAAAGTAAATTGTAAATGAAATAAAATTACAATGTCCAGACCATAGGAGGCCCGTAGGGCCTCCGTTGGTCTGGTCCCCTCTCTAAATAGCGGCCTGTATGAGTTTGTCCGAAGCAGCTTTAAAAGTACAAATTAGAGAGCCATGCAAATTTTTTAGAAAATCAATTTATTTATTTATTTTATTTTTAATAAATAAATTTTATAAAATTTTGAAAAAAGAGACCGGTCAGTTTCATAGAAATTTTTGAAAGAGAGCGGTCGGATTTCAATAATTTGGAGGAAGATACGATGGCAATGTAAGTATGTTTTCTGATACTATTTTGAGTATGATACTAAATATTTTGTAAGCTTTAAAAATCTTTATAAAGTTATTGATTTTATGATGAAAAGTATGGCTATGGGTAATGATAGGGATATGGGTGTGGATTTAAACATCAATCGTTTAAATATGGGCAAGGGTATATAAAATGGCTATGAATGTATCATACTGCATTGAAGTAGCAGAAAATTATTAAAACAAAAACATTCGATTTTAAAGTTAAAATGAAAAGAAACGCGCGAGGGCCGCAGGCCCGAGCCTTTTTTTTTTAAAACATTCTAACATTTCATTTTATTATAAAATAATTTTATACTAAAATAAAACAAAGCTAAACTATCCAGACCATAGGATGTCTCCGTTGGTCTGGTCCCTATATAAATGCAGACAGATGGTATGTTGTGACAAAAAAGTGAAGCATTCTATTTTATTGTTAAAAAAATGGTTGAAAATGAGCGGTCGGAATTTGAAAATGAAAATTGTCAAAATTTTTTAATTTGGAAATGAAAATAAAAGCGACCGGTCAGTTGCATTGAATTGTTTGGTGAAGAGCGGTCGGTGTGCGAATATTTTTGGACAAGGAATGATTTTGGATATGGCATGGGTATGGCATGGGCGTGGCATGGGTATGGCATGGGTATGACATGGGAATGGCATGGGTATGGCATGGGGTATGGCGTGGCTGGGTATGGCATAGGCATGGCATGTGTTTAGATATGGCATGGGTACGGCATAGGTATGGCATGGGTTTGGGTGTGGCATGGGAGTGGCATGGGTATGGCATGAAATGGGTATGGGTACGGGTATGGTAAGGGTTTGGCATGGGTATAGTATGGGCATGGCATGGGTAAGGGTATCGATATGGTGTGGGCATGGCATGGGTATGGCATGGGCATGGCATGGGTATAAAATGGGTATGGGTACGGGTAGGTACGGGTGTGGGTTGGTAGCTTTAGAACGCGAGGGCCGAAGGCCCGAGCAATTTATTACTGTCATGCGAAATGATTAAAAATATTTGAATAAAAGCCAATTCTATGATCAAAAATTGAGTTGCGAGGGCCGCAGGCCCGAGCCTAATCTTTGAAATATAATAAACTGTATTAAAATTAGCATATTAAAATAAAATGACATTGCAGTGACCAGATCATAGGACGTTGATCTGGTCCCAATATAAATGCAGAGAGATGGTTCGTGTGACAGATTGGTGAAGCCAAAATAAGAGTACATCTGTACTGAGTGAGAGAGTCATGCAAATTTGCGGGAAAAATCATTTGAAAATGAAAATTTTATGAAATTTTAAAAAAGGAAACCGGTCAGTCGCATGAAAATTTTTCGAGGAAAGCGGTCGGGTTTTCAAATGGTTTGGGCAATGATTTCGGATACTATTTTGAGTATGATACTATATTGTGTGAGATTTGAAATATGTTGGACGTAGCATGGGTATGGATACGAATATGAGCATGGATATGGGCATAGGTCACGGTATGGGTGTGGATATTGGCATGGGTATGAATATTGGCATGGGCATGGATAAAAATATGGGCATGGTTATGGATATAAATATGGGCATGGGCATGGGTATGGATACGAATATGGGTATGGGCATGGGTCACGGTTTGGATATTGGCATGGGTACGGGTGAGTAAGGGTATCGGTTTGGGTGTGGATATTGGCATGGGTATGGGAATGGGCATGGGACATGGTATGTGTATGATATTGGTACGGGTCACAATATGGGTGTGTATATTGGCATGGGCATGGCATGAGTATGGCTATGGTCATGGGTCACGGTATGGGTTTGGATATAGGCATGGATACGGGTGGGTAAAGGGTATCGGTTTGGGTGTGGGTGTGGATACGAGTCAAGGTATGGACAATAAAATGGGTATGGGTTTGGGCATGGCATGGGCATAGTATGGGATGTGCAAAAAGCGCTTTAGAACGCGAGAGCCGAAGGCCCGAGACATACTTTTAATAATATAAAAATCAAAACAATTTATATTAATTTGTGACATTAATGCGCGAAAAGCGGTGTGCGAGGGCCGCAGGCCCGAGCAATTTATTACAGTCATGTGAAATGATTAAAAATAGTTAAATAAAAACCAATGCTATTATCAAAATTTGGATTGCGAGGGCTGCAGGTCCGAACCTAATTTTTGAAATATAATCAACTGTATTAAAATTAGCATATTTAAAATAAAATAAAATGACATTTCAGTGACCAGGCCATAAGGGGGCCTTTGGGCCCCCGTTGGTCTGGTATATATTCTTCACGCTGTAAAGTATATTGTTACGTAACCTATAAATTAATTTTTAAAACAAATTTCGACCCAGAATAGAGGTGAATTTCGTAATTCCATTGTTTCGAATGTCATTTTTGGTGAATTTGCGACAGAAATAAAAAGAAGTAAATGAGCAAAGAACACGATTATACCATGACATACATTGTGTTCGTACATTTCCTGCTGCGAAAAATGCTACAGATTACATTTTTGGAGAGAATAGTGTGTTACTGTGGGAAAAAGTGTAGTTGTGACTTGTTTTGTTGATGTTTCAACTTTTTTGAGAGCAAAAAGCAAAGAAAAATGTAAAGATTATTAAAAAAGGTTGAAAGACCTTCGTTTACAGGTGGATTGTTATTTTAAAAGCCTTGTACAATATAAGAAGCTTCTAATTTTAAAGGTTTTAGGGAAAAATAAAAAAAAATTTTTAATTTTTTTTGTTAAAATTCAACAAAAATTTTTAAAATATCAAAAATTACCTGAAAACGTAACCCTCCAACCGGTGGCTTCGCGAACGGAATGCCCAAAAAGGCTTTGGCGGCGTGGTACTCGTTGATCTCCACCCACTTGCCCTCCACCCAGCCATGGGTGGTCCTGACTCGGGGTGGGTCGGCGTACTGTCGCGACATCGGTGCTCCCATCCTTTTATTGGAATAGCGGCGTCGAGCTGAGGTCCAGAGTCGAGAGTGAACGAACAGCGACAGCCGGTTCCATCGCCCGTGAAGAGGCGGCGATGGACCGCGTAGGGAGCGGCTCTGAACAAAAATAAATTAATTGAATCGGGTCATGATTACAGTAAATTCCTGTTATCATTCCGGCTTTTGCGGAGGGAGGAGGGAAGTTGTTAAAGTTTGTTCAAATAGTTTCAGGTGGCTTTTGTGATAAAATTTTAATGTTTTTGTTTGTAAGTGTTCAGAGTAAATAAAACAAATTTTTAAATTTTTGGCTATAACTGTAATAAATTAGTGGTGTTTTAGTTTTATTTTAGTATTTCAAAAATACATTATATTATTCTTCATAAAATTTCACAAACTGTTGACAGGAAGATTCATACTAAAATTGTGGTTAATGTGTTGCACTTTCAATTTCATTAAGTGTAAGCTATAAGTTTAGATGTTGAAAGTCTGTTTTTTATATCGGCGATAAATCTAATGACGTTTTAAAATGAAAAAGTTGTTTTACTTTTGACAAAACTTTGATTTTATCTAAATAAAACAATATAATGGTATCAAAAAAGTTTTGTCGTCAATATCTATGATTTTGCTTTCGAAAAGTGACATGACTTTTGTGGCGCTCAACAGAGATACCTGTTTTTTGTTTTTTTTGCTACAATTTTAACATTTTGATTAATTTTTAGTCATCATATTTTATATTGGTGACAATCAATGATTATCTTTTACAAAAGACAAAAGTATTTTGAAACCTTGAAAACAAAAATAACTTGTGATAGCCTGAAATAGTAAGTGAACTGACAATAGCCTTTTTGTTTTAGCATTTTGTGACCTTATTTTCGATTCAATTTTAAAAAGCAAAACACTGGCTCTAACACAAAGCACGGTAAAATTATGCAAAATCTTTTTATGCTTCCACAAATTTTTGAATGTTATCTTAGATACCATGACTTTTTAAAGGTTTCTTGATATTGAAACACCAGAAGACTGTAGTTTGAATCCTTGAACGTTTTAATCCGTGTTTTGTTTATTTCGGAACGTTTTGCACGACACGTTCTCGGACTTTGCTCTTATACTTTGATTCAAGTTTCTATGACAATGTAGCATGGTGCTTATAGAAAGGGGTGCATAGTAAATTAAAGAACACATCATGTTGCTATTATAAGGAAGCATGCATAATATTTTTACTAGAATAGGGAGCTACTGTAGTGCATACTACTATAATATTAATAGCACTAACCCTAGCAGATCCAAATGTTGAAATATTTTTTAAAAGTACTTTTTAGATTTTAAATTCACTATTTTTTTAAATAATGATTGCCTTTTTTTGTTAAAAATGATTGTTTTACGAGTTGTTATAGGATTAAACAGCTTTTAGTCACCTTTTCGATACCTATAAGACCCCTTTTGCATAAACTCTATTTAAAAGTATAAGTCATATGTTTTTACATAATTTCTGCACGACGAAACAAACATCTACAACATACGTACGTATTCTGCAGAGCTCGCTTGATTATGCACAAACTGAATAAGCGTAATCGTCGTATGTTCGCGTTATATTTTTAAAAAATCTTTAGAAAATAATTTTTTTTACTATTTTTACTAGTTTTAAAAATTTGAACAATGTTAAAATTAGTAGAAAAAGTTTTGTTGAGAATGGCATTCCAAACTACGTATCTGATGACTTTTATCATTTTACGTGTTACTTTGAAAAATGATTACTGAGTAATTGATGGTTTCTATCTTTTGCTTTTATCAAATTTTGAGAAGAGATCAACAGTGTAAGATGAGAATTAATAATACGTACAATAACGGTAAAGTAATTTAAATTGCGTCAATTTAAAATTTGAAATTAAATATAGCAAAATTTTAAAAATTTTAAAGTCTTTTTAAGACGTAATCTGTAAAATACTTCTAATATTCGTCTTCTTTAGTACCTTCTTCTATATACTTTACTACTACTGACAAGGCGATTGCTAAAACAATAAAACCGCCACATTTTGATGACATTACAAAACTCATATTGAAAAGACAAAAGCACAGTAAACTTACAAATTTCTTGTTTTCCATGTTCATACGACCATAATGAAGTGGTAAAACATTTAATATGACCAAAAACAATCTAAAAATTAATTAATTAATTAACTTGAACTTGCTGTTTTTGTTGTCATTTCACGCAATCGTCGTATGTGTGAGAACTCAACGTACTAATCTTAATTTTACGCAAATTACATTGAATTCTGATTCTGTTAAACGGCGAATTAAAAGTTCATTCTTTGGTAATTTTCGGAAAAATATTTTTTTATCTGTTACATCATGTTTTCGTGCCTTAAAATGGCACTTTTTAAATTGTGGTTAAAAATCAAAATAAAAATATGGTAAAAATGTTTTAGCAGATACTATAATATCTATTTCTAAAGTTCTGAGTTTTTTACTAGACTTTTAATATAAAAACAATTTACTATGATAAAAACTGGCCAACGTTCTATATTATACATACCGGGAAAGCTGGTATGTGTTTTAAAATCGAAAAAATAAAATTATTTTTGTTTTTTAACGCGGAAGTCATTCGTTAAATGTCAAAACATCAATTTTGGGCTTATTCTCTAAAGTAACATATGTATTAAAAATCCTACTGTAACTGTCTGTCTATCTCATAATGACTTATGTAGTGCCGGACGGGGCGTGGGGTTTGGGAGAGGAGAAAAAGACGGGGAGGATTTCTCTTCGTGCCAAAAATTTTGAAAAGAGTTATGTTCTATGCCCACCCCTTGCCTTACCCTCACCCCTCCCTAGACTTCTGCTCCTGCCAGACCCTGTATATATCGAAATAAAACGTATGTTAAGTTTCATTAAGATTTTTAAATTTGTAACGTAAAAATCGAATAAGCCAATGTAGCAAAAACAAACCCTGCGGCAACACGGAATGACCTTAAAAAATTGGAACGACAATAGAACGACGCGAAACGTGAAATCGAGAGAAACAAAAATAGATAATCAGGTTACGTTTCCAGGAGAACTTTTGGCTTATTACGTTGTTTTGGCTCATCGCCTGAGGGCGTTTCAGGGGAAAAGCCGAAATCTACGGTTACCAGCTTCGTATCGTGGTCTCTTATTGAAGTCAGTAAAAAAAGGCAGGTTATTAAGGTAATAATAGGGTACTCTGTATCATATATACAGTACTAACATATAAGTTACATAGTATTTCAAATTTCAAAAAGATTAAAACATAGCTACTACTACAATGTATTTATATTCAATTGCTTTTGAACGTTCTAAATACATATACTACTCAGAATATACAATATAACATGTAATAAAGACCATAATATTGCCATAATACATAGTAATAACTAAATGTTAAACCGCAGTAATACATTCGAATAGTTAATACACCCATTAAACATTACATTTCAGTCGGGTAGATTAAAACATTTGAAGATTAAAGAAGTAAAAGTGTTAATATTATCGTGTGTAATATGTACGAAATGCTTTGAAATGTGTTTGAGTAGCCAGCGTAATTAAAAACAAGCTTGGTAATCAGCCGCGGCCGTGTTTACATAGATTTACTATATATGTTGAGGTTTTCAACAGTATAAAATATATTAAATATTTTTTGAAAAATTTTAAAATTCGAAAAAAGCTAGGAAGGGACGGAAGAAGAGATTCAGAAGGCGGAGCCATGCATATTCTTCTCTGCGCTACAAAAAGGAAAGTCTGTGCAAATAGTACTAATGGTACTGTATGACTAATGGTACTGTAAGACTAACGATACTGTAAGACTAATAGCTTTGAAAGATTACTGGTATTATAAGGTTAACGGTAATATAAGAATAATGATACTGTAAGACTAGTAGTGCTGTAAGGCTAATAGCATTGCAAAACAAATGCTACTATTAGACCATTAACATCTCAAAAACCTTGTTTTTGCTTACCTTCATAAAGGGTAATTGTAGGTGTTGAATTCCCATAATTTGCATTTCACCCACTTTCCCATGTTATGTTATGTAAATATAAACAATTTCTTTTATTACTCTGTAAAATTTAATATTCTAAAAAATGAAAAAAACATTATTAATGTTAGTTCGAAAATCATGTGTCCAAAAATGAATGGCAAAACTTTAATGTCAAAAGTAGAGCTTACTGTAACAAAATGCCCTTTTTAATACTTTATCACACAGCAGAAATTGAAAAAGAGCTACAGTAATAGAGAAATAATACAGACATACCTAAACCAAAACATTGCCATATACGTAAACGTACTATAACTACAGAGTAACGCCAAAAAAGGCAACAAAACATACTTCAACATTGTTCGTTAAGTGCTCTCCCTCTTGAAAGACGTACTCACAGAGCACGAACGTAAGAGTATCATACATAGTGTCACGAATATGCAAATAAACCCAAAACTTTAAAAAACTTCTTATTCAGGGTTGTCAGCTCGTAAAACAGAGTAAATTGCCAAGTTCACATAAGTAAGGTAAAAAAGTAATTTCCTTCCGCCCGTACCCCCTCCCCTTCTTAAGACCCCCAGGGCTTTCAGGTATGAAATGTTCGAAAAGCGCCCCCAAAACGTTTTCCCCTTCCGACGCCAATTTTGGACGTTCGAGGTTGTCGAGAATTCGTGATGAGAATAATAAAAACAATTTCAGACAGTTCAAAGCAAAGTGGCAGTTTAAAGCCGGTAACCGCTCGAACTCTCAAGAATGTCCACAGAACTGGTTCCAACGTCACGGGCTATTTTTAGAATTTTTTGAAAATTCAAACAGTATTTTGTGAAGCAAAAATCAAAAATATAATATAAATCATACAGTACACTACAGAATACAGCACGCAAGAAGCAATAAAGAATGGCAGTGAACGGAAAAAAAATAAAAGTCAGAAATTTTTGTATAAAGTGCTCAGACAAATAATATGTTGCTCAACACTATATTTTATCATCTTTACCTAACTTCTTTTATTTTTAAATTTTAAAAAATAGGTACATCTTACAGTAATCTTTTAAAAAAAATCTTTCCAAAACACTGCTGCTTTGTCAAAGTTTTAACAGTATAAACTACGCAAGTGTGAAAAGATAATAAACTTTAGTTTTTACACGTTCGTTTGTGAATTTAAAATTCAATTTTTCTAGACTTTCAGTACGTGTAATCATATTTGCAAACTTTTCTGGGTACAATTCAAACATTCCAACCAAAGTATTAATAATCTTTTTTTATTTTATAAAATTTTAAAGCTTATTTAAAAAACAATATAAATTTTAAAAAACCATTTTACTTCGTAAAAATATTTTAAATCCTCTAACATACGATGATATCTTGTGCTCCACCACGAAAACAATTGACCGCCAAGTTCTTTTGGCATTTCGTTATTTTGGCTAAAAATAAAAATTTCACAATTTGGACATGAACTTGGCTATAGATTTTTATGTTGTCGATAAAGCAAGCTAGTTTCTGCTCAAAAAGATTAGTTTCTTATATACCAAGGTATGTTAATATGTTTTATTTATATTGTTTTATGTTTAGACAGAAAACTCACTATGAGATCTTGGAAGTAGATCCTAAAGTTTCGAACGCAGAAATTCAGAAGGCTTTTGTGGAGAAGTCAAACCGGTTACATCCAGATGGACGACATTTCCAGCATTCTGCAAAAGGAACTGAAGATTTCATGGCATTAAAGGAGGCTTATGACGTTCTGAGAAGGCCGGAGAAGAGGAAAGAGTATGATCGAGAGCTGGAGTTCGGGAAGAATGCTGCTAGAGACATGTATTATGAAGCTGTAAGTATTTTTGTAGATTTTTTATGGCTTAATGTTTTTTCAGTAATAAATTTTAAACAGTTTGAACTAGTTTTAAGTTTTTTAGTGTGTTTTGTTAAAAGACGTGCTATCATTATTTGTCTAACTCAATATATTCCCGTTTAGGACGGAAGTTCTTCTCAAGGTATAGACCCCAACCTCATCAACCTCAACATACGATCTCCTCGGTCTCAGCTTCGACCATTAAGGTCCAGAATGTCATTATCAGATAGAGTTGGGCACTTCTTTGATCCAGCAAAAGCTATAGCATTTGAGGAGATAGAACGAAGGAGGATAATATATGGAGCGGTGTTCTTTGTTCTTATTATAATAGGTGATATTTGTTATGTACATTATTTGGAACATAGAGGGCGCAAAGTAGCTTAAATTGACTATGGATTGTAATGTTGATATTGTTTTAGGAATAAATGTCTTTCATATTGTTGTTAATAGTTTAGATTATGATTTTTGTTGGTTAATAGCCATGTATATTTGATGACAAAGTAAATTGAGCGAATGTTTTAAAGTAAGTTTAGAATAATGTTGAAGTTCTTGAACTTGGGAAGACGGAGGTTGTTTTTGGCAAGTATACGACCTTATTCTAGTACTAAAAGGTAAGTTTTTTTGTTTGGTTATATAATTTTATTTTTTTACGATTTTTGTTTCTTAAATCTTTTTTTTGTTACCTAAAATTACACCAATTTTCTAAAATATACAACTTTAGAGACTACTACGAAGTCCTAGGAGTACCAAAAACAGCGACCAGTCGTGAGATAAAGTCAGCGTTCTACAAACTCTCCAAGCAGGTAATTCTAACCTAAAATAATAAAAAATGTGTAGTATCATCCAGATGTTCCAGGCGCAGATTCTGCCAAGTTTTTGGAAGTAAAAGAAGCATACGATGTCTTGAGAGATGATAACAAACGGAGAGAATACGATACGTTTGGGCATGGTAATGCCTATCACGGGCAGGGTCAAGGGTATGCGGGTCAGAATCCTTTTAATCAAGGGTTTGGACAGAACTATGGTGGATATCAGAGGGTTTACAAGACGAATATTGATCCTCATGAGTATGAGAGGGTAAATTGGTTATTTTTTTAAAGCTATTATATTTGTATATATGAAAAAAGTTATTTTAAGTAAATTTAGGTCTTATTGTCTATAGTCATGACTATATTGTTGTAGATTATTTTGATTTAATGATAATCTTTAGATCATGCGTGAAATGGATCGAGTGTTTAAAAACTTTGGGGCTCGAACTGGTCCAGCTGGTCAATCTACAAGGTTTTATGGGTTCAAACGAGAGTTTAATCAACAGGAATTTGATAGGGTAAGGTTTTATCAGTGTTAAAATTGGAGTGTCAAGTTAACAAACATTTTTGTCGATAATTATGTAAATTATATGTAATTATAGCAATTACTGTGATGTTGTTGTAGATATGGAATGAGATGAGGAAGAATACCAATAATAGGCAGGGTCCTATTTTCGACGAGATTTTTAAACGTGCTAGGGAACGTGCTGATGCATTTCATCAACAACAAAACGACCAAAGGTGGCAGACACATAGCAATGAAAAAAAGGATAGGTAACTTCATTTTTAGTCATTCTATTTATAACTTTTGTTTAATTTTTATGATGTTTACTGCAGGGATGTGGGCACTGTTGGTCTGGGGGTCTAAAAAATTGGCACAGGTAGCCCCAGGGGGTACCCCCTCTCCTTCTGTCTCTCCAATTTCGTGACAATTAACTTTAAAATATTTGTGAAAATTGATTTTAGGGAACATTGGAACTACTATCAGTTTAAGGTGGAAAACTATATTGACGTAGCCAAAGCTCATAGATATTTTCGTGCATTCACTATGTTTTGTGTTGGTACAGTGTTCATCTTGATATCTTTTCGGTATGTTTATTTATAAGTTCTTATTTGAGCTAAATCGTATATTTTAATGGTTTTACTCTATGTGCCACACTTATTTTTTTGCACAATCTATTACTGTATGACAATATTTATGATATACAGAATACTGTAAATTAATTTTTTAGTAGCTATGCTGATTTATATTTGTTGGTGATGACAAGGGCTTTTTAATATTTAAAATATATAGTTTTGTTGTTTCAGTAATTATCTCAAAGAAGGAAGACCAAACCAGGATCGTAGCGAAGTGTATGATCGTCAGAATATTGTGAATATGATGAATAAACCTCCTATTGATGTGAAACCGGAAGAAATGGGTTTGAAACGAGAAGAAATGGTTGTGAAGCCAGAAAAAATGGGTGTGAAGCCGAAAGAAGAAGATCCTATTAGGCCGTACGGGATGCCAGAGAGTTACAGCAGCTTTAAGTGAAGGTTATTGTTGACTTGATGTTGTTAATAAATCTATTAGGTCTTTGATTATTTGAAAAATTTGATTATTATCGTATTCTGCGATTAAAATATCTTTGTTTTGTACTTGTAGTGTTGTTAAGGTACATTAGTTTTTTATATATTAGTTTTGGACAACAAAATTATTTAATTATATAATAGTATACTGTATAATTTTTTTATTAGGTATGTTGAATCGATAACATCTCTTTATGCACGCGTTCAGAGTTAACATGCGCATCTTCATACGAAGTTATTCGTCAATTAGGTGCGTTAAAGGGTTAATATAAGTAATGTGCTCGTTTTATAAAAACTTAACTTTAAAAGTCAAGCATCATATTAAGTGTAACATAAAAATATTTTAGAGACCCATACACAATACTCGGAGTAAAACGCGATTCTACAGTCGATGAAGTCAAGGAAGCGTACTACACTTTGTCCAAGAAGTACCATCCAGATAGTGTAACAGCAGATGCTGCCAAGTTTTTGGCAATTAAATCAGCATATGAAAAGCTGAAGGATAACAAAGTAGAAAATGGAGTTCAGAAGCTTCATACGTTTACCATGGAGGATCTACGTAAGGTAAGATCGTGATATTTATGTAGTAAGTGCTATTTAACCTCTAAAATGGATGAATATGCAGTAAATAGTTATAAGAACGGTTACTGCATAATATGTGTATATGTATGTTATTATAAGCTTATAATTAATAAAGTTTTTGTAGGTAAACGAAAGGTTTGACAACTATAACCGTGACCGAGTACGTGATTACTCTGAGGACATGGAAAATTTTAAAAAGTCATATAGGGGAGACCCAGAGGTCGGCACCAAACAGTCGTTATGGAAGTAAGTTTTACAGAACTGACGTTTGATAGTTTAAAATTAAACAACTTTTATCATATATTACATATTATGAAGTTTTAAATATTTTATTTTGCGAATATTTCGTAGACATATCACTACTATATTCTGCATATTGATGTAAAACGGTTTTAGGAAAACACTAGAGTCTTTAGCCTCTGCCCATATTGTTTTAAAAGTGCTTTGGTGTGCGATATTGGGTGGTACGCTTGGCGCAACGACTTTCTTCAGGATACAGTAGGTTAACAGTTGTATTATGTAATTACAGATTTTGTTTAGATGGTCAAAAATGGAAGAGTACAAAAGGAAGAACCCACACCTGATATACGAGTAGGCCAGTAGGTACAGATTAAGATAACTGTATAGATTAGGATTTTTTTTGGTTTTAATTGAATTTGTTGGATAAACAAACATATTGACAAGATTTACATTGGTTATATTATACTTTTTTATTGTAAAAAGTTATTGACGTACTTTACATTACCTTAATTATCGATTAAAGACTGTTCGTACAGATTGTTAATGACATCTTGGTATCTTGCCCTGAGGTCATTTCTTTTCATTTTCAAGGTTGGAGTCAGAAGTCCATTATCCAAACTGAACTCTTCGGTTACCAAATGTAGATTTTGAATCTGTTCCAAGCTACTTAACCCAGCGTCGCGACCCAAAACTCTGAGGTCGGAGAGGATTTTGGATCTAATTTTTGAATTGTTCAGGTTTATTGGGTCCTGCAACGAAATTAGTTAACCGTTTTAGACAAATAATTGGTCAGAATTTAAATTTCTGACAGAAATCGCAGGTTCTAAAACATTTTTAATACCTTAAGGGGCTTACAGATCAAAATCATGTCCGTCTCTGTACGTAAACTTACTGCGCCATGTTCCCTTGCAATCTCTTGAATCACCACCTCATTTACGACAATAATGGCAACCAAGAAAGCCTGAGTACCTTTCCCATCAACGAATATCTGAGTGACAGCCGAGTGTCTCATGTAAACATGTTCCACGCGTTCCGGTGATACGAAATCGCCTTGTGCCAACTTGAAGAAGTTCTTTTTTCGGTCGATAATCTTCAACGCTCCATTAGCTAACCAGCATCCAATATCTCCCGTGTGTAGCCATCCTTCTTCATCAATGGCTTCTGAAGTCAGCTTTTGTTCCCCATAGTAAGCGGTCATCAAGCCGGCTCCACGGAAACAAACTTCTCCCTTGTCTTCTGATGCATCGTACGACATTTCTGGCACTGAGACAAGTTTTATCTGTAATATTTGAAGGTTGTAATCGAAAAATATTTAAATCTGTTACAAAATAGGTATATTACAATTAAAAATTTTTTAAAATTGGGGTAAACTTAGTTTCATTAAGACTTTGATTAAAGAATATACAATAGCATGATTATCAACCTACTTCAGCCCAAGCCCCCGGTCCTCCAACATGTCCAGTCTCTGTACAACCACCGAGAGAAAGAGTACCAGCTGCTACACACTCTGTCTGACCGTACCCTTCAAACACCGGGCATCCGTACACAATCCGACTGAAGCTCTTCAGATCTTCGCTGATTGGAGCACCTCCACTGACGACTAGCCTTAATCTACCTCCGAATATCTTGTGAATTGGTCGTAGAACAACATCAGCCCATGTGTTATATGTGAGAATCTTATGTTTCATTAAAGATTGTTTCTTTTTTATCGCAAGAGCGATCAGCTTTTGAACAATATGTGGCTTCTTCTTCAATCCACCTTCGATCTTACATTTGAACTTGTCCAAAAGACGTGGCACGAAGGCTACGACTGTAGGACGATACAATTGTATATCTTCTAACAACTTTGTCATATCACCACCATAGAAGCCCACTTGACATCCACTGTACATCATTATTGACTGCATGATTTGTTCATAAACATGGGCCAATGATAAGAATGATAAGTAAACGTCTGAATTTGATAAAGTCAGCCGGTTGGCAGCATTGAACCAGTTGATATATGTGCCAGTCATTGAGCTTAACAAGGCTCTGTGGGATATCATGGCACCTTTTGGTTGACCAGTGGTACCACTTGTGTGACATATCATATAGGTGTCAGTTGGCTTGGCTGGGACAGGATCGTGGGGGGAAAGTCGGCCGGTTTCAAGCAAACGAGACCAAGAATATACCTAAAGTATTATGTAAAGTAACTTCTTTAGAAGGACAACATAATATGTAAACAAGAAATGTATAAACAACATTTATATGAATATACAGCTAAAAATGCCTACATTAGTGTTAAGTCTGTCATTGTGAGCATTGATATGTTGATGGTCTGACATGATGACAATATGTTTGATAGCTTTATCATTTTTAAATTTTAAAGCAAACTCTACGTCATCACAGAAAAGTACAGTAATCGAACATTTTTCAATAATCTGCCTGTAAATAAACAGATTCAAAAGACTTTACGCAAATAAATTTATTTTACTGTGTTATCTAGCCAAAAGTATGTTTATACTAAAGAAATTTTTACATTATATTAAAACTATAAATAAAACGTTTAATCTACCAAACTTATAAACAATTACTTACTTGATTTCCTCAAACTTGTAGTTGTGATACAATGGCACCATTACCATGGAATACAAACTGCAGACGTGTCCAACCATTGCATATTCGGCTGAATTCTTCCCTGTAACGCCAATCTTTGTGTCTTGGATTGGTTCAATGCCGAGTTCAACTAAAGCCGAGCCAATTTCGTTGACAATTTCAATCACATCATTGTAGTTAGTCCAAATGATATTGTTCTTGTCATCTAGTCGACCAAAACATTTACCGTTATTTGAGAGTCGTTTGCCACGGTTTAGAAGGTCTGATACAATTTGGACTTCTGGGTCTTCTGAACCCACTATTGGAGCTAAAACATAAAATTAAGCACACAAATCAAAGTTAAATAACAATTTAAAAAAACTAAAAATTTCAAAAAATGTGAATTTTGTTATCAAATATTATAAACCCTAAGCATAGTGTACCAAACTAACCATCCACGTAGACATTCCGACGTATCCTCTCATCACCAGGCAGCAACCTTGAGTACTCCTGGACCTGCGAGAATCTGTTTTTATTTTTAAAAGACCTTCGGAAAGATTTGCGAACGCTTTGAGCTATGTTCATGACAGCCGACTGAGCGAAAAATAAATCCTGACCGATTTAACCAACGGATTCTGGCGCGCCGTCATTCCCATAACCTTCCTTTTCCGTTGTCTATAACACAATGTTTGTTTCGAGGTTCAAGGAAAGAATACAAGACAACAAAAAAGTTATTGTATGTTTCGAAATTATTTTAAATTTTTTTACAATATTTTACAGGAAACCCAAAAATTGAGTCTACTTTTATGTATTTAGCAAGCAGTATATGAATATGATGACAAACTTAATTGAAACTTTGCTTCACTTATCTATAAAATCGAGCTAACATACATTCTTGCAAATGTGTAATTGTTCACGAGTCAATCCCTTGCTGCTTGTTATCGTATAAAGCTGGTCCCACTTCTAACAAACGCGCAAGGTAATGTCTTGTTAACCAGCACACAAATTATGAACGGATTGAGCGTTTGACTTTCCGTACGCGATCAGCGTCGTCATGAGTTGCGCAATATAAAAAATGTAAGGACAACATCACATCTCTTGCTTCTCTTCCCTTATTCGATTAGCCACTCACTTGTCGCACCCTTGCCAACAACATCTTCTCCAGCTTAAAAAAGGTAAGATCTTGTATTATATATATGATTTCGTAGCTTTTTTTTTAAACAGTTTTTGAAAGGTTGCAAAAATTTTTTTTTACCATGTCGTTATTTAATAAAATTAAAAAATGTTTTAGGGACAAGCCTGTTCATTTTGATACCCTTTTCTATTTTCTTATAATACCTCCTTATAAATTTTTTTAATTATAGGTATGAATTCTAACAAAAGGTTTGCCAACGTTGCCGCCGAAACCACTGGCAACAAAAGGAGATCAAGCGACATTGCCAGTCACACAGAAGATGGCAAAAAACGAAAATGCGGTAACGACAATACCGTAAGAAGCATCAACGTAAAGAGCCCGACCATGTCCAGAAGTGTCCTGTTTTGGTACTGGACTCGGACAACGAAGATTAAGAAGATATGGCTGTGGTCGTTAAAGGAACCCACCAAAGTGAACCTTTACCGGAAGAAAAGGTAGCAACGATATATTTCGACGAGCTTGTGGACGACTATGAAGTGCACATGCCCAAGCCTAAAAAGGCCCTGATAACAAAAGAGTCAAAGGATCAAAAAATGATGCAACGAAAGGAACTTTGGGGAAAGCTACCGAAGGAGGTTAGAAATCCTTAATTTTGTGATTAATAGCCTTTTTTAAATATTTTAAAGCATATACAGTATTTAACTAATATATATTATACTCGGTTTTAATAAACTATATGTACTCTTTTTTCCATATTTAAAAAAAAGTATTCATTTTTAAACCACAAACTTGACTGTAGCTGACGTATGAGCTACATATTTGAAAACAAGAAGTACTACAATTTTGTAAAAAAGGACAGGTTCACTAACCACTGAAAGTCCAAATATCCAAGTTACTTAAGCGTGCGTACGGTTGAACATATGTATCTTAAATTGCTGTGTGATTCACTAATTACATCATTCCAAAAGGTAATCCCTGTTATTTTTATCTCATTATATAACATATAATAGAATTATATATACACAGACGTGGTTGAGGTGTGCCATGTTTGTAATACCTCAAGAAGGGCAGTTAGATACAATTGGAAACGTAGAGACAGACAGATAAAACAATACAGTATCCCGTTTTTTCTACTGTTTTTACAATAGAACAAAAAATGGCGATGGGTACGAGGAATGGACGTGTTGAGTAGTACTAAAACAACTTAGAAAGGTTTAAAAAAGTAAAATATTCTACAAAATTGATTAAAAAAGATCAAAACATAGCGTAGTAAACGTATTATAAAAACAAGATGAAGAAATATCATACTGTATTAAACGATTAAACATACTTTAGACGTGCTGTTATTAGAAAAATGTTCAAAAACCGGATTGAGTGGGTTATGAGTTGAAGAAGTGGTCGATTAACAATGAGAATGAAGTAATACTGTTATTAATGCAAAAAAAGATTATTGTTTTCTACATATAATGCTGCTTTTAAAAAGTAAAAAATTGTCATTTCCAATGCAAAAAAAGTAAAATTTCAATATTAAAGGCTTAATATTTACATAATACCACAAAAAAAATAATAAGCTCAAAGACTACTCTAACATGAAGGAAAGTGCTTCTCAAAGACTTCTGGAACTGCATTGTTTTGTTCTACGCATTAAAACCTTCATTTAAGTACTTCAGACAGAACTGGAAGAACTTCGTAAACAACGTTTCCGCTTTGTCATTAAATCGATCTTGCAGTACATCTTCTACCATTTTTAGAAAAGGCTTTTCCATCAATGCAAAGTCCCCAGCTTTTACTCCTTCAATCTGAAATGATTTTGCGGTTAGTATAATATGTAAAAGCGTATACATGTGCAATATAGAAATATATATATAAAGCGCTTGATTGCTATTTCAAAAGTAAATTATAGTATCTGTGTTTCAAAAAGACTACAATTTTCCCCTTTTTTACAAAAGTTAAATTTTGTTAAGTTCCTATTCTTCAAACCCTGTCTCTTGACTTTATAATCACGGTACTTAAAGATGCCGTTAATTAGTGTTATTGACATGGTATAATTACTATGTAGGTGTAGAACTCCATGAAATTGGGGTTCAAACACGTGTGCTGTCCTTTCAACTTTTCCCAGACAAAAATTTACTTTGTTTTTGTGTAGTTTCCCACAGTTAATAAGCCGAGTAATGGCGTCTGAAGCATCGCCAGGCTGTTCTTCTATCACTGTTATCACATCGTCGAACAACTGAAGTTTTAAGTTACAATAAAAGCTTTTTAATTTTTATTACTTTAAATTTAAGTTTTTTATATATTAGATCGTTTAAATAATACTGTGCCCCCTTCCAAAGCAAACTTTTGGGGTTAGGGAGCACAGAATTATTTGAACCATCTAATAGTAGCTACATATACAAACAAAACTTACTTTTAAGTAGAGTGCTGATACCTTTTCAAACGCCGTGTCAGCACATCCTGTACTGAGTTCATCTGGAGCGTTTTTTAACTTCGGGTATTTGGAACGGAACTGAGGATTCGAATTTAGGTATCTAAAAGAGAATAGTTGTCATTCAAGAATATGATACAGATTGTAAAGAAAGCAAAACTCAAATTGAAAGTGCAGGTATTTATAATATTTTGCAAGCTATAAAGACAATAAATGTATATACATTTAGAAAAGATTCTAAACAGTGGTGTCTAAAAGCTCGTAAATGATACTAAGATTAAAGACAGAAACTTTAAATCAATGTATTTAAACTCCAGACCTTGCCAGTAAGTTTTTACCACATTCCGCTTCTCCTCGACGTACTGTCTTCCAATAGTTCTACAATGATGTCTTGTTAACTCCACTTTTCACCTTGTTATCGCTAGTAATAGTTTTTTGTAAAAAGTAGCGTTCGGCTCTACGTTATACTTGTATTTCGACTCTACCTCATACTTTAATACAACTCATTTAAATTTCTTAAACTCCGTTTTTGCACCACTCAAACCTGTACTTTAAGTCGTACATACGCATTAGCTGGCGATGTAACAATTAATTACATTTCCGATTTTACTGTAACATTAGCTGCTGTAAAAGTAATCAAAAATTTGCATGCGATTACGTCGAAACCTTTCCACGGATTTAATCTTTCCCCTCAGGCACGCAAATCCTGGACTTTTATGCATAAGTTATGTAGCCTGCCGTGTAATGTAATTTACACTGTAAGCTTAACGAGTTAATTCTCATGCCTAATAAGCCACCGATTGAACTTTGTTTAAGATTGTGTTTTGCGTAGTAACTGCAGAATCTTATACTAAATTGTCCTTAAGGTGGCCACAAAAAGTTTGCTTCATATTATTCTTGAAGTAAAAACCTAGATACTTTCAAGTAAATAATATTAGGTTGCTCAAATAATTTTGAGCCCCCTATCCCCAAAAACTTGTTTTAAGAGAGAGCTCAAAATTATCTGAACAACCTAATATCACAAATAATTTTTGAATATTTTTGACATAATAAGCCTAAAATGCTACCCCTCCCCATGCTTTATTATCCACCTCATTCTAAACGTCTTGACTACTTTCGAATAGGTACCAATCGTACCTTCAATGTGAAAAAGTCTCGAAAACTGGCGAACCCAATCCGGGTGTCCAAGCTCGGCGGAGCGTTCTCCTTCGCCGCCGCTTCATTCGGCGGAGGGTCCAGCTGGCGGACAGTACGCCCCTTGTTCTTACTTGCACCAGAGCCCATTAGTCCAGAGCATTTTAAACAAAACGTCGCCGTAGTGAAAACGGAAATGAAAAATGGAAGAAAAACTAGAACAAATTTCAATAAATTTCGACGACTTTTATGGAGTAAGAAGTAGGTAAACACGCAACAAAGTGGTTAAGAATTTAAAGTTTGGCCGGGTTCGTAAGTTCAAAATGAGGTGTTATACTGTTACTCAAAAATGGAGTTTTAAATTAATATTTAAGTGAAAAGTAGAAGTTACAAAAAATATTGTTCGGTCAAAAAGGTCTTTCTATCACTTTTACAACCAACTTTAACATTTTTTCACTTATTCGCAGACTATTTCGAGTTTGTAAAAACCTTATTCTACAACTTATCCAGGCTTTTCCAACTAGTTTTTGACCCCCTGTCTTACAAAATCGTTAAAAAATTTCATTTGACTAGAATAATATTAACAAAAAAAGGAGTTGCACTTGTGTCTCACCGCGATTAACTTGGCGATTTCTATTTTTACCGTGGTGAAATGCCCTAATTCGTCCAAAACGTTCTCTCCCATTATGTTTCACACAGGCTTTTCAATTTTTTTTTCAAAGTTTCGTTCCTAGCGGTTAAAAATATATAAAACACCCTAACTTACTCTACCCTACCTTACTCTGCAAAACACAGCTTACAGCGTATTTTACAAATAAAATTGAGATGTTAAATGCTCAGTTTTCTATCTACAACTTTATCAAAATAAAACCACTACCTTAACCATGATTATAACAACGATTATAGTATTTTACCCAAAAAACACGCAGAATTCGAAAAGTTTGAAAACCCAACAGGGAAGCCAATATTTTATGAAGCCAACTTCAAAAAGAAGTGCCCCAGCGTTATGTAAACTAAAAGCCGAGCTGTCCGTGACTCAGAAGCGCGTCGATTCATGGCCGAAAAGTGAAAAAGTCGAAAAATTTCATTAGTCCCGAAAATTGTCCCAACGCCCCAAATCCAGGTAAAAGTATATTACAACTATTGTGGTGGGACGGGGCCCCTCCCCCTTGCGTCACCGAATGTGTTGCGTGCAGGTTCTGGCCCCGAAAGTAATAAGAAAGAACGGCCGCAAAGGCCGTGCCGTGAAATGGGAAAAAGTCGAGGCTGTAATTTCGACTAATGAAATAATACTCGTTAAAGGCGATCCCAAACTTTAATGTCACACTTGATAGTTGGTTTAGGGTTATGTTGTGTTAGGTTATGCTAGGGTAATTTGTCGTCTATTGGTGGTGCGAATTGTGCAAAGAAAAGGTGCAAATTGGTAGAAGGCTATTCGAACTTTGCTTTAATGACAGCCGTTTCTTTTCAAAAGCACCTTTCAGACGTAAACAATTATTAAAAATCTTGACAACGGAATGCCACTATCGATTTTTCTTTGAAAAGGCCATTTTGAAAGACGATATTATAACAAAGAGATTACAAAATAAAAACATGAAACACCTTTAAATGCCCTAAATAAAAAATGTTTAAAAAATTCTACAAATTTTTAGACCAAAACCTCAAGATACGACATTTATAAGAAATAATAACGACATAATCGACCTATAAAGCAACAGAAAGTGAACCTTGCCTAATTAAAATGTGTCGTGCTGACAATCACTTTATTTACATAGTAATATTATAGTAAACATACCTGGCCAGAAGTGCTTTGCCACAATCCTTTTCGTTCCGCCTCACAGTCTTCCAAAAGTTTTTCAATGTGAAAAAGTCACGGTAACAGTCCATTCCCACCCGTTTGTCCAACACCTTCACTGGGCCGTCCGCATCCAGCGGGCATGGCGTTTCTTTGGCCTTTTTCTTTTTGAAGACCGGCATTACTGGTCGATCTCGGCGAAAGGCTTCAACTCTGAAATGTAATTTATAGTAAATTGTACAAAAATTAATGAGCTACGACTCGTATGGTACTTTTAAAATAAATTATTAATTATAGTTTGGTCAAAAAATCGCCACAATTTTGAAAAACGTAGGATCTACTTACTTTTTGACCAAAGCATAAACTTTCTTTGACCAAACATATAATAATATTAAGATACGAAACAATTACGCGTAGTAAATGTAAACTCAAACTACAAAAACCTTGACAAAATAAGAAAAGTTATTTACATATATTTACAAAGTAATGTCGTGTTACACCCAAATCTACAATGTAATTTCGTGTTACTTGCGTAGATATTGTTACACGTAGTAAATATACAGTGGAAGTTTGGGGGTCGGAAACTTCAGGAAACCAAAAACATAAAAGGATTTAAAAATTTAATCTCAAACTTGAAAAAATACTTTACAATACGCGGTAATGTAACGAAATCGTATTAGTATGCGTTACGACAATTTGTAGGAAATACGTCGTATATGGTGAGCAACATTAATATACAAAAAGACGTTTCAGAATCTTTCTTAGCAAAAAATAGTTTTTAGTTCGTACTACTTGGCACTTCAAATTAAACAAGGCTACAAGTACTTAAGAGCATGGTCATTATGTCATAACCAATTAATTAACTATTTTCTGTCGCTTACAGTTCAACACAATACATAATGTATATTTAGATTTATGACGCAAATTGTATTACCCTACCCTAATTTTTAAGATCAAAAAATAAATTTTAAAATTCAAAATATCTTCAAACCCTATAAACAATAATCATGACAATTGGCTATATAAACACATAAACAGTTTAATCCCTCTATAATAATGTTAATATAAATCACACGAACATAACAAACATGGTAAATAACGTCTCAAAGGTCGATAACACAATAATCTTGTTAAACAAACACAATTAACCGCTTTAATTGCTTTTACAGTAAATTCAAGGTTTTGTAGTATAACTAATAAGTTTGTAGTAATGCTGTAAAGGTAGGCTATTAATGGTTTAGTTATCAAAACTAAGCAGAAAGATAAAAATTTGCATTAAAAAAGCAAAAAAAACTTAATTTATGCTTAAAATTTATTGAAAAAACAGTAATTATGATATTTCCTTTCACCACATAAACATAAACACATAGTAAGCAACCAAAGAGTATATAATTTGAATATTAATTCAGATGCAAATGCCTTTGAATTAGTCTAAACTGTTTGAAATAACAATAAAACGGCTGTGTAAATATTATCCAAGTAAACACCATAAAGAGCAGTCTATAGTAACCTTTCAAACTTTCAAAAACCATAATTTTTTAAAAGTTTTAAAATTTTAAAAAGCAGTGACAAAAGAAGTGTTTTCGTCAATCTACATTCATTTTTACTTCCAAAAACGACAAGACGTTTTTGACTTCCTGATATTAACGTATAACAGACTAATTTAAGTTGTAAAACACAAAAACAAGCCTAATACTGACTAAAACATATTACCCACAATTCCAAGTATCTTTACGCGTGTCTACGTATCTTTCTTCCAGAAATCCCACACTTCAGAGTATTCTTCCCAAAAAAAAACTTTTTATTTACTTGGTGAACATTCTGTAGACAAAAAAGGGAATGTTGCACCAGATTTATGATGACTGATATCCCGCCGTTCCAAAAAACCAATTCTGCTGTGCCATTTTTGCGTGACGTTAGAGCAAAATAACATTTGGCCACAATAAGATGGGCCAAAGAAAGAAAAATGTGAAGGATAGACAAGAAATAAATAGAGCTCGTGCTAACTCGAGCAAGATTTGAGGAGAATAGGCATTTTGAATTGAAAAGACTAAGTTTTGAGGCTTTTTACAATCCAAAATAGTATAGAAAAATTATTAAAAGTCAAAAAATTACAAAGTTATAAGCTTGAAACAAAATGCAATTTTGGCGGGAAATTTAAAACGTAATCCTTTGATCTCAATTTTCTCGAGATTAGATAGAAAACGTAACTTAGTACTATGCTGAATATCTTATATTTACATGATCTATCTATACCGAGTTTAAAGTCAATCAGAGCGGGACAGGTCAAGCACTGTCCTTTTTAATTTTACAAGTTCAAAAGTAGAAAAAAAACAAAGTAAAATGTGAAAAAAAGTCAAAACACTCTGAAACTAGCTCCTAATCATAGAAACAAAACGTTTATGCGTTTATGCTACATTACATTACAAACCTCGTGTTTCTTTCGAATTGCTTTACTTTAAAATTGTTAAAAGTAACAAAAATTCAAAATATTTTTTTTTCGAAAAATAAAAATTTAACCCTAAAAAATAAAAAATCGTAATTTGTTATCTTTTTGTCGTATCATAACTAAAATAATAATATTTTTCCTATTATTTCTAAAATACAGAATAAACCCATTTTAAAATCAAAAATTGTATAGGTAATGACATAAAAATGATGAAAAAAGTCCAAAAACTTAAAATAAAGATCTTTGTAACGCATACACGATGACAAAGTTGTACGACCATAAATTTTAAATGCGAATTAAAGAAGCGGCTCAAAAAGCAGAATATGTACACATTACTCAGTAGTCCGTAACGATGTAAAGTCTTTTCAAAGCCTTTTGAACGCTAATGTATGCAGCGGAATAAAGCCCAAATCCACTTACTCAAGAATATGTTTTGAGTTTGTAAGATACGTAAAAATAAAGATTTAACAACAATTTAGATGGTTTTTGGAGAGTTAAAAGGTTTAAAGCTTAACAAAGGCCGGTATTAAGTTGTCCAAATAATTCTGTGCCCCTAAACCCAAAAATTTTCTTTGAAAGAGAGTGCAGAGTTATTCAAACAACCTAATAGAATTTTGTTACTCCCAAAAGCCTTTTTTAAGGAAAAATGACCCAAAGAAGCGAAAAGATAAAAGAAAAAAAAAGCAAAATTTACAAAATCAAAAATTTCAAAAAACAAGAGCCCTAAAGGCAAAAAATTAATAATTAGAGACAATTCAGAAGGTCGACAGATAATTCCTACTCGAGAGGTTTAGAACGGCACGGAACGCTTCAGATAATAAGCCCCAAAACAAATCCAATAAGACACTAAAATACGATTGTTGCAAAAAGTGTCTGACTTTCGTAAAATGTGCCAAATTAGTTTTT